AGGGATTATCACCAATGCAAATGTAATGCACAAAACTACAGTTTTTTGGGGCGATGCTGTGGAAGGGCCCCAAAGTTGCTGCCCCCTGGCAGACCCCGTCCCTGGAAAGGCACCCACTGCGATTAGGAGGGCCCATAGCAGCGCCACGGGCCCTAGAAGGGCCCATAGGGGCGCCACATCCCCTGGCAGGTTCCTTGGGGGCAGTGGAGCCCCATAGAGGGACCCTGGGGGAGACACCGTCTCTGGAAGGGCGCCTGAAGGCGCCACAGGAGTGGAAGGGCCCCTGCGGGCGTCGCCATCCCTGAGAACACCCCTGAATGCGCCCCCGTCCCTGTAAGGGAAGCTGAGATCGACGTTATCCCAATCTGGGTCACTTGGCTATGCCAGACACGGAGGCGCCACCAGGGCCCTCTCGGAGTCGGCGGAGCCCCCAGGGGCCTGTCAGGGACGCTGGATCCACCAGGGACGCTCTTAGGGACAACGACATTCCTAGGGGCCTTCTCAGGGAGGCGGCGTCCTCAGAGGCTCCTCCAGGAACAGCTGAGCTTCCATGGGCCTCTCAGGGACAGCAACGCTCCTAGGGACCCTCACAGACACGGCGGCACCCCCAAGTTCCCTGCTAAAAGCGCTGGAAACCCTAGGGGCCCTCAAAGCTACAGCCGTGATCCCAGGGGCCCTCACAGGGACAGCCGTGATCCCAGGGGCTTTTCCAGGGACGGGGGCGCCTCCAGGTACGTTCCAAGGGACCGTGGTACTCCCAGAGGCCCTTCCAGCGTAGGTGGCCCATTCAGGGGCGCTTCCAGAGTCGGTGGCTCCCGCCAGGCCTCATTATGGGGCGCCACTGCTCCCAGGGACCCTGCCAAGGCCTGTGGCTCGCAATAGGTCCTCCTAGGGGAGGCGGCGCCCCAAAACAATGGAAAATGGTGTCGTATATATTGCATTCTTCCAGTAATCTCTTACTTAACTGTGATTGGTGGAATAAGTGGTAACATCATCAAATTACAGCCACTGGAAAACAGAGCAATCAATTAGCACAACACCCCAACTTATGTTTTCCTGTTGGATATTTATTCTCCTCTTCATTGTTCAGGTTGCGATAATACTGAAAATGCGATGGGCGGTGTATTTATTTAACGTCATATCTCCCAGAATTTAAATAGTGAAACGAGAATAAATATCCAACAGCAAAGCATAAGTTGGGGTGTTGTGCTGACTGATTGCTCTGTTCTCCTATTGGCTGTAATTTGATGACGTTACATCTTGCTCCACCAATCACAGTTAAGTAAGGGATTACTGGACGAATGCAAAATGTACGACAAAACTATGAAGTTTTTGGGGCGATGCCGCATGTGGAAGGGCCCCTGGGGGCGCCGTCGCCCCTGGCAGAGACCCTGCCGTCCCTGTAAAGGCACCCACTGCGATTAGGAGGGCCCATAGCAGCGCCACGGGCCCTAGAAGGGCCCATAGGGGCGCCACATCCCCTGGCAGGTTCCTTGGGGGCAGTGGAGCCCCATAGAGGGACCCTGGGGGAGACACCGTCTCTGGAAGGGCGCCTGAAGGCGCCACAGGTGTGGAAGGGCCCCTGCGGGCGTCGCCATCCCTGAGAACACCCCTGAATGCGCCCCCGTCCCTGAAAGGGAAGCTGAGATCGACGTTATCCCAATCTGGGTCACTTGGCTATGCCAGACACGGAGGCGCCACCAGGGCCCTCTCAGAGTCGGCGGAGCCCCCAGGGGACCTGTCAGGGACGCTGAATCCACCAGGGACGCTCTTAGGGACAACGACATTCCTAGGGGCCTTCTCAGGGAGGCGGCGTCCTCAGAGGCTCCTCCAGGAACAGCTGAGCTTCCATGGGCATCTCAGGGACAGCAACGCTCCTAGGGACCCTCACAGACACGGCGGCACCCCCAAGTTCCCTGCTAAAAGCGCTGGAAACCCTAGGGGCCCTCAAAGTTACAGCCGTGATCCCAGGGGCCCTCACAGGGACAGCCGTGATCCCAGGGGCCTTTCCAGGGACGGGGGCGCCTCCAGGTACGTTCCAAGGGACCGTGGTGCTCCCAGAGGCCCTTCCAGCGTAGGTGGTGCATTCAGGGGCGCTTCCATAGTCGGTGGCTCCCCCCAGGCCTCATTATGGGGCGCCACTGCTCCCAGGGACCCTGCCAAGGCCTGTGGCTCGCAATAGGTCCTCCTAGGGGAGGCGGAGCCCCAAAACAATGGAAAATAGTGTCGTATATATTGCATTCTTCCAGTAATCTCTTACTTAACTGTGATTGGTGGAATAAGTGGTAACGTCATCAAATTACAGCCACTGGAAAACAGAGCAATCAATTATCACAACACCCCAACTTATGTTTTCCTGTTGGATATTTATTCTCCTTTTCATTGCTCAGGTTGCGATAATACTGAAAATGCGATGGGCGGTGTATTTATTTAACGTCATATCTCCCAGAATTTAAATAGTGAAACGAGAATAAATATCCAACAGCAAAGCATAAACTGGGGTGTTGTGCTGACTGATTGCTCTGTTCTCCTATTGGCTGTAATTTAATGACGTTACATCTTGCTCCACCAATCACAGTTAAGTAAGGGATTACTGGACGAATGCAAATTGTATGACAAAACTATGAAGTTTTTGGGGCGATGCCGCATGTGGAAGGGCCCCTGGGGGCGCCGTCACCCCTGGCAGAGACCCTGTCGTCCCTGGAAAGGCACCCACTGCGATTAGGAGGGCCCATAGCAGCGCCACGGGCCCTAGAAGGGCCCATAGGGGCGCCACATCCCCTGGCAGGTTCCTTGGGGGCAGTGGAGCCCCATAGAGGGACCCTGGGGGAGACACCGTCTCTGGAAGGGCGCCTGAAGGCGCCACAGCTGTGGAAGGGCCCCTGCGGGCGTCGCCATCCCTGGGAACACCCCTGAATGCGCCCCCGTCCCTGTAAGGGAAGCTGAGATCGACGTTATCCCAATCTGGGTCACTTGGCGATGCCAGACACGGAGGAGCCACCAGGGCCCTCTCAGAGTCGGCGGAGCCCCCAGGGGACCTGTCAGGGACGCTGGATCCACCAGGGACGCTCTTAGGGACAACGACATTCCTAGGGGCCTTCTCAGGGAGGCGGCGTCCTCAGAGGCTCCTTCAGGAACAGCTGAGCTTCCATGGGCCTCTCAGGGACAGCAACGCTCCTAGGGACCCTCACAGACACGGCGGCACCCCCAAGTTCCCTGCTAGAAGCGCTGGAAACCCTAGGGGCCCTCAAAGTTACAGCCGTGATCCCAAGGGCCCTTACAGGGACAGCCGTGATCCCAGGGGCCCTCACAGGGACAGCCGTGATCCCAGGGGCCTTTCCAGGGACGGGGGCGCCTCCAGGTACGTTCCAAGGGACCGTGGTGCTTCCAGAGGCCCTTCCAGCGTAGGTGGCGCATTCAGGGGCGCTTCCAGAGTCGGTGGCTCCCCCCAGGCCTCATTATGGGGCGCCACTGCTCCCAGGGACCCTGCCAAGGCCTGCGGCTCGCAATAGGTCCTCCTAGGGGAGGCGGCGCCCCCAAAACAATGGAAAATGGTGTCGTATATATTGCATTCTTCCAGTAATCTCTTACTTAACTGTGATTGGTGGAATAAGTGGTAACGTCATCAAATTACAGCCACTGGAAAACAGAGCAATCAATTTGCACAACACCCCAAGTTATGTTTTCCTGTTGGATATTTATTCTCCTTTTCATTGTTCAGGTTGCGATAATACTGAAAATGCGATGGGCGGTGTATTTATTTAACGTCATATCTCCCAGAATTTAAATAGTGAAACGAGAATAAATATCCAACAGCAAAGCATAAGTTGGGGTGTTGTGCTGACTGATTGCTCTGTTCTCCTATTGGCTGAAATTTGATGACGTTACATCTTGCTCCACCAATCACAGTTAAGTAAGGGATTACTGGACGAATGCAAAATGTATGACAAAACTATGAAGTTTTTGGGGCGATGCCGCATGTGGAAGGGCCCATGGGGGCGCCGTCGCCCCTGGCAGAGACCCTGCCGTCCCTGGAAAGGCACCCACTGCGATTAGGAGGGCCCATAGCAGCGCCACGGGCCCTAGAAGGGCCCGTAGGGGCGCCACATCCCCTGGCAGGTTCCTTGGGGGCAGTGGAGCCCCATAGAGGGACCCTGGGGGAGACACCGTCTCTGGAAGGGCGCCTGAAGGCGCCACAGCTGTGGAAAGGCCCCTGCGGGCGTCGCCATCCCTGGGAACACCCCTGAATGCGCCCCCGTCCCTGTAAGGGAAGCTGAGATCGACGTTATCCCAATCTGGGTCACTTGGCTATGCCAGACACGGAGGCGCCACCAGGGCCCTCTCAGAGTCGGCGGAGACCCCAGGGGACCTGTCAGGGACGCTGGATCCACCAGGGACACTCCCGAGCGGCGTGCCCAGGGAACCTGCCAGTGGTGGCGGCGACCCCAGGGACCCTGCTAGGGGCAGCGGCGCCTCCAGGGACTCTCGCAGGGATCTTTTAAGGGACGGGTGCGCCGCCATGGACCTTCCTAGCAACGGCGGCGCCTCTAGGGGCCCTCTCAATGGCGGCGAAGCCCCCAGGGGCATTCCCAGGTGTGGTGGTGCCCGCAGGGGCCCTCCAAGGGGTGGTGGCATTTCCAGGGTCCTACTCATGGGCGGCAGTGCCCCCAGGGTCCCTCCCTGAGGTGGTGGCGCCACCAGGGCCTACTCAGGGGCGGCGGCGCCCTACAGAGATCCTCTCAGAGGCAGTGGCGTCCCCAGGGGCACCCCCAGGTACCCCATCAAGGGTCTCCAGAGGCCCTATGACATGCCCGTTCGCTGTGTCATTTATATTGCATACTTCCAGCAGTCCCTTACTGAACTACATGTGTATGTTTGTCGATTCATTGTTACCAAAATTTTCAAACATAATTCTAATATTTTCCAGATACAGCACTTGATTCAAAATTTTGTAATATATATATTGAGGTGACGACAATATGGGTTATTGAAATCTTGAAGAAATCTTATTTTTATTATTTACTCAAGAGATCACAAGGTATACAAGTGATATCTCCATTAGCCAGACCTCTCCAATTGCTGGAATTGAAATGAGCTTGAAAATTTTCCGGATTCAATTCAAATTCAATTGTTTCAATTCAATTCAAAATTTCTCTCAATTCCAGTTTGGGAACCGATTTTCTGAGGCTGAAAATTAGGTGCATTTTCTGTTAAATTCCAGAAACTTTCTCCAAATATTTATCCTGGTTTGGGAGCGAATTCCAAGGATGAAATAATGAAAATTTTCTGGAAAATTACAAGAAACCTTTCCCAGTACCCAGAAAAATTCCTGAAATCTGGAAGCTCTCATTCCCAGAAGTGTTCTGCACCAATTGTTCTGGCTAAAGGGAATATCACTTACAGTACACCCTCGCACTTCTGGACTCCTCAGATCTAAATTTCAGTTGGTCCGGACGACATCTGTAAGTGGAAAATTCATATCTGATCTCTCTCTCAGTCCGTATGCCACGTTTACCCCCACCGCTATAATGGACACTGTTCACATCTCCTGTAGCTACTCACTGCATGTCATTTATTGAGTAACGCACTAATATGATTATTATTGTTATTACTGTATTATTCTTCAATACCATTATTAATAATACTCTATTATTGTTATAATCAAAACCGTCCATGTGACATCCGGACGCCATCACCCCTGATTGTCTGGAAGTGCGAGGGTTTATTTATTTATGTTAATATAACATGGATATATATTTAGTATAGGCAAATTAGGAAATGACGCTGCTAATTGAAGTAGTCTTTCTTTCCAAAACTGGTCAATACAGAACATGTATCTGTACAGACAAAAGGGTACCAAAACTTTGGACCAGCCCTAACATTCATACTGTCACAACTTCTAACATCATTAATCTGATTTTACACTTAGGAATAAGCTAACTCAGTAGTGTTTATTATATAAATAAAAAAATTAAATGACTTTGCAATGGCACAATTAGTATAATAAGCAAAATCATACAAGTGAAGTTTGGGTAGGTTAGGTCAGGTCAGGTTAAATATGTTTGTTTCTTGTGGTCACAAGAAACTTCAACACTGCCCTTTCAATAAAGTATTTTTGTTACATAGGTAATCATGCTGTAGACAACAAAAGGTTTTGTATCATCAGCTGTAGACAACAAAAGGTGTTAGGTGTTGTGGAGGACAGTGAGTGTTGAGGTCTTCCACACATGTATACACACTGAAATCATTTTGTATAATGTTGCAAACATTTTAATTCTTACTGGTATAAGATATTGGTTATTTTTTACCGACTTTATTTTAATAATTAGTATAGAAGCTAATTCAAATGTTAGTTTATGTGATATTTCAAATAGGACAGTTGCTTGTGGGTCTCCATGTTGTGAAGTAATTTTTGTGAGCATTAAAAAATATCACATATGACAGATTGCTACATTACAGTCTGCCATTCCTAAATAAACAAGGAACTACACAAAATACTTATACATTTCAAGATACTGTGTTATCTTTAAGTGTTCAACGAATATATCATTCAGACTTGTTATAATTTAGCCGAATGTGTACAAATAAAAAGAGCTACTACTAGAGACTCGGCCTGATGAGAGGTGGAGTCTTAATCAGCAGCTGGAAATGATGGACCAGGGGCTGTCTCCTGCCAGGGTGTTAGATCAAGGTGAGGAAGGAAGCCGCCCTTACATGACACTCGCGGGTTTCTGCCAAAATACACACATATATAACTTGACAATAAAACTAATACAACCTAATCTACCATAACCAAAAACAGAATCATCACAATACAAGACACCTAACTTAATCTAACAAAAACTCACACATGTAGCATAACAAGATACTTAATCTAACTTAATCTAACAAAACACACACACGATATTTAACTTCACCACTTGATCAACACAAATACCGTACACACACAATACTATATCAAAATACACTATACAATTCTCAGGGTTTACTTTTTAAATGACTATCACCCAGGTTAAACATTTCAATGGACTTTTGGGTTAGTTGATTTTTTTTTTCTGAACCAATAGCTTTCATTTCTCTGGGAGTTATAAATGTTCTCTCTTGGCCGTAGTTAAGCTTATCCCAAATACCTAGTGTTTTGAAAGGGTAACACTAGGAAGGGGTAACACTGAGAAAGGGTAACACTAGGAAGGGGTAACACTGAGAAGGGGTAACACTAGGAAGGGGTAACACTGAGAAAGGGTAACACTAGGAAGGGGTAACACTGAGAAGGGGTAACACTAGGAAGGGGTAACACTAGGAAGGGGTTACACTAGGAAGGGGTAACACTGAGAAGGGGTAACACTGAGAAAGGGTAACACTAGGAAGGGGTAACACTAGGAAGGGGTTACACTAGGAAGGGGTAACACTGAGAAGGGGTAGTCCCAGGTTGTGCAGATTATATGAAATATTTACTTGTCCTGGGCAAGTGACTTTTTATATTTACTTGTCTGGAAATCTGATACTCACAACTTGTAGTCTACGAGCACCATGGGGTAGCGCTGGAGAGTTAACAGATTGTCACTGTTCTCACACAACACTCGTGCCAGACTTGTACTCCTGATTGACTCCAGCTGACCTGTCAACATCAAATCTTTGCTATAATCATGTTCATACGGCTTCATTTAATTATTGAATATTAATTCTAATTATTTGTTCTTGGTGAATAAGTAACAGAAGTGAGTGTCAGGTAAGCACAGTCATTGAGTACTTACGCAAGGTGAGGGAAGATGGCTGGCCTGGCAGTTCATACCAGTATCTGTCACCATATTTAAGTCGTTGCATCTGGGTGGCCACGATGCAGGTAAAGGTCGGCCCCAGCAGTGACCCTGCCAATGGCCTCTCCGACACCCCTGCACTCCACAGGTCGATATCATCAACATGGCTGTGTTGGATAAGATAAGTAAACGAGTCGATTTTACAAAGACAAGTAGAAACCAAGGAATTCATGAGAGTGTAGGTCTTAAAATGGCAATAAAAAGAAACAAATAAACACTTACTTGGTTCAGTTTGGCAATAAACACAAAAAGTGGGTCACACTGCAATCAGAACACTGTACTGTATATAATCTAGTTGTTAAAAAGTGCTAAAACAGAAGAAATATTGAATATACAGCAAACCTCGCATCTTCTGTGGACTGTCCTCTATCTTTTACCCCACTTAAAGTTTACCTCAGTATCTCTGAATTATAGAAAACAATGTTGGTAATAATAGACATCCTTGTTTCATATCACTACCAATTTTTCAGGGTTTTGTTGCACCGTCGGCTACGCTCACTCTTGCTTTTTATCCAAATACTATACTGTCACATTATAAATCTTGTCTCTCTAATTAGCCACTTGGGCAGTCAGTTACGACTCTGTTGTGCACTGTTGGCAAGTACTGGGCATGCACTGACTCAGAATGTGTCTAAGCTTGTACCAGTGTTGGACAAGGCTGGTCTTACATGAGTTCACGGTGCCGCCACAACACACACTGGCAGGTTATTAAAAGAGTTTGCAATTTTCATGACAAAAAAGTTTGCCCTGACAATTTATGAACTTGTGGCTTCTTTAACCTGATACTGTACTGAGACCTCTTGTGGGATGGACATATGCTAGTTCCAGGCATGAACATTCAACTAAGAAATGTCATCTGAGGTGCTTATAAAGTTTTATTAAATCACCCCTTGTTCATCTATAGCAGTGGTGTCAAACTGAAAACCTTTCGAGGGCCAATTCTTATTTTAGTTACCCTCTTCAGGGCCAACACAAGTGCTATATCACATACTGTATATTATTTGTAGGATTGAAGTTTACAGCTTCACACATTGCCTTACCTGGCTTACCAGGAACACCTCACTTGGGTTTGTCTGATCTTAAGTATGTATAATTCATTTTACTAAATAAACATGATTATATCTTTTTTTTCTTCATAATTTCACGGGTTGATAAATTTTACCGTCATCCCGCGGGCCACACCTGACCATCCCAAGGGCCCCATTTGGCCCGCGGGCCATGAGTTTGACACCCCTGATCTATAGCATAAGCTAGGCAACCTGAATTGGAACAGTGCAGGCACCATTGTGCTGGCCCTCTTTTGGACATTTTCCATCAACTGACAGTCTCTAGCATATCTCGGGGACCAGATGGGATGACAGTATCATATTCCAAACAGGGTAGAACCTCACTTTTTAAGTATTATGAGGGATGGACCATCTAGGTATGTGAGAAACTTTTGTATTTTAAGTTCTAATAACTTTTTTGCTGTAAGGTTATATTGGTCTTTTGGTCTAATCTCCTTCCACCAGTCGATGTCGCCATTAATGAAGTCCCCCATGTCAAGGAGGTGGCTAGAGTCAAGCGCCATACCAATGACTATTAAGGTTCTTATAATGCTTTGGTTTAATTAACTGCAATTCAGGGATCTATAAATACACTTAGCAGTGAGTAAGCCTCTTCCTTTCAGTTTAACTTTATACCTTTTCGATTCTTCTAAAACATCTTCCTCTTTGCTCCCTCACTTCACTGACTCTAGGGTCCTGCCTAGTACAGTACAGTATAAATAATCAAACAGGTGCACTTGGTATCAAGGGGGAAATAACAAGAACAGAACAAGTGGTCAGGCTAAGGGGTGAATTTAGGTTAGTATTTACTTATAATAAATGATATAGTATTATTCAACCACTGTACTTTGCCTTAACTGTGTTTGTTTTGATTAAGTTAAGTAAAGTAGTTAAATTAGAGTAGGTTTGGGTTAAGGTAATGAGACCAACTTGTTCGTATTTTTCCACTACAATACATAATTGCTGACATAATATAATGAATTTGGCTGCTGGGAAGAACATGAGCCCTTTGGCACTTGAAAGCCTCACCTGTATAGCTTCTTGTATCTTTGTGCCGTGAAATTGGACATGTACAGTCCCAGCTGATCAAAGGTGTATATGGCCGGCAGCCCACAATATCGCCTGTACAGAACAAGAGAATTACTGACACAATTTACGTGCAGCTTGGAATAAGGCAATACAGTACACCCTTTAAGTGTTTGGGGGAATATTGATTTTCTAAGATGTGACTTTCCACAGACAATACTAAAAGAACTACAGGAGTAAAGCCAAATACAAGTATTGCAAAATGGATTTCAACCAGATTTGTCAAAATGAGCTTATCATTATATTGTATTATATGTAAAATATTTGTATTACAATAAATTGGATTAATATATCAAGAAATTACGATGTTTATGTTCAAAAGATATGAGTGACAGGCACATGATACAGCAACCATTATTGTGGTAAGGAACAGTACCTGTAGGTGGTGTAGCCTGGGAGGCCCATCTCTCTGCCTCGTTGCAGGTTAAGTGAGACCAAGTCTATGCCGAAATTCTTCTCAGGAGGCTCAAACAGATGGTTCGTCACCTAGGTACACCAGTCATCATCACAGGGAGGAAGTACAAGTGCAGTGTATATGATAGTGTATATGAACTCCTATGATCCTGTGCCAGAGCTTACATCATACACTCTAATTCATAATTGCAACTGTATATCAAAACTGACATCCTTTAAAGCTGCGAGGGATCATTTGAAGATCAACCACCCTAAAGCTAACTTAGCATAACCTTCATTTGAAATAAGATTGGGTGTATAATATTCAAGTGTGAGTACAGTGTGAGTCTTGACTATAAGAGTACAGTATGTCACTGGTCACTGAAGCTATTTTTTTTTGCAGTAAACAGGTAAGAATCTGCCTTTTATTATACTATTGCAAACAGCAGATTACATGAAAACTAATTTGTTTTCGCAGATACAGCATTATCAAATCTTTTAATTATGTCTGAAGATAGAAGGTGGGGAGTGTAGACATACTTCTTGGGTCACAGCATCATCCACAGCCTGGGCGGGCTGGTTCATCAGACCCACATAGTACTGATCCAACACACCCGCTCTGAAGAGGTCCCATGGCTGTCGAATCAGTCGACTCAGTCGTGTTGACGCTGGAACATAATGCGCCATCATAATTATTTTTATTTATTTTTATTGCACCATGACACCTCCCCATATTTAATAGGAAAGTGCTATGACAACAACAGGAGTATTCACTTATACATGTAATTGCTCTTTAGCACTATCGAGGACATGTTACCAGTCACGTTGATTTTCAAAACTTCCTAACACTTCAAAGTACTGTACAGCCAAAGAAACCCACGACGAAGTATTTGGGTAAATTTTCCAGTTCAGACCTGAACCTCGAAGCTTCTCTGTCACTTTACCCAAATTCTTTGTCATGGGTTTCGGAACATAACGCTAAGGGGGTGTATGTAACATGACGTTTTTCGTTGACTGTACATCCTAAAATGCCTCATACATTTGTGAGTTTGGATTAGTTTAAACTATTTTGCTGTGGTCAAAAGATATTGAAACTGGAAACACTCCTTACTTCTGACAGATCATTTTAATGAACCAGGACCCTTATCACAGTGGTTTGTCATGGTCAATATTTTGATGTGATGACCGCTACTCAAGAATTTATTTATAGTGCCACATGCTTTCATCAATGTTGTATGTATATAAACATAAGTTAAGGTGAACCTCCCTATGGTCAACGTTAAGCCACAACATCATTATTATTCAAGGTATCATACATGGAAGCTGCAAAATACACTTATGTTATCAAGTGTTCACTTGTTCAGCCTCAAGTTGATGATCATTTAAAAAATGATAATTATCCTGATATACAGTACTGTATATGGTTACTTTATACTAGCCAATCTTGTAATGATCTCCACTGACCTATGAACTTGTGCGAGGCGCTCCACCTCTCCACAGCACTTGGGAGAAGGGAGTGTCCGAACCTGAAGGCAGCGCTGATAAAGGCGACAGTCATTGAGGGATCTGTGGAGGGATTGTAGCCATCCCAGTAGCCCTGCCAGAGAACAACACACACGTTGAAAACATTCAATGGTTGATCTATTATTTGTTTTTGTTTTGTCAGTCTTAATTTATGGTCAAATGTTTAAAGACTTGGTTTGAAACTGACAGGTATAGTGTACTGACATTTTTAAGGACTGTACAGAATTTCACTGTCAAAACTCAGTCCACAACACCTCACCTATGAGAGCAAATTACTCAACTTGTTAGTCAATTTTTCTTTTCTTCGACTTCACAATGGATCAAAATACTATACTGGAGGTGCATTTGCAGTAGTGTCTTCTGAAGGAAAAATGAGAATTGCAAGGTATAAAAGTAGAGAAGGATAATAAAGTTTTGCTTAAGGGACTTACGTATTATAAAGACATAAGGAATGACTATTGTAACCAGTACTGACAGAAGATATATGGGCACTGACCATGGGATTAGTGGCAGAATATAGTAGAGAGAGAAAGGTTTTCATTTACTGTATGCAGTACAGTATTCATAAAATCATCGTACTCCTCGTCATATTCATCTTACAGTACAGTGCAGTGCAGTACAGTACAGTACAGTACAGTACAGTATATACATTCTCCACCTTTCATCCCTCGTTCTCTCTGGTGCATTAGATGAGACAAATGACACCAATATATTTGTGTGAAAATAAAATTAAAAATTATAAATATAAGATTAAAGCTGCTAGAAAAATTAATTTGAGTCCCCAAGACCAGAGACATCTTATGATTTGTGTAAAATAATAATAATAATGTAAGGAAAGCTTCCAGACCTATCACAAGGACCCAACTTCGATGCCCTAACAATCCCTTGGGAACATTTTTCAGTGTACCCCATCCCTCACCTCGCTTCATAAGGATGGCTGTATCATATTTTCTATGTATTTGCAAAAATACAGTACAGTGTACAGTATTGTATTTCTCTCAAATGTGTCTGACCAGTAAAATTGTTGACCCCATAACTCTTAACTTGCTTCTCACCACACAACTTACAGTCCTACGAAGGATGAGATCATATTGCTTCATGACGTCCTCACCCAACAGGAGGGGAAGAAACTCTTTAAAAGTAATGTGTTGAATCTGCGCCACCACGATACGCCGTGTCTCCTGTGGGAAGTGTGCAAAGTTAGCGCATTTTATTTCATGTCCGGTTAAATTAGGTTAAATGATCCTGCCCAATCGCAGTAAACAATGTCAGTATGTTGACTTTCTTAACCTACTACAGGAAGTTGATGGTGACCAGTGCAACATTAACACTACTATGATGGAAAGACAATTATTCACGGACAAATAGAAAGTTGCCCACTTAACCCCCTTTGTGACCTCACCTTCACCCGACGGTCCATCACCCTAGACTCTCTCATTTCTAACTCCCTCTCTTATCTCTCATCACCTTATCAGACACGAGGCTTTACCGTCTACCATGTATCTTAACACCCTTTACCGTCTACCATGTATCTTAACACCCTTTACTGTCTACCATGTATCTTAACACCCTTTACCGTCTACCATGTATCTTAACACCCTTTACCGTCTACCATGCATCTTAACACCCTTTACCGTCTACCATGTATCTTAACACCGAGATTGAGTTTATTTTAGGCCAGACATGACCAACACTGGCACATGCTCGGGTACATTCAAGAGCTTATAAATGCCCAGTTCTTGCAACGGTGTTAAGCAGAGAATAGACTGACAGCCAGACCCGATAGTGAGCTGACCAGTGGCGAGGATGATAAAGTAATTAACATTTAACAAATCAAACTGGAATTTTGGGTTAACTGTAATGTTATCTTAATAGTGTGTGGTAACTTAATGCCTTCACCCACCTGTGCTACCACTATCCACCTGGTACTACCACTACCCACCTGATACTACCACCACCCACCTGGTACTGGTACTACCCACTATCCACCTGGTACTACCACTACCCACCTGATACTACCACTACCCACCTGATACTACCCACCACCCACCTGGTACTACCCACTACCCACCTGGTACTACCACTACCACCCACCCACCTGGTAATACCACTACCCACCTAGTAGCAGCACCCACCTGGTAGAGAGTCTCATCATTCCAGTGGGGGTTGAGGCGTGAGAGAGATTTAGCGAGGCGGTTGTGTTCCCGGAACCATAGTGTGTGCATGGTGGTCAGGATCAGCTGCTCGTTCACCCGGATGTCTCCTGATAGAGATAGATAGATTTAGGGAGATATTTTTTCATTAAATCAAAATACAAGTTTACAATTGGTTTGACTCAATTCATGATATGGGTTCCTAACCAAGCTTTTGTCCTACTGTTCTTTCCCAACCTCATCAATGACAATGAAACTAGTTCACAAATTGGTAATAATTATAAGTTGATGGGTGGGGAAATGATAATACAAATGTATCAAATATTTTTAGCAAAAATATAGTAACGTACAACGGTACAAGATATGACAGTTTGAGGAATTTTGAAAATGTAAATCAACTCTGAATTGTAAACCCTTTTCAGCGTGACTGACACACCTGCCTCGAAGCAATACTGGTTGGGGAAGGACCTCAGGCAGCCCTCATCAGGCCAGTCCAGCTTTAGGGGTAGAAGTTCCTTTAATCCCAGCGACGAGAGGGTATTGTTCATCTTCATCAGTCCTCCACGTAGTAACCGCAGCTTCCTGAACCATCAAACATATACACAGCAATTTTATCTTAAAACTATATATTGTATGTATATGATTATTGGAGGACTAACTTTCTCAGCTTCCTGTACTCTCCCTTACACTTGGCTTTAAGTATGAACACTATGTACATGATTACAGTATGTGTTGGGAGTTTTAGTTTTGTAAGTTGCCTCAACAACAAACGTGTAACACTCAGCTTAAAGTCTGTGATTATATATATACTGTACTCCTCTCCCTCCATCACCATACACAAACTAAAAACATGATTATACTTTATGACCTCCCCATAACCTGGTGGAGTGATCCTACCTGGCAAGTACAGGGTCACTTCCATATACAGTATTAGCGTCAATGACCCCGGCCTGGACGTTGAAGGGGGCGCGAACACCTGGACGACGAGAGGAAGTCTAACTGTAGCAATACTCACTGTACCTTTACTTTCACTACTTCACAAACATTATAGGTACTGTATAGATATAGATACGAGTACAAGTCGATATATAGATACAAAATTCAAATGTAGTATACAGGTGTAAACGCAAGTAAGACATAGCACAGTGGTAACTATATGGAAACTGTTACCTATACGAAATTGTGCTATTAGTAGTATGATCATTATTATTTCACCTAATTATATGAACTAAGAAACTTCTTATACTAGGTAAGGATACTTATAGACTGCAATATGATTATCGTGCATAACTACTGCTTTGTATTAGTGTACCAGTGTAGTCAATATGCCTTGGACATTGCTAAATATTTGGCATCCACTTGTCTGTCACACAGTAAAACCTCCATCCAATGGACCTTGATCAAACATATATAGTCCGTCAGATACAAGTTTCACATATCATGGACCCCTCGATCTGACAGCTTTTTCTCTCCATTTAGTTCATCGGATGGAAGTTCCACTGTATTTGTCATTTGTCTAAGGCTGGTGAATGATGTTTGCCATTAGATTTGTCAGAATTAACCTGATGATACAGAGAAATTATTCTCACCAACATCCTTCCCTTACCTAGCCTACAATCCATACGGACGCCAGAAAACGCTCTGACGAAGTCCATGCAGCTCTGGCCGAAGGTGGAGTAGAAGGGATCATTAGGAGGCAGGTGTATGGGTAGGCATAAGGGGTTGGTCTGGTTGGCAGTAGACGGCTGACAGCATCCCCCTGGCTCATTCCTGGTCATTGGATCTGACGTCAACATAGAAACAGGTTAGGTTATTCTAGATTTGGTTGGGTTAGGCTATTATGTCATGATATGCTTTGCTATGTTAGTTTATGTTGAGTTATATTATTTTATATTGAGATATGTTAGTTTATGTTGAAGTATGTTGGCTTATGTTGGTCCATGTTAGTTTATGTTGGACCAAGTTAGTTTATGCTGGTCTATGTAGATAGAGCAAGTATACAAAGAGTACTGTACATCGATCCAACCAAGGAAGCCGTCAAAAGCATACTGTGATGCAAGTACATTTTAAGATATATAACTATATTATACCTCCTGACTAGTCGGGAATCGAACCCTGGACCTCTACGTGTGAACATGGATTGGTACCACCGCGCCACCCTTGTGGGTTGTGATATAAGACAACTCAAGGTAGGTTTGATCAGTTGATTAGATCAAGTCAGGTTTACCGAGGGGCGTGGCGGTGAGGGTAAAGTCGTGGTCCATGAACTGGCCCCACGCCACCACGTAGAGTGTGATGGCGTGATCATGAAAGCCCTTGTCGCGGTGGACGGTAGCCGAGACAGCCCGAGGCGAGGGAAGGTGTTCTCCACGCACAACACTGACCCGCGGGTCACCCACTCCATCACTGTACGCTGGCGGCACCAATCTGAGAAAAGGGTACAGGGGTGGAGGGTCCGGGTTATTGCATTGTCTTGTGGACACGGTAAATCTCCTCAAGATATTTAATTCCGACAAGTTAGGAATGATCCAGCACACCATATAGCTTATCCAGCATTTCAAGTATCGATTGTCTATTGTCCTTAAGTTTCTTGACAACAAAGGAGATGAACTAGTTGCTTGAGAAAGGTTTGTAAATGAGACATATCGTCAACACTCCCTCATCTCACATACTGTAGTGTTAGAAATTTCACAAGTCATGAGGATGAATGATATAACTTTAATCCTAATGGAACAACCATTCACAGTTTATCATCATCTATTAACCATCTAAATTATAAGGACATGTCAACATCTATACCTGGAGAAAACACTTCTGGTGGAGGCGAAGGTGGGCACATAAAGGTTGTTGCAGAGACCATCGTGGCGGCGGTACTTGCTAGGGATACAGCGTAAGGAGGAAGCGAAGTCCGGGCAATGTTTGGCGATAATCGTCTTACGAGTGTCCAGCTGGGGCAGCGCCGACCACACTTCCTGCTGACTCAGCCTGAACCTGACAGTGAAGAGAGTCGTATATTACTTGATAACCCCCAACAAAAGAAGGGGACTTAGAATCTAACAAAAACGAAGGGAAGGGAAAACCCGAAAAGAAAAAAGGAACATTAACAAATAAAGCAACTCATCGCAGCTACCTTGATTTCACAAATTTAAAAAAATTTCATCATAATTTGTCTGGTTCTCACAATTTTTTGTTTTGGAACCAGACAGTAAAACTCGAACCTAAATTTCACCAGTCTGTTGAAAATTATCACCATATAGCAACCCGACTGTGGAGGCTTGCTGGAAAAAATTCCAGCGGACGCCCTTGGTATAGTGGTAACAGTAGTAGTAGTAGCATTAATAGAAGCTGTAGCAAGGATAACACTACTAGTAACATCAACTAACACTGGTCCCCGGTAATGATAAGGCTTGATAATAACTATCAGTTGCCAAGTACGGTTTCACCTGAATGTAGAACTTGATTCTCTAGTCTAGGTTCCGATGCTGGGAATTGCACGTAACCGTAATTGCAAGCATTACTGTACATGCAACTACTTAATTTAAGCTAAACCACAAAAATAATGTTGAAGATATCATTAAATGTACACCGACACTCTACCTTCACTAGACACGTCACTTACGCCAGTTAGCGGACACAGATAAAGTATGAAATCTTAGTAAACTGAAACCTGAAGCGTAAATTTACCTTTGAGCAAGGATCCTGGTGGTGTGAAGGAGGACCTCCCCCAAGGGTGCTATGTCCTCAGGCTTCCAGGCTCCCTTAGGGCGGCTCACAATGGCTGTTGACATAAGCACTGTACATATTATGTTGTTAAATACAAAGGCGAAGGAAAATATGCAATTGTGCCTTTATCTGAGGTCGACGAGGGCAAGTGCAGGGGCGGCTCCAGGGGGGTCCTTAGGGTCCGGATCTCCCCCTTTTCATCATAAAATTCCAACACCTTTTCTTTAATGCACTATTGTACTCAGGCGTTTTTGTATCGTAAAAAGTAATAATAATTGACCTCAGAATATCTCCTAATATCAAGTGCACATGACCTCAAAATGCTCATGATATTGGTATATTTCAAACAGTTTCCGCCTCTCCGAAAAAACCAGCTCGCTGTGCTCGCCATGTTCCACTACCTACAACTTCTTGAACCCCCTTTTTGATAATCCTGGATCCGCCCCTACAGTGGTTACCTTATGTACTTATCTTCCTGGGTAAGTGACTCCCTATGTACTGACTTAACATAATATTATGTAGAGGAGACTGACCTGCCATTAGGTGTCAACTCACCTGTCTTCTCAGAGGCGGTGAGGAAGGCTTCATTAACGGCCGTATAGGTGATGCAGGTGTGGGTATAGGGGGACCTGTAGCAGGGGTGGTGTGGATGTTTCAATATTTTCTTAAATGGAACATAAAAGTATTTTTTTGTACCTATGAGGAGATTTTTAGTATATTGTATCTATTAATATTTTTTATGTTCTTACAATCACTTAAAGGCTTTCAGTCAGTGGCTAGATTATGTTAGTTATGTTATGTTAGTTAAGTAAGGTTAGATTAAAATGACTAACGTAAAGTTTGGTTAGTTTTGTTAACATTTGATTAGGTTAACTAAGGTTAGGGAAAGGTTAAACAGGTTAAAGTTAGGTTAGGTAAAGTTATTAGATAGTTAACTTATGTTAGGTTAAGGATAGGTTAGCATAGATTACCTAAGAGTAGGTTAGGTTGAGGTTAAAGGAAGGTTAGGAGGAATCAGACTCACTCTAGTGGCAGGAGTGTGTTGATGGCGAGGGTGGCTGCTGGTCTGTCCAGGAGTAGAGCACAAGGGTCCCCGCCCCGGGCCGTCACCATCACCGTCACCAGGAACATCCTCAGGCTGAAATAATTAGGTTTTATTTTGAAGTTTTGTTTTATCACGTATAATAATAGCAGCAGCAGTTGTTGAGGCATAACTAACTCAGCTAGAGTAGTTACTTTTGTATTAGGATATTTAGGTAATGAAATGATGGCGAAGGTGTGGCGAAAAGGGGAAGTTTGAGGCCACGTTGTAATAAGTTGCCATAGTAGTAGTAGTAGGTCATTATTTTGTACTTTGGTGTATACAATAATGATGATAGTTAACCTGGTCAGGACGGAGTACACTTTTCACTTTGTGTGTGTGTGTGTGTGTGTGTTAACAACTTTCTTCACCAAGACGAAGGCGTGTAAAGTACTCTATCATGTGCTTAATTACCCAGCGACAACACAGAGACATTGTAGAAAGTGTCTGAAACAGTGACCTTCTGAAATCCTTATTTGTTGTAAAGTTTAGTTTTCTCCAGCTAAGTAACACAAAGGCGTTGTATATGTGAAAACCATAACAAAGGATTAACCTGACCGTGTTTTAAGCTTGGCGCGTGGCTGTAACCTAAACATAGTTCACCACTTATAAACAAAAGACTGGCACACTCTCTCTCCACGCTTCACACGTCTGCCTTTGTCCAGCTTCTCTATATCTTAGTCTTTAGTTCTCTTATCACGCTTTCACTCTTAACTCTGCTGATCTAGTTCAATAGTACTTATTTTCTCTCTTCTAATGAATTGAAACTTAAAAATCGAACCCCCAATACACGCCAACAGTCCAAGTGGCCGACAAGTGGTGAAAAGGATAACTGTAACTACAAATATTAATGTAAAAAAGGTTGATGTAACACTGAGAAACCACAATATTAATAACAGATACGATACATGCCTTGACAACTGTAGCTTTAGTGAATTGATACAAATTGGTGTATCAGTGCACAACAGGAGCACTTATGTATGGTAATGGTATAAACTCGAGACTTACAAATATGTTCTACGTTAACATTTCCTTCCGTTTTATGAAGCGGAGACCTCTCACTCACCCACTGTACAGACATTTCGTGCAATATTGATTTCATGTTAGTTGCCAATTGGTTAGCGATTGTGTACAACTATCACTATCACTTCCCAGCCACGGTAGATAATGAGGTGACTTTTTATGCGGCTTCCTGCCTCTGCTTGTGTGGCAGCAGGAAGTGTAACTTCACTGTCAACTTATTGAACAACTTACTTTCAGGCGCGGCATTAAGAGAGGAACATTTGTATCATTGGTGAAATTAGTAATGTTTACAGGAGCTTTGTGGTGGTTTACCTTATGTTTAGTCGATAACAAAAATAGTAGAAACAAACAAGAATAAATTATATTTACTTCGAAGAAAGTACTTGAGCCTAAGCCATCCTGTGCATACCTCCATCCTGCTGCTGCTACAATTACTACTATTGTGTATGAGTTTACCTTCACCCTGGTCATATTGCTATGTACTGTATGTATTTTTGTGTGTGTGTTTACCACCAGCAACTGTAATAACAGGGAAATAAAACTTCACTTACTGGCAAAATAGTAGATTAGCGGCCATGTTGACTAGGCGACTGTGTAACACTGGAGGACTGAGAGGACTGTGTAACACTGGAGGACTGAGAGGACTGTGTAACACTAGAGGACTGAGAGGACTGTGTAACACTGGAGGACTCAGAGGACTGTGTAACACTAGAGGACTCAGAGGACTGTGTAACAATAGAGGTCTGTAACACTAGAGGACTGTGTAACACTAGAGGACTGAGAGGACTGTATAACACTGGAGGACTCAGAGGACTGTGTAACACTAGAGGACTCAGAGGACTGTGTAACAATAGAGGTCTGTAACACTAGAGGACTGTGTAACACTAGAGGACTCAGAGGACTGTGTAACACTGGAGGACTGAGAGGACTGTGTAACACTTGAGGACTGAGAGGACTGTGTAACACTAGAGGTCTGTAACACTAGAGGACTGTGTAACACTAAAGGACTGAGAGGACTGTGTAACACTAGCGGACTGAGAGGACTGTGTACACAAGAGGACTGTGTACACTAGAGGACTGTGTACTACTGAGGACTGTGTAACACTAGAGGTGTGTGTAACACTGGGGCTGTGTAACACTAACACAGGTTAGGTAAATTATAACGTTAACGTTAGGATAGGTCAAACTAACGTTTGGTTAAGGTAAGGCAAAGTAACGTTAGGTTAAGGTAAGGCAAAGTAATGTTAGGTTGAGAAAGGTGACTTGTACAGTGTAACGGTGCGGATGTTACACAGTTGAAGGCTGGAAGGTGACTGCCGGGAAGGGAGTGCCGGACTTGGAGGTTCTGGTCCGAAGCAGCTGGAGCCTGTCGGTGGTGTGTGGGCTCAGGGATGCAGGCGGGTCCGCTACTGAAACGCCAAGTAGTCACTAAGGCCCTGCTGGTTGGGTCTATTATGTAACGTCATGTTATTAAACGGTATTATTCTTACAACGCCCCTTTATTATGTCTGCAGACACTTTCTAACCTAACTTAACCAAGCAAACCTAACTTACGACAACATTTACTAATCTGAGCAGAAAGTTATGCCAAGGAATAATTTGGTATTATAATGTTTGTAAACTAAGGGCTATGATTATTTTCTATTGCAACCAGCAGTTATTTTCGCAAGTTTAGGAAGATTATCGGGTTTAATTTGATGTATTACCTATGTCAGAATTTTCTAGAATGTATTGCATCATTTTTGTTATGATTTACTAACGTATTATAAGCTTCGATCAGAGTAGAACGTTCTAGAGCTTCCCAAGCATATCTTGTCCAGACTTGCAAGTCCTGGTTGGTGCTAGGGTGTTCCAGGATCGTCTAATGAGGTATATAAGCGGCAGCGAGCCGCCTCGAAGAATAATTATCCTATGCAAATGATGTCACCCAAATCATCCGACATCCAGGCAAAGCCAAACAGATGATGGCACGAAAAACAGCCCACGCCATCGAACAAATAAATCACTCTGAAAAAATTGGACAGTTCAAATTAATACATAAACTAAAGATCATTCACATTGCCAAAACAAACCCAGCACCAATCACAGTCAACAGCGAACCTATACAATACTCCAACGAAGGTAAAATAGTGGGACTCACAAGAACAAGAAAAACAAAACACACAACACAACGCAAAACGCTTACCCAATCACAACTTGCAAAACTATGAAGATTCAGCAAAATGGACACAACATTCAGCTACACCTATTCAAAGCACTTGTCCGCCCCCACCCGCCCCCACTTGGAGTACCAGCCAAAACCACTCGGCAAAATCAGTAAACCTAAACTTCAAGCAGTACAAAACAAAGCTTCCGTAGAGCATCAAAGCAACTCCCCCACACCAAAATACAAGAACTTCACGAACTATACAATATCAAACCACTGAAAAAAACGTACACAGCCAAGCTGAGAGAGTTTGGCGCAAACTTGGAGTTGGAGGACCCAATCTTCTCCCAATCAAAGAAGAAACCACAAGAACACCCAGCTGGTGGCCCAAGAGCCTCCATGCTGACATAGAAGAACCAGACCCACTATATTAATAAATAACACCACCATCTAACTAACACAAATTAACACACTTTACACAAACGAGTGCTCAGCTAACTTAACCCCCACCGACTCCCCTGAGTGAGCGGGCTCGTGCTGTGTATGGCCACCACCCCAACCATTCACCTCGACTCGGCTAGGTGGATGGCCCACCTGCTTTACTCCCTATAACTTAACTTAACTTTCCGTTTCTATTCTTCCCTTTTCTCTTACCTCTCCTCTCGCATGGCAAAGCCATTTGCCACTTTACTTCATTATCATCATCATCATCATCATCGGGAGGTCAGTCGATGGTTTCTGCTCAATGTTAAGTACGTGCCTATTAGTGACAACTGAAGTAATTGTTGTGCAAGTATTATGGAATTGTTGCGAGTGATATAAAGTGAAAAGACTAAGGAATTGTGCAATGATAGTGTGCTGACTGTATATTAGATATGAGAAGTCCAGTGGTAAAGACATACCCTGTGAACAGTTGTGTGACGACTTCGTGATTATTAAAGATGCATACAGTTCACAAGTGTGTTTCTGTGACCTGGTGGAAATCTACCTGCCTGTTTGTCTGTACTGTACACTGATACCAATCGTCGGGATATTACCGGAGACCGGCGGGAGAGCCAGTGGTAATTCGACGACACTTGTGATATATTTATTGCTTCTGTATACGACCATGGCCGCTGGTAACCAGCGGTGGACGCTGGGAAGCGGCGAAAGAAGAGGGTCGTAACAACAGAATGGATGAGGGGAGGAACCCAGAGAAAATTATAAATGCAAGACAGGCCTCTGGTTATACAGACGCGAAACTATTGGTTTGAGGATTAAAGTGTCATTGTAGGAGCTGCTTATGAGATAAAACAGCAGTATGAAGGTTGACCTGGTCAAGAAACTGGTCCTATTATAAACAATATTTATTGGTATACTTGTAATGTACAATTATTTTTTCATTCTGCTTATCAATCTCGTTTTAAAATCAACAGTTTCTTTCGTTAATATTGTCAGCCAAACAACCCTGACCTGGGTGTGTCAGCGTCAACCTCTTGCCTCGTCCTGTGGTGTCCCATCACCCTTGTTTCTGTCACTCGCCGTTCTCAACTTGGCCATCACTATTTCTTCCTCTAGTGATAATATCCTCATCCTGGCCGCGTGTTCCTTGGTTCTCATCTCAGAGTCTTCTTTCAGCATACTCATCCTGAAGCTGTGATCCTCCCGAGCTAGAGTGAGCAGCTTGGCGTGCAGGTCTGGGCAGCAACAGAAGGACGGGACACGGGTGGGAACCATCCCATACCCACCCTGGCGAAGTGGCTCTCTCACATCTTGTAGTTTCGGCTTCTTCGCAGCTTGGGGTAACTCTTCCGTCATCGCGTCAACACTTGAAGCGAAAGACGGGTGAAAGAATGCATTACCTGGACTGCCTGTGTGTGACGAGGTGTGTGGCGCGCCAACTTTTGACAGGGGGGTATGGCTGTCTGGGGGTGGACTACACTGCCCAGTAAGTGACGATGGATTTTGATAAATAGTTGACGGAGTTGTTGTTGAATCCTGTTTGTGTAGCACGGTTGGTGTGGGACTGACCTCGGTTACAGTCAAAGAGTGGGGAATGACAGGGATGGAAATGACTGGCTCCTGGTGTGACTGGCTATGGCTGCTGCTCAATGGTTCGGACATCACTGGGGAGGACTGACAGCGTTGGCTGGCGAAGATGGAGTCTGGGAACAGATCAGTGGCCGAGGATTCCCTGTCTGGAAGGTCCTCAGGTGAGCCTAAATCATCATCACGTGGCTCATTCTTAATTTCCATCTCATTTGTAAATCCTTCTTTTAGCGACACTTGCATCACCTGGAGAGGAACAGTAATATATTAGTTCAGGTGAACACCTCGACCAGTCTAATGTATGTAATACTAGCGGCTGTCAGTTGAGCCATTTGGTGATGATTTTAGTTTAGAAACAATACCAAGTGTTGTATTGTTAGTTACAAGTGCCCGAATAGAAGTTTAGTATGCACGTATTCAATGAAATAAAGACCAAACCGTATAATGAAATTCGCGATTCAGTCTAGACGTCGGTAAATTGTTACACAAGTTCAAAGCTTCGTACAGAAATAACTGAACTTGTAAACATACGCTAAAGACTCACCTGTTCAGGGGTGACGAAGGTCGAGTCGTAATGATGGTTAAACTTGAAGAGTTCGCTGTTGTCAGGCAAGGTGTGAGTGTCCGTAGCTACCAGACGCTGCAGGTGACGCTGTTGATGTTGCATCTGTTGATGTAACAAGCCCAACAGCATTTCTGATATAGGGTCTGGGTCTGGCGGCGGAACCCCTGACGCCACCTCCCCAAGCCTAGCTTCATACCTCCTTGCCTTCGCCTTCATGTTCTTGTACAGAGTCTGGATCTGTTGACGGGATCGCGGCGCTGACGTGTTGGCGTTGAAGTGTCGCGTTATTTCGTCCCAAAGTTCAGATTTCCGAATAATAGTCTGTGCGTCATTCTCTCGAGCGTCCAGCACGCCCATGTGGGTAGCGAGAGCCCCCAGCAGGAGAGAGCGCTCAGCAGAGGAGGCACTGGTACTCCTTCCGCCGCGCACCAACATCATCCCATCCATCATGGTGGTTCTTGCCGATGTGTAACCTTCCTCACCAACAGTCCTTAATCACTCTCCTGAAAAAGTCCTGGTGGAGTAGGCGGGCAGTTCCTCTGCTCCAACCTGCAACCACAAGGCGAAGATGCTGACATTATCAAGACGAACTATTAGCCAGTAGCCTTAATTCAATTTTTTCCTGTCTGAAGCCTCTTGAGTATGTATATAACTGTGTATGGAAATAAGCAAACAATTTTAAACACTGACATTATTTACATGTTTAAGGGGGAGAAATGAGGTCTGTTGCTGCCTTGCTGTGGCTTGCGTGTGCCTGTGGCTACTTCTATTATTATCAACACACCTCCCCCCAAACACTCCCACAACCCCCACACCCCAATAACCCACATCACCTACACCCACCCCACACACACATTCCACAACCCCACACACGCCACAATCCTTCCATCCACACAAACCCCACACACCTCCTACAACTACCCACACCCCCCCTCACACACCACAACACCCACACCCCTCACACACCACAACACCCCCCCTCACACACCACAACACCCCCACACACCACAACACCCACACCCCCCCCTCACACACCCCCCCCACCCCCCACAAACCCCCTCACACACCACAACACACCACCACACCACAACACCACCCCCCTCACACCACAACACCCACACTCACACACACACACCCCCCCCCCCTCACCACAGCACCCACACCCCCCACACACACCCCACACCCCCACACACCACACACCACACCACACCCCCCTCACACACCACACACCACAACACCCCACCCCCCCCTCACACCACAACACCCACACCACAACACCCACACCCCCTCACACACCCCACCCCCTCACACACCCACCCCACCACACCACAACACCCACACACATCCCCCTCACACACCACAACACCCCCACACACCCCTCACACACCACAACACCCACACATCCCCCCTCACACACCACAACACCCACACCCACCTCACACACCACAACACCCACACCCTCCTCACACACCACAACACACACAGTACAATAATAAAGTAACACTCACCTGGCTCGTTTCCTAGTGGTCGTGTTGATTGATGAGTCCCAGCTATTGAGAGTCTACACCCACCACCACACTCAACACCTACCACCAGTACCACTACAACCACCACGACTTTTTTAGTATACCAGACTGGGTGGTGTCTCCTGCTATACTAGGGTGGTAGTAGTGGTGAATAGTGGTATGAATATCGAGCTAGCGACTGTTATCTAGACACGCTATCTACACTTATCGAGCCACTGGCATAGCGATAGGAGATATAGATAACGAATTTACTGGGGATATTTAGAAATGTCTGGTCTGTTTGTGTTCTAATGTATTTGTCCTTATTGTACGTGTTTGTAATTGCATGTGTTTGTGTGTGTGTATTGTACGTGTGTTTGTCTCTATTGTGTGTGTTGTACGTGTGCTCTACGTACGTGTGTGTGTGTGTGTGTGTGTGTGTGTTGTACGTATGTTTGTTTGTGTATTGTACGTGTGTTTTTTTTTGTTTGTGTGTGTGTGTATTGTGCGCATGTTTGTGTGTGTTGTACGCGTGTTTGTGTTTGTTTTGGGGTGCACATGCATAATTTATATTCACATGAACGTTTTTCGGTGTATGTGTGTGTTTGTGATGGGTGTCCGTGAGTATGAGTTGTGTTTACCCAAGTTTGTTTCGGGTATGTATCTTTGTTCTGGGTGTACGTGTATGTATTTTCTAGGTGTGTGTGTGTGTGTGTGTGTGTGTGTGTGTGTGTGTGTGTGTGTTGGTCAAACTATCGAGTTTTTCAGCAAATACCTTCCTACACTTACACTAATCAGGGTTAGGTTAGGTTGTTATTAAGCTTATTTAAAGTGTCATGACAAATCCCTGGTTGATTCCGTCCACATCAGAGTGACCTTACTCCTGTCTGATGTAATGTACGTAATAGTGAGTATTATTAAAGGCAGGAGAAACAAGACGATAATATACCCAGTTTATTAAAGAGTTGCCAACACCTACTTAGACATTGAGTCTTATGGGGAAAAAGAGAACAATTGAGATTAAAGTTTTCTAAAGCGTTTCAATCGGATTTTTTTTTTTTTTAAATACTACAAATAACACCAAACAAACCTTTGAAAACCTTAACTAACTATTACTAACTTGTACAAATGTTAAGAACTGCTTTTGAGTTTATGGATCCTACCTCATCTGAACACCGAAAGCAACAACATCGTATACTAAAAACCGAAAAAAAACACCATCGCATACTAAATACCGAAAGCATGAATAAAGTAAAGCTTTCTATAGTTTTAGGATTTTTAAATGTCAGGAAAAGTTACGAAAGGTTTTCAAAACTTTGTTTATTGTCTTTCTTTAGTGTTTTACTCCACATTCCCTCTACTTCAAAGCCCTGCCCACTTTGAACAAGTAATATTGAGGGTAATATTATCGGTTAGAACACTGGAAAAATAAAAAAAAATTCCGATGGAAACGCTTTAGAAAACATTTTTAGTTTTTCTTTTTATCCTCATAAAAGACTCAATATATAAGTAGGTGTTGGCAACTTCTAAATATTTACCGAATATTATTGTTTTAAATATTTCATATACAGTATAACATTTGAGATATATACATTCATCATTTGTACAATATATCACGCAAAACAGAACTTATTAAAACTTAAACTATAGTCATAATTAACATTTAATTTAGGGTGCCCACGTGTAGTCCAGCACAGTCGTAAAGTGGTGCGTTCTGCGTTAGAGAGGAACACAAACCTGACAGCAAGCAGCCAAGGGAGCGTCCTCCCCGACACACCAGACCCTTGGCAGCTGTGCACCCCCGTGACGCTGCTATGGTCACCCCCACTTCCTTCCCACATTCAGTCTGGAACCTGTGTCGCCCCTGTAGTGCTCCGTGACACGTGACAGGTCCCCACACTCCATCAGGGGCGGAACATCGAAGGTCTGTGTGTTGGCGCGAGCAGTCAACGTGTAGCTGGGCGCCTCGTTCAGCTGGCACTAACAAGGTAGGTAATGATGGGTGTATATCCACCTCGTTCACCTTCTTTGAACCTGTTAGTTCCTCTAAATAGCGCAGCACCAGAGTACATCCTTCACCAGATACCAGAGGCTTCAGCACCTCCCGAGTCACCAGCAGCTCCTGATACAACCGCCGACTTAAACCATGACGAGTGACGTCATACTGCAGGAGGGGCAGCCATCCATCTAGGGAGGTGCCCACCAGCCTCACACTGGCAGCCACAGAGTTCACGGGAACGGACGCAGCCACTACATATGACCCTCGCCACGTCCGTTGTCCGCCAGTCAACAGCAACTTGGAAGCTGCCACTATGGATTCAGTGGGCGAAAGAAGTGGATTCTCTCTCAGGAAACCTCCTGGAGTATCGTCGTGAGCACGGTACATGAAGGTCAGCAGCTCAGACTGGTTAGTCCGCATGCGATCGTGTATCTGCGTCTGGAAGGGCAGAATCCAGACGGCAGGGAAGATACTGTCAGCTGCCCTGATGAGGCGCCAGGTGTCAGCGGTGCCCAGTAGAAGGACAGGGCTTGGAGTTATGACCAGTTGACCTTTCAATCGCTCCGCCAGTTGCTCCATGTCGGCCGTCTCGTAGTAGTGAAGCACCTGTGGTTACCACCCAACACTTGCTTACTGTCTGTACTCACCACACTTACACAGCATATCCAATGTAATCATTATTGTGTATTTTACGCAATTAAGTAAATATTCTCACCGAAGTCTACGAGTCTATACTAAACCTTGAGAAACATTAATATGAATAATGGGGAACTAGCTGATACACTACCTTGATTGGACGGATGCCAATGTCACGAAGGTGAGCGAGGAAAGCGTCCGTGTGGAGAGATGCTCGCGCCAACACCAATGGACGGGGATGATGCACCAGGGTCAGGAAGTCTCCTACGGCCGCCGCCAACAACTTTGCTGACGGCTGCACCTTCACTATATTTCTGGCTCCCTCCAGGTAAGTTGTTGTTGCCGTTGGCGTCACAAACCTCGCTCCTGAAGTAGAAATAGCATTGATTATTATATTAACGACACATCTCGTTCCTGATAGTATCCTCATCACCTTTAGCTGTAACCCTCCTCTGTCTGTCTCTATACATGTGGGGGGCGTGGATATGTGGGGCGTGGGAGTGAGAGGGGGTAGGTGTAGGAAGGCGCGGGTGTAGGAAGGCGGGGGTGGGAAGGGGGGGTGGGAGGGGGAGGGAGGGGGTGAGGGAGGGGGTGTGGGGAGGGGGATGTGGGAGGGGGGTGGGAGGGGGTGGGAGGAGGGGTGGGGAGGGGGAGTGAGTGGGTGGGGGGTACTCCTGAAATCAAATATCAAAACATAAACGATAAACTTGCGCGAAGAGATATGGCGTGCAGAGGGAGGTGAAAAGTAAAGACCTACCTGGAGCTTTGGCCCTCGCCCAGTGAGCTACCGTCAGCGCCTCCTCATCCGTCAGGTAGCCGAAGTAATGGGTGGTGCCGTGGACCCCATAGAAGTGCTCCGTCAACTGCCTGAAAAATACAAGGCGAGTCACGCTTTGTTAACACTGTAATGGTGAATAAAAAAAAAACTCCAGTAACCTGTGAGGTTTTTTCATCAGGTTATTTTTACACAATTACGCAGGAAATAGGGTCACTGCTCAATATGGCCAGCATTAGCCAGGCTCTTTTGTGTTCACGTACGTAAGGATGGTTTTCTGAGCCCTAAATGACGCCAGTGGTAACAACCTTATGAATAACCGTGACTATCAACTTTTATAAAGGTTTAAAGAAAATAACAATGACCCTAAATTTACCACACGCTATATCACGACTCACTGAGCAAACATCAACCAATCAACTGGAATAATGTTTTCATCTGAAGAGGAAACGATTGTAGTGGATTTGCGTATGACTTAAGATTCACTTGGCAACCAGTTATCTGCAACGGCCAGTGAATTATACAGAAAATTATATACAAGTTCAACAGTAATTTTTCGCTTGATAGTCTCTGGGGAAAAGCCCAGCACTAGTGGATGAATCACTTGCTTCTTGACCCAACAGACGCCAGTTCAAATACTGCGGTTGGCAAAGGAGTATGGTGTCCCCAGTCAACCCAACTGTAGAATGGGTACCTAAGGTGGTGTTGGGCGGTAAAGTGTAGTGCCCGCCACGCTGCCTTCTGTATCGGCCGCCAGGAATATGGGACCTACTTTAAATGTCGCTGTCTGTAGGATAAACCGAGGGAGCCGTTTCCGCTTCTTTTTTTTGCCCTACACGCTGTTTAATCGTAAGTACAGCCACTTGTTATACCAATTGAATTACTAAATCTCTCTCTCTCTCTCCCTCACCTGGCCAGGTCCGGGTCGCTCTGGGAGTCTCTGACTAGGACGCTGCTGGGGAGGAACCTGGAGGAGTTGTTGATGGAGGGGTGGTCTTGCCTCTTCTCGCCCGCCTCCTGCTGATTCTCATCCATCTCCCGCTGCCTCTCCTCATCCAACTTCTGCCTCAACTCTTCCTGCTGCTTCTCCTCCTCCAGCACCTGCTTCAGCCGCCGCCCGTAGCTGCCCGAAACATAAGCTTTAATTAGTAAGTCGATAGGTATCTTCGTCTAACATACCTACCTAATGTAACCTAACTACCAAACACAACACAAATTAACACAACACAACTACCAAACATGACTGTGGAACATAACAGTACAATACTTGTCATGGCAAGTGCCTTTGAGATCTACCTGCCCTGACAAATTTATGGAGGGAATTTGCTTGTCCGGATTTTTTTATGGGAAATGTTAAATAAGTATATTAAACAATCTGCCAGAGAATATTGTGACGGCACCAAGTGTGAGCTCTTTCAAGACCAGAGTTGACCAACACTGGAACAGGTTCAGGTACATACAGAGAAGGATGGCAAGACTAATCCCGGCCATTAGGAACCTTGAAAATAAGAGACAGGTTAAAGCATCTGAATCTGCACTCCCTTGAGAGACGTAAAGTGAGGGGCGATAGATCGTGGTGTATAAATGTAAGTCAGGGTAAAATAAAGGTAATTAAACTATTCACACAGCAGCGAACTCATTGCAATGGTTTAAAATTAGACATTTAGATTTAGGCGCGAGATAGGTAAACATTGATTTGGAAACAGTAGTGGATGAGTGGAACAAGTTACCGAACATCATCATTAACTCCAATACGCTAGATAGCTTCAAACATATATCGGATGGATATATGAGCGATAGGAGTTAGGTGTAAACGGGACTGCCCAGTATGAGCCAATAGGCCGGCTGCAGTTCTTATGTAATATATCCCAACCCAACCAAACCTAACCTACCCAACCTCCTGGGCTATTAGTGCAACATTACCTACCTAAGGCCAAGATAACGGGTGTGACCTCGGAGGGGCAGAAGGAAGGCCACAGCGTCGGGGTCAGCAGGGTCAGTGCCTACAGTGTCTAGCAGGCCCTTCACCTCGTCCGAATACTCCATCTGGTCCACCTCCCCCACCTGTAAATCCAAACACAGGTACAAAACACGTCACCAGCCAACATGCCTCGCGTCACCAGCCAACATGCCTCGCGTCACCAGCCAACATGCCTCGCGTCACCAGCCAACATGCCTCGCGTCACCAGCCAACATGCCTCGCGTCACCAGCCAACATGACTGCATCACCAGCCAACACGCGCGCCAACCATGCCACCAGCCAACATGCACCAGCCAACATGCACCAGCCAACATGCCACCAGCCAACATGCCTCACCAGCCAACATGCGTCACCAGCCAACATGCACCAGCCAACATGCCTCACCAGCCAACATGCCTCACCAGCCAACATGCCTCACGTCACCAGCCAACATGCCTCACGTCACCAGCCAACATGCCTCACGTCACCAGCCAACATGCCTCACGTCACCAGCCAACATGCCTCACGTCACCAGCCAACATGCCTCACGTCACCAGCCAACATGCCTCACCTGGTTGTAGTCTTGAGTCACTTCTTCCTTCAGCTGGTCGTGGATGGTCTGGACGATCTCTTGGTAGATGTAATCTTTCTTCTCCTGTGGCAGGTCGGCGCCACCTTGTGTGTGGTGGTCCTTCTCGGGTTGGCGTAGCACCTTGAGCGACACAGCCGAGTCCCTCTCAGAGGCTCCCTGTAATAATTTCAGTTGGCTAGTGTTAGTTTCTCCCCAGCCTGTTTGTGTGCGGTGGATCATATTGGTACGGTGTACATTAGTACTAGTCTCTATAATCTCTTGGTATTCACTGTATACTATATTACAGCTGCATAACAAAATGGGGTCCCAATGTAGTATCTACGTTTTCTATGGTGATGCATCACAGCAAAGGGGCAACCTCTACATGGCCGAAACAATAATTTGACCTTCATAAATTCCAATCGTTTCAGTTTCAGATAATTGTATCTACAATATTTTCTGGTAACTGCGTTGAACCAGGAAAAAGGCACTACCAAAATGAGATATTTCTACACAATTTCATGACCCAAGAAACGTTAGCAGACGACAGTTTACAAATTGATCAACAACAAGACGTTCAGCTATAATGGTTACTCACCAGGTGAAACTGTAGCATTGGTAGCGAGAGAGCCACACCCATCACGCAGGTCACCAGCACCGCCACCTTCACCAGGCCACCCATATCGTATTTATCTACACACTTGTGTTCCTTGACGCTCACCTCTGGTTCACAGAGCAGTTTCACGTCCTCCCAGCAACGACCCATGATGGCGGTAGACTGGCTGATGATTATCCAAGTTCTAAGAGCCGTGTGAGTGAAGCGTCTCGGACACCTCGAACACCATGAACCACTAATGGTCAAGTAAAAACCGTGAGTGAAGCATTTGGGACATCTAGGGCGCTTCAATACAGTACTGTATTGTGGTTTTGAAGTGAAATACACCCTTTCACATATCCGTTGAGACATTGTTACATAACTATTTGACAAATTTCATAACCGAATGACAGAACACATATCGAATGACACTCTAAAATAACTGTTCGTTCGTGCTAACGGAAGTGATTGACATAAGTTATGAAGTTGACAGACGTGAACAATAAACCGACAGTCTACACATAGTTTGAGAATGTAACAATTGGAGAATGACATACCACCAACAGTTATTGTAGATTGTCATTCGATATGTGTTCTGTCATTCGGATATGTGAAAAGGTGCATACCATATGTTGGTGAAGGTTCATTAGGGGAGACCAAAAAGCTTTGTGAAGCACTTGAAAGAATATTGCTTCAAGGCTTCACCAGATCTGACTGTCGATACTTTTACGTATATTAATGTTGTTGTATAGGCACAACTATTTTTAAAAATGTCTTACTTCAGACATTTAAATTATTTCAAAGTGATTTTTTTTTAAGAAAGAAATGATGAGTGGAGATGAGAAAACATTTGAAAACCGATTGAAACTGAATTAAAATTAAAATATTTTATTGACAAAACAATTACATCAAAAGGACTCCCACCCGACCCTTCTGGGGATGACAAAAAATTATAAATGTTATAACAATACAGTAATTATTTTTACACCAATGAAATAGTTAAAGGAGCAAAGCACCGGGTGCCGTAAGCTTTTCCTTTTTAATCGCATATTATGATAACTCACCTCTCGTTATAGGAACACTGATCATCCTCAGTGTACACTGACTTGACACTAATTCACGCCTTAAGTCTACTCTTACTTTGTGATGAGACCTGCATACTCGGAGGTAATTTGTCCAAACTAGCAGTTCCAGCCCATTTCCTACGAAGTTGACTGGCCCAGTGGCCCTACCCTGTGGGTCAGCGTAGCTGTTGTCCTTGCTTCCAACACCTCGCACTTTATTCTCTTCCTTTCATATGTCACCCAACCTCTTGCCTTTAGCAATTCTCTCTAGAAATTCTGTCCAGTATATATTCTGTGCCTCCTGCTTGGTTTCACTACACATGTTTGCAGTTTCTTTCAGTACGTCCTTGATTTCATTATTGTTTTGGATTTGCACTCCATTCTCTTTCCACATTTCTATGGAGTTAACTCCAGCCCTGAACCGTTTGTCTCTAACATACATATTACGTTTCCCATTATTTATTTCTCCTTTATAACTAATGTACACTTACTTGTCGTCAAAACAGAATCAATATGTAATAAATCATCATAAAAGCTATCAACATCCTTTGGTTCATAATCTGTATACTGTAGTAGTGATCAGCTTCTCTTTTGTGTCTTCCGGCAACCAATATCTTTTCCGCTTTATTAGCCAAAGTCAGCAAACAAATAAAGCACAAATTTCTAGAGGTCATTAACCCCTTTGCTGCGTTTCCCGCACTTGCCAATTTATTCTGGCTACCGCCAGACGATTTTATTCAGCTTAGGGTAACCTCCCACAGCCAGAGGGTTAAGTGTTCAGGTTCAATGACCAGTGCACTGTTCTGAATCAGGTTATGAAAATACAGTGCAGTGCTCAAAAGGATTTCAATAAATGTTGAGGTAGACGATTTTCTCTTAAAGAGGAATCAGAGTGGCTGGGGTGTACTTGCGTGGTTTACCTGCCATACTTCAAAATCAGTGGTGGACATATTTTTTTTTTTTTGCATTTTTTGATATAAAATATATATATATATCAGTGTTGGTTGTACACAGTGAGAGTAAGTCTCAAAGGCCACTGTCAAGCAATAATAATATCATCATTATTAAGGGAGACAAATGGGAGCCAAAAAATTATTACCCTAAACACCGCACTTATATATCAAGTGTTCACCTGTTTACTGATTTTTTAAGATACAGATTGCATTATTCTTTCTGATGAAAATTACTTTTTCCTGATATAGGTCGTTCTTACACTGACCTCCAGAATTATTTAGTAATAATAATAATGTCATGTCTCAAATTAGTACAGTGTAGTCTAACTCGTGCACCTGTAAGCATTTCACCATTCTCTCATTGTCAAATTATATTGTCACACAAACATTAAAATGAAAGTTGAGTAATATGATGAGTCTTATGTCTTAGAAATTAATTTTGGCTGTAAAATATGTTTGTTTTTGTACAACGTCTCTCCCACTCCAGTACATTGTGGGTTTGAGTCCTGTCCCAGAGTAAGGGTGTTATCCAGTGAGTCCCTCAGTGCTAAACATCACAAGTTTCCTCCAGGTACTACACCTTCCTCCTATCCAAACATTGGACAATAAAGTTCATAACAAAGTACTGTAACAAAAAATAGACCAACTGCCCATATGACTACAAAGTTGGTAAATGGTGAATTGAATACTGTAATAAATTGTTGTAAGTATGAGCTGCCTAAGAGAGACAGGAGTGAGACAATGGAGGCTTATAAATATTCAGCAGAAGCAAAACACTCACTGCCTATGATGGAATTCAAAGAAATTTTATACATAATTACTTTGATATAATATGGAACTGTAATTTCTTTAAGTATGAAGGCAGTATTTTTATCTGGGTATTTCTACAATGGCATTTGCTTCCAGTTTAGTGACTTTTTAAGACATTCTCAAATTGGTTTTGGCATCATGGCCCAAAAATACTATTTTTTATTTAAAGTTAAATAGGACAGTTTGGCAGAAGGACGACCAGTGGAAAAGGGAACCTGCATTTAACAGATAAATTAATTTACAATTACGTACAATATTACACACAGTTCATGACTAATCTTCACATTACAGTAATTAGATACAAATATTAAATGACAGATATTGTAATTAGTAAGCCACTTAAACAATGCTGAGGCTCCTTCTTGACACAGCAAGTTCCTTATGTTTGACTGCCTATTAAGAGGAGTGTGGACACAACACACTAACCCAAGGACGTGAAGATACTGTTCCGAGCTCCACCTACCTTCACTACCCCAACTGTAATGTTATGTACAAATTCACAATGAGGTAGACAGATTCCCTGGGCATTAACCAACAAATTTGAGGCAGGGAGAGCATGATGTGTCCACTCAGTCAATGGTAGTCTTCCTGGCCAAATGCTCAACAACATTAAGTCTCAAAGTTTTTCATGAGGCTCCACAGGTCATTTGTAAAGTGTGAAGGCAAAAGAGAACAGTTTCCATGTCATTCATTTATTTGAGTACAGTATGATAAAGATCAATTAATATGTATGTGTACAACCTTACTATACTGTACAAGTAAAAATTATAAACACAAGAATTATAGTTAAGAAGTTGAGAAATAAAAATTGGTTCAAAAGGGACATAAAAAAATTATATATATATATTTATATGTAAACTTACAGTAAAAACCAAGATATAAGTGAATTATGAAAGTAATATATAAATGAATGAAAGTGCGAGTATACTGGAAATCATAAGAGAGGTGTTGCTATGTGTGTCAGTGTGAACAAAATGACCTTCAAAATATAGCTACAGGTGCCATGATTTGATAATATAAACAAGACAGTAGTACATCACCTCCCACCAATATATACTGTGCCATTTACCAACATACATGACCACCTGAGTGACAGAATCCATTTATAGCCGAAATCATTTACCGCCACGTCTCCGTTCTGTCACAGACCGCCAAACTTGCCTTGTATTCACCACTGACGTCACAGTTCCGTTCAGTCTGTGTGCACCTGACAAATAAACATGGCAGGAAATTTGAAACTCTCAGCGATTACACTATTATTGAATGAAGGAGGAGGGAAATAGATTGTGTGATAAAAAGAATATTGGACTCTGTACAAGGGAACCAATAATTCAGAATGTCACTATATAAATTCAACTTCTTGCTGAAGGAAATAGACATGGGTTTGACCAGAAGTAGCACTAAATGTCGGGAAGCAATATCATCGACGGAGACTCCGACTGTCACATCAAACTGTTCTTGCAGAGAAACCAAGACGCCGACGGAACAGAGACACGATGTTACATGATATTTCTGTTAATGTGAACAGCTCCACTGAAATACCTACGAGAAATTTTGACAGAACGTTGACGATTCGTTACGTGACGGTAAATGTGAATCGGCCTTTACACGTCCTTTTAAAACATACAATGTTGTATCAGCACAAAACATTTAAAGTCGTGTATTCACTTCCTTGAAAACAAACAGAAAAATTATCTTTACATCCTTTTATTTAATTATTCATGTACATGGTTGTGTGTTTTAACTTTCTCTACTTTAATACAAAGTTTTGGGTTCTCTCATCTATATTATTTAAACAGTAGTTTGTGCTTTCTCATCCTATGAACTATTTACATTTATCATTCTAAATGTCTTCAAACCTTCTACATACCATCTCTTGTTATGAACTCCACTACAAACTTCATCATACAGTATAGTGTTGATGTAATCTTTAACACAAGTCACACAATATGTATACAGTACCTCACATCATCAAAGCTTCCTTCTGCATATTAATTCAGACATACAATTATCACTATCATCCACTGTTCCACATCAGCCTGGTATAATTCCTTCAAGAATATCTTTACTAAATTTATTGATATACATTAATTACTGCTTGGCAACCCTGCACCCTATGGACTTTTGACTTGCATGTGTAAAAAAAAAAAAAAATTATATAAATAAATAATTAAAAAATACACACAAAACTGAGATTTTTGGGGGTGCTGTATTTTTTACTGTCTTGTTATTTGGTGTTTATACTGTACAGTATATGTGTCCATAAATATTTAACCCATATTAAAACTAAATAACCTCAATAATACTACAGATAGAAATTAGTCCACATGCTGAAGTGTACAAAGACAAGAAAAAACTTAGTAGTAGTTTGTCAAGTAAAATAAAAGCAACGTGTTGTATCTATGATGTTTTTGAAGTTATTAATTTTTACAATGGGTCAAGAGCAGTGAGTGCGTGCAGTAGAGGAAGACCATCTTACTTGTGAGGTTAAAGTGCAGCAATATACAGGATGTTTAAAAAATAATAATATATACACACCGCATTACAGATCTTTATGACAATCGTGTGAATGCTTCTATTATAACAGCTGCATTGGCCTCACTTGTGCATACATCTTTTTGAGAAACCCTGCATAATGTGTTGTACAGTACCAAGATCTCCGTCACATTAGGCTTGGTGCCCCTCTTCCACTCCATTCAATTATTGTACCAATACACTTTTTTAGGTACCATCTCTTGGTGTCATTAATTATTCCATAAGAAAGAACTCTGGTTGACAGCATGGGAGGACATTATATTGAGGAAGCTGAAAGGTATGGCACAAGAAGAGAGGAAGTACAGCACAGTATATATAAGATTGATGAAGGACTGTGTGGTTGGATGTGCTGAGCTGAAGTGATTAAACCATTTGACCAAGTCTTGCATGGGCAACTGTACTGCATACTAATAATAAAATTGATTCAGTTAAAAACATTATCCTTTTTTTTTTTACAACACATAATGTCCTTAAAGGTATAAATCTTTTCCTGAATATTGTTTATCATACAGCAGATATTTGGCCTGCATTCATGTGAGACTGATCATCCTAAAATATAATCATCTTTAACAGCAAAACATAACAAAAACATTAAGAAAATAACATGTGTATAATAAACATACATTGAAAAAAGGTACAGGAATCAAGAATCTATGTTATTGGAAATTGAACATACACTGTAGAAAACTTACAAATCTAAAAACACAGAGTGAACATTGCAGTATCCAACTCTAGTATTACACACAAATATAAACTTACAAAATGATACACACATTCTGTTTATATGAATTTCTCACAACAAAAATAAATAAATTTATACTGTAATGCAAACTGACCAATGCTGTAAGATATTTTAGACTGTTTAGTTAACTGAAATTTCTCTACTGTTATTAAATTGATCTAGAGAAGATGTCATGATGTGGCACAGACCACCAGCTGCTGAGGACCACCTCCTCCTCACATCACACTATTTATAAACTCTTAACTAAGCTTTCTCTCATGGAAACATAACCTTTCTCCCATGCATAACATAACTTTTCTCTCACCCATAACATACCCTTAATCAAAACTTCTCAAACAAACTTGCCCCTCACTAGTATCTCCCACCAAAACTGTTCTCTCTCTCTCACACACATACAATCATCAAAAACTAACACACACACGCACGCACGCACACACACCCACACACACACACTTCTGAAGGCTGCAATGAGGAATACAAAGTCAACATTATAGAAGCAGTAAATACAGATGGGCTTTTGATTTCCTTTCTATATAACAATTGTATATATAATTGGATAGCAGGTAAAAAACATTTGTAATTAATACTTGTTGGCGGGTAAAAACAACTTTTTACAATATTTTGATAAGCAGTAGCTCATGTACCCCAATTTCATCTTTAATTATAAGTTAGCAGATAAACACACTATAGTATTACCTAGCTTTTTCCTTTTATTATAAAACAATTGCTATTTTTGTACACATGTATCTAATTTTTATTTTTTAGTGCAAATTTTTTTATTAATTATTTGTAATCAAGTAAACTAACATGTTTATGTTTGTATTTTTTCATGATCAATCAATTTAGTTGACAAACTCTGAATTAGTTTATAATACATAAACCAATACAGGACAGTATTATAAGTGTCATTGGTATACCCATTGTGGTAGTGATCCTACAGTCAAATACTGTAGTAATTAAAGAGTTTCTCTTAAAGCAGATTTATAGAAATATAAATAAAAACAGGCAAAAGTGATATATTAAGACAAATAATTTATATTGAAATTGCAAAAGTAAGCATTATGGCATTTTGCTATAACATCTGAGCTCTGCCTACAACCTTTACCAACACCTTACCAAAGAACATCTCTTGCATATACAGTACAGTCCAGTACACTTCCCATCATTCTCACACGAAATTAACACACATACACAAACACACGTAATGTATTCCTTTGATAAAAAAAATTATTTTCAGAATTCTGCATCATGTGGGTTAATTAAAAATATAAAAATCATTTTGGTGCTAGTTAACACTACTGTATAATCACAACAAGAGAACATCACTCAAGTGGGACACGTCATTAGTCTTCATAATTGGACAAAAAGACGTCATCCATAAAGTAGCTAGTAGGGCCATTTTACTAAAAACTCTACTTGATATTTAATTATATTCTGAACCTTAAAAGATACTTAACTCTTCTGGGTGATTTTATTTACAAAAAATTCCAACAAAAAATCTTCCTGATCAACCGATGACATTTATAAAACATGTTGACTGAAATGTTCTGTAAAGCCTTTTGTCTTTTTTTTTACAATGAGATCTTAATTTTTAAATATTTTATCTTAGATTATTAATAAAAATAAATAATTACTGTAATATTCTCAAAGACAATACCTTGGTATGACACACAGCAATGAGGCACTTGACACTATAGCAGATGGTACTATGAGGAGTCAGGATCATGAGGGTAAATGTGAAGTTTCAAGGTAGATGTAATCCAAACTCTGAAGAACATCTGCCACAGAGGCCAGGAGTTGAAGAGCACTGGGCAGGGGACTAAACACGAAGGCCTCGGGTCTAACTTCTGGCAATAAGATGCAAACTTTACTCTTTGGGAGAAAAACTTCAAATGACAGCAAACTTTTCTCGCAGCCTAACAAAAAAGCTGAACTATAGTGAAAACAAATAACAAGAACCCATACATTCACTCTAGATAAACGAGGAAAGCATCAGAAGAGTTCCATTTCGTCATTGGCGTGGATGTCGAGAAAATCTTCGTCGTACACTTCTGTGGATCTCTCCTCTCCCTTAGCTGCCTGGGGATCTGACTGAACATTCAAAAAACCACCATTGAATGTATCAAGTGAGGTGTCACCTTTACATGATCTGGGATCAGGCACAGCGTTGGTTACAGCCGACGACACCATATCTGGCAGCCCCGAGGGTGATAGCTGGTTGATCTGGGAAAAATAAAGCGTATTAGTTATTGTATCACTGAACCACCAGGATTCGGTTCACATCACATGACATTTCGAAATTTTGTGATACTGTTTGAATTACCACATGGGCTTGGCTAGATTATCTTGCCAATTAGGCTGAGGACACACTCTAGGCTATTCTATTACCAAATTACTCCACTACCAAAAGCTAGAAAATTTCAGTCATATAGTAATAAAGATAAAAAAAAATAGCGAATCAAACATTGCTAAAAAAAAAAGATTTTTAAATGATAGTAAACCCTTGCACTTCAGGGGGGGGGAGGGTGTCTACATGTGGCAAATGTCCAGATGAACCGGGGGGCAAATGTACGTTAACGATGATAATAATAATATTGTACATTGACTTTATTGATATGGGTAATAACAATAGTGATGGTTGCGCTCTGCAATAACACAGCATAATGGAAATCCGCATATAGTGAATACGTACAGGAAAGCCTCTGATAATGACGGTTCTACCTACGATGATTCATATTTAAAACCGTGGTTAATTTGGGACCCAATTCAAGACGTCGGTCTGGACCAACCAAAATCCTGATCCGAGAGGTCTAAATGTGTGAGGGTTTACTGTATTTGGTCATATATTTCAAAGAGATTCAAGTTTTCAGATCATTACTAAAATCTACAGTTCTAACATTCTATACTACCAAATGGAATAAAATTCTATGTCATGCATTCTTAAAATACTCGAGACTTTAGGTAGCATATTACCAAGGAGCCTGCTACGTCCTCTGCTTCATTATCAGAAGGTTGTGGGGAGGTGACAGGGGTGGAGCCGGGGCACTTGGCTCCCCCAGGGTCATCCGAGAAGAGCCCTCCCAGATGCAGTCCTTCCTCACTCACATCTTCTCCTATACGACAGAAATTAAAACATCAATACAACACAAACTGCAGACATATAACAGCTCCATAAATTCAAACATCTCTGTATGCTATTAAACTTTACTCTAACAACTCAAGCTTATATAACTAGTAAATTGTTTTAAAATAGTTGTGTATGTAAATTCAGGATAAAAGTAAGTGAAGTTATAGTAATACAGTATATACAGTACAGATATGTACACCAATGCACTAGCTACCTTGAGGCTTTGATTCATGCCTCTCCCTCTTGCGGTGAGCTCTCTTGCGTTTTCTCCACTGCTGTGTTGACCGAGACTCTTCTTGTGGGAAAATTTTTACTATGTCAGATTTATCGAGGTCTGGAAGGGCCTTAACCAACTGAAGATACACCCCCCCTGATGTTCTTCTTCTGGAGCCGTTCTGGTGTATTAAAAGAGTTTTTACTAATTGGACTCTATCTGTGAGTGAAAGTTCATCAACAAGGAAAATGAAACTTCCCCTAATGATGGCTACCGTCCCTATAGCTTACTTCCACTGATGATGACCACCGTCCCAACAATTATCTTCCACTGATGATGGCTGCCATCTCTACATTTAACTTCCACTAATGGTGGCTACCGTCCCTACAGCTAACTTAAAAAAAGATGGCTACCGTCCCTACAGTTAACTTCCACTGATGATGGCCACAGTCCCTATAGTTAACTTCCACTGATGATGGCTGCCATCCCTACAGTTAACTTCCTCTGATGATGGCCACTGTCCTTACAGCTAACTTTCACCATTGGTATTAACTGTTCAAGGTATTAAGAAGGTGCAAAGACTTACCATAATTAAAAGGCCACCATCACGCTCCAGCTCTTGTGTCTCTTTGTACAGATCAATGGCTTTCTCACGACCCAGGACTTCCACAACTCTCACTGAGGGGGAAAAGTCACGAGCCAAACAAGTGAAGAGAATCAGTTTGACGCACTGACCTATTCACAAGTACAGTACAGGTGTACTAGAATTTCTGATAAACATTTCAACGTAATGACCTTTAGCCTTTAGTAGTGAAGAGACTAAGATGTCACAGAGTAAATACCATGAATGATAATTCTTAACAAACACGTCCTTCCTACACTCCTCATACAAGACAATAAAAGTACACTTAACACCTGATATATAACATTATAACAAAGAACACTTAATACCTGATATATGATAACATTACAATAAAAGAACACTTAACACCTGATTTATAATAACATGAAATGTCTTTCCTATACTAGACCAGCACAGTAAAATGATCCTTTATCACATGTGTATTCTCCCACTTGTTAAAGCACAACAATATTATAGCAGTAATACTGGATTGGTTGTGTAATAAGGCCTCTGCTCCTTGTTAGAAATTAGTCAAACTGTTTCAAGATAAGTGTTTGGTGAAGATGCAATATAACTCCAGGGAGGTGAACAATAGCTCTAGGCATACCTATTAGCTCCGGCTTCTTCTCCAATAAGCCATTAGCTATAGCCAGGCCGACCTCTTCGTCCGTCATGGTCTCACTGACGCTCACATCCACCAAGTTTCGTTGCCCACTTTTCGTTTTTGTTTTTTTATAAGTAAGTCTCTCCTTAACGTGCCGTTTTCTGTTCATCCTGATGGACAAATGAACGTTAGCGAAACATTTACCTAATTATTTGAAAGATACATGTACTGTACTGTAATTCTTTGTTTCTAGAAATTTCAAACTTGTCCCATGATATGAAAAGTTTTACATTTCCAGATCTTGGAGGCTAATATTTTGGGTTCTGCTCTGTTGATCCCTAAGTGTATGGCAACTTGCTGGGTTACTGCCATCCTGGCCATAATACTCGTCCACCGAGAGTTGCAAAATATACCTGACAGATACTCATTTGATTCATTATTGTGGAGTTGTGAACGATACATTATAATACCACTAAGCGCAGGTAATGTTTAGAGTAAGCTGCCACAATACACAGTCAGACATTAATAAATCTAACACATTGATCCATTTACCCACATAGATCACCATACAATGTCAAAACTTCTCTTCTCTTCCCATCATTATTAACAAAATTTTTTTTTTCTTTTACTCTTACTTACCTCTTTTGCTTCCTCTCTTCTGTTTCTTCTTCTTCTTCTTCCTCCTCCTCCTCCTCCTCCTCTGCCTCCGAGTCATCTGGCTGGATGCCACGGAGTTTAAGGGCTTGTGTGTAGTCGTAACTCTCAACACTGCGGTCGCCTTGATCTAGTCTCTTCTTAAGACCAAAACCACCTATTTCCTGTGATAGCACCTGATGGTTGAAGAAACCTTTATATTAATTCACAGGAGTTAAGAGCTGGGTAAACACTAGTTAGTTTTCATAAGAAGGACATTAATGAAGTCAACGTCAATTATGGTGGAAACTATAATGAATATATAAAGCAGCCTAAACCTCCACTACATTTATATGATTAACATGTAGGTTGCAAAACACATATTCTCCTTCTAGTAGCTACCACATGTGTTCTGCCATGTTGTTAACTCACCATAACACAGATCTCAAGATATCCAGGTCATTTATCCAAGTCAATTCATAAAAGACTCTCCCTCCAGCACTATACACCAGCCCTCCTTTTAATTAACAGTGTCACCAATCAAACCAACATGGACCTCACAATGAAAGGACAGACTCCTAATGTGGTTTCAATTCTGGTTTTGAAGTTTAGAGGTTCACAGCTCACTGGGCACTGATTTCTAGGCCTGGGGTTATGCCATATACATTATCTTTACACTCATACACACGTCTCAGTCAACTGCATCACACAAGTTTCAACAACAGAATGGTTGTATCTTTGAACCCTACATATGAATAACTTAAAAAAGGAAAAAGACAGATGAAGAGTAGTTAGTTGCCAAAGAAGTTGTACCTGCTCCTCCATAACTGTTGACCAGATGTTGTTACGTCGCTTAGCTTTGGCAATTGGCTTGATTTCGCCACCCGTACTTCCAACTGTCCAGCCTCTGGAATCACGACTGAAATGTAATTTATAAAATTGTATTTAAATGTTGCATAATGTGTGCTTACTCTCATCCATTAATGAGTAAAAGAAAGAGTGCTATAGTAAGTTTCCCATGAGAAGACTCAGCACACAAAGGAAGGAGGGGAGAGTATTAAGGTCTTCATGACAGGAGACCCAAAACACAAGGGAAAAATACCTTCATGAAATGTTTTCATTCAGTAAATAATATTTGTGGTTTACAATGAACAAGCTGAGGACCATCTCATCGCAGACTATGTTATACTAGCTATGATCAACACTTGTTTTAAAACCTCAATATGATCATACAGTAATAGTCTTAATAATATTTCTACCAGAAACAAGTTCATTAACTTATTAAAAACATTACCATCACAGTTCACATAAAGAAATAAATTTTGTTAATAAGTTCTATAAATTTTCAAGTTTTACAAGAGATTCTTTATTGATGGTGTCTCACAACCCATGGAAGGTCATCTTTACATATCTGCTTGGTTCATGACAGACCTTGCAATATCTTATGGGGTTATTCTACCAAGTGGTTCATTCCTGTAAGACATAATGAGTGGTGATTACAGGCAAAATCTTCCAATAGTTGCGTATACAATATATTGTACAGTAATGCACATCAGAACCATATAGTGTAGTGTACTGCAGAGTTTCTCTTATAATACAATCCCAAAATTACCTTTCAGAGTAACAGGTGTCCATTTTACTGACATTAGATCTTTTTCTCTTGGCAATAGTTGGAGTGTCAGAGTCTGAGTCGGAGGAACATTCTTCATCGCTGGAGGGCAAGTGTCTCGGGGCATGACGATACTGAGAGGCATCAGGGCGCACTACAGGCTTGTATGCCAGCTGTAAGATAAGTACAATATTAGTAGAAAATAAAGCAAGATCAAGTTTTGTTAGTAAAGTGAACCCTTTCTATTCATGGGGGAGAGGTTCCAAGGAATGACGTGAATTGGGGAAACCGCGAATAGTAACTTAAACTACCTTAGTGCACACTATATACCTAGACAGTACTGTACTATGTACTTTGTGAAAAATTTAAGTCACCGGTACTACTCTCCTTCGTATGTGGAAGTTTGGAGCTTAATGAAATATACTGTACAGTAGGATGAAATCTGGTTACTGAAGCATAAGGAGATCATCAGGATCACTATTGGAAGAGGGTGATGCAGTGGTGGATGGTGGAGAGGCACGTGGCGGTGAAGCGGATGGTGGAGCGGTGGCAGCAGCTGCGAGTAGGTTGAGGTAGATGAATCAGCTGGGCGAGCAGCTGGTTCTTTCTTGAAAAGCATCTTGATTGGTAGTTGTTTCCTCTTGGTTTTGAGGTCTCTAAATGTTTCACCCCACTAGCATCACCAGCACTGACACTAGGTAGTCGTTTAGGGGCCATATCACACAGAAACACTAAAGCATTGAGTACAACACCAGAGATGCTGCATCGCAAGCAATGGTTAAGTGCAAACAAAAGGAGAAGAGGGAGAGGAGACACTGTGGGTGCATGGGGGTGACTCACTGCACTGCGGGAGAGGCTTGTAAGCTAGCCACCATCTGCTTACTGTGAATAGTCAAATCATAAATTGCAATCCCATGAATAGCAAGGGTTTACTGTAATGCAACACACTTCAGTACACTGAAAATACTGGAACAACCAAGTATGCTTTTAGGGGATAATCAGTAATTAATAAATCAGCACTGATGCTATCACATTATTAATCACCAGTACAGTATAGCATGGAGACATTTATTAAGCTTTATCACAACATCCAATTTCTCAAAATTTTACCTTACCTTTAAGATAATATATATACTGAACATTATTTAATTATTTCAAGGCTCTTTAATTAATGTTAACTACTGTACTCAAAATTTTAGATTTTGAATCCAAATCCTTGACCAGCATGTAAAGGAGTACAGTTCCTTTGTATGAAAATTAAAAATCTATGGGTCAGACGTCATTTATCTGATGTAACGCCTTTTTTTCTGTATACTGAAAACTAACGTGTTTAAATGGTAAACTCAAGTGTATATTACTGAGAAAATGTATATAAAGGTGATTTAAGACTTACAGGCACAGCTTAACACTGTTTTAATGGTAGGTATTCTTGGCTGGCTGTATTCTGGTACAGTACAGCACAGCACATATTGTACTGTATGTGAAAACAGCAGTGAGCGGCAAACAAGGTTTTATAATGGTAGCAGACAATGAACTAAGAGTGCATGAAGAAGCTAGAGTTTGAGGCTGTATGACAATCAGCCAATCCTAGGCATCCCTTGCAGTTACATGACCCCAGTAGCCAATAACAATGAACGAGCACTCTGAGCAGTTGACCTAAGTTTTCCATGCAGCTAGCCCACCTATGTCCTTAACATATGATGTAATCACAAAGAAATTCATTCAAATGCCCAGAAAAGAGATTTTTGGAATTTCATAGAATTTTATTTTTATTTTCCAGGTACTGTACAGTACAGGTGTATGTACTGTATATACTAACGGATACACATTGGCAGTACAGTAAAGTAAAACAGTTAAAAGTTTAATAGTCATTAGGTAGGGCTCTTACAGTTGGCAACAGTGAATGATTATATTATACACCTGACCTACTATAGTGTACAGTATATGGTGAAGAGCTGCTGCTATAGTGTACACTGAAGAGGATAAAATACAGCAAGGTTAGTAGAGTGTTGGTAGAAGAGCAGGATGGGCGGACAACGTGGCCGAGTGAAGGGTGGTGGCCAAGGAAATAAAGTAAGGTAAGTAAGGTGAGAATAACGTTTATAACATGTAAAGGTAAAGGAAGGTTAATAAGGTAAAGGAAGGTTAGTAAGGTTAGTAAAGGCTGAAGGGAACACAGTATGGCGGCTCCCTCCATCACTCACTCACATCAAAACTGTCCTCGGTCCCGTCAGACACCTCCCCTTCCTCCTTGTCCTCCATGCTGAGCCACTACACCTTCACCACAGCTCCACCACAGCTCCACCACTCTACCACAGCTCCACCACTGCCGCCGCCGCCGCCAAACGTAAACATTAACAGGTGAGCATCAACCCCCGCCACGGTGCGCACCTCATAGATAGATAACTAGATAGATAAGTAAGTAGGTAGATATATAGGTAGATTAATAGGTAGGTAGATGGATATGTTATATACTTATTCAATGATATATCCTTATACAAGTGTACAATTGGTTTAGAATGTATATATCTGTAGATAGTGTACATGAGCCCTTCTGGTGCGCATATGCTAGATATATATATTATATACTTATTCTCTATTATCGCCATACAAGTTTGTAATTGGTTTAAGACTTATGTACACACACTACAGGTATACAGGGCAGGTCACACATGTGTACAGTATACATACACTCTTCTGGTCCGCACAGATTAAATAGAATTTTTTTTCTTATCAAATGAAATATTTAAATTGTACAGTTAAAATAATAATTGTTTGATAGAGTTAATAGATATATACCAACATGTTGAGGTTGGTTACATGAACGGTGGAGAGGAAAACGTTCTTATATTTTATACCAAGTTTATATAAATAATATTATTTAAATAAACATATTATAATGAAAATATTTATATAATAATTCCTTCAAATATTTACAAATATAATAATAATTTAATAATTATAAAAAAAACATCATGTATAAATAAGTAATCATAAAAAATATGTAAAGGACATAAGGCGGGTATAAGACAAGACAGACAGACAGACAGACACACGTGAACCGAGTGACTCCAAGTTAATGGTCTCTATTACTGGTGGTTAATATACACCGAGGCCACTACAGGTTAATTATAGTTCTCAGTTAGTAGTAAAGGTAAGGTGGGTAGTGCTTAATTAGTTGTGAAGGTAAGACTAGACACCTGGAGAGTTGACTCGTCTGATGGTGTGTTGGTTATCACTAATTACTATTATTGTTTACCTGCACTGTCTAGGTACACAGGGAACTATATACATCAATGGTCATACCTACTGTGTATGTACAGTAGCTAAAACAACTATCTGAACCTGAACTAACCAAGCAAAGAAACCTACCTAACCTTATCTAACTTCCTCTATATTAGACAGAAGGTATTTACTCTGATATACACCAAACACTGACCAAACTATAGTGTTTTTCCTAAGTCTTTGTTACACGTTAATATGGTTTGTCCACCTGAGAACACCACGTTTGCTCTTCAATCATTGATTAACGCCCAGCAACTGCCCCAAGACCTTCCCATACCTTATTTAACCTTATGTAAATTGTTACCAAACATAAAATTATATGTTTGTACTTGATGAGAGTGGTCTGGCCTTAGCTGCTATTGAAATACAGTACAGTACAGTATCTCCATAGAATATACAATTTTCTATAGCCAGTTCTATATACAAGACCTTACACTGTTATCACTAATCATTTTATATACAATATAACTAATTAACAGGTACTACATCCAGGTACTACAGAGTGAATAATGTCACCCGAGAGTGAAGCCGAGTCGTCAGAGTACGAGTACTCTGACATAGACGAGCGAGAAGCTATGGAAGACGACTCGGATGCCGAGGTAACTCACAGAACAATTCCTGTACCTGGTCAATGGACTGTACATAAACCAACCTCACCTTTGTTTTAACATGAGAAATAGCTACAGTATACAGTATCTTTGTGAGAAAATTTATAATGTTATCTAGTAACTACTGTGTGTGGTTTATGTTATAAGTTTTATGGCTTGGTGAATATGGTGCTATTGTGAATGGTCACTTAATAATAATCTTTCTTTACACAGCTACAAGAAGCCTTTGCCAGAGGAGAACTAAAACCTGGCCTTCATGTTGTTGAGGAAAAAGTTGTCAAGGAATATAAGAATGATGTGGTGAGTCAAATCTTTTGTTCTGTGATGTGTGGAAGGCGAACAAACTCTTAATAAAATGCTGTTGTTCACTGACATCATCTTTATTTGTGAACATATGTTATATTTAAAATTGAAGGGGCTGTCACTGTGTAAGTCAAGATGTGAGGCCTGAGCTCTGCTGTGTTACTTGTTTATGTCTTCAAGGACAAAGGTCAATTTCACACTTTCCTAAGTTTCATGTTGTCATTGTAAGTTTCCGTTACACTCTTCCGTTGTCATGAAGTTAGGTATGTTTTATGGCTGATCTGCCAGTTTGTCTTATTTGTCATGAAATGTTGACTTTTGTCTGCGAGTGACCCACTGAATGCCTGATGGTGTTCCGGTTGCTTACTTTCCCTAAATGTGATGCCTATAGTACTGCAGAATACCATTGGTATCGTGCTTCCTTTTTTCATTTTGAAATATTTATCGAGTTTTTCTTTAAAACAGAATGGTTTAAAGCAGAAGATAGAAGAGTTTCAGCTCACAGTGCCGTGGGTTGAGCGGTTTGATGTTACGAATGAACTCGCAGCCATGGCACCAGAGCTGGATGCAGAGGTAAAACATTTGTTATGTTCTGTCGTGAATGTGGAAGAGGCACATAGAGTTATCCCTGTCTGTTTGTGTTAACCCTTGTGCAAGCTGAAGCATCCATGTCTTATGAACAGATTCTTCTTGTATTCTTTATGTTGCAGGTTCCTCCCTCTTGCTTTATTGTATTGATTATCATAAACATTTACATATATATAGTTTAGACAATAGGTACACAGAATTAATGATATACATTGGTGCTCAGAATCAAGCTCCCATCATAGTAGTGTGAATTTATACTGTTTATATTATTAGATTGTGAATGGAATGTCATTACAGCATTATAATTAATATTTACCTGTATTATCATAGTTCCTTTATAAGGTTAAACCATCATCAGACCAGAGTGTGTTGCCGTTAGTTTAATCTTTGTTTTAATATCATATCACCTCTTATCGGCCATGCATCCTGTTGGTTTGTTTTTTATATGTAACTAAACTTAAATGTCCAGTGTTGGTACAGGTACTGGACTAACTCACGTGCCCTCTATATGACCGACTAAGAAACTTTGTAATGAAATAATAATCTCTTTCTTCTGTGCAGATCACAGAACACGCACAGACAAGAGAAAAGCGCATGAAAAGTCAGTTTAAGAACTTCACCCTGGAAAATGACCCGATACATAATGACTTCAAGCGGGAGATGACATTCTACAGACAGGCTCAGGCAGCAGTGATGGAAGGGTTCGAGCGCCTTCAAAGTCTTAACCAACCAACCCTTCGACCGAGTGACTACTTTGCTCAGATGGCCAAGAGTGATGAACACATGCAAAAGGTCTCTGTCCTACAGTAGTGTTCTTTATGGCTACCCTGGATGGTTCAGTGCCTAAGGAATTATTGTTTCTGTAATATACTGTTTAATGTTGTAAATAGTGCAAACTTTACTGGTATCTTGTAACATAATTTTTTTTTTATTTAAATGTGGAGATTCTAAATACACAAGTTTTATTAGAGCTGAATTATATTTAAAAGGCACTACAAACCCATCTTCACAAATTTCCCATCATATAGTTTACAGATAGACTCGTCATGCACTGGTTGTGTAGATCAGGTTATGCTTCAGGTTCATCATTTTTTAATTGTGATGATTTTTTAATATTTTGGCTGGACCTGCACTCACTGTATACCAAAATGACCTATTCAACCGATGTGTGGGACAGTTCACTTTGTAGCAGGGATAAATTCACCTAACCTAACTGAATCCAACCCAACCTAACCCTTTTGATCTATAGCCTTTTTCAGATTCTTTTTTTGAGGGCATTGTACTGAATTCTTTCTGAAGACCCAATGAACCATCCTCTTAATTAAAGACATTGTGTTACATAGAGTAATAGTACAGACACTTAATTACCTGTAATGTTCACCGTAGTGGGGGAAAAGCTGAGAAAGATGACCAGTCTCTCGTGGTCTTGTGGCTAGAGACAGATAAAGATAAAATAGTCAGGCGAGATATTTTTTATATAATGGGCAACTACAGAAGAATTTAATATTTATTTCCACCCAATCATATTAGTTATCCTTTCACACCAGTCTTATACATTATTATTTTTTCCTACAGGTTAGGAGAAGGTTGATGAACAAGCAGATAGGACAACAGATTAGCCAACGGGTGAAAAAGATTCGAGAAATCAAGAAGTACGGCAAGAAGGTTCAGATAGAGGCGGAGCAACAGAAACATAAAAACAAAAAAGAAATGTTGGAAAAAATTAAAAAGTTCAGAAAGGTAAGTTACTGTAATTGTGTGTCTTGTATTACTTGTTTTACTTGCAGTCCTTTATTATTACAGGTAACCCCTAATTTAACGATGGGGTTACATGCCTGAAAACCCAATGTGAAGCAAAATTATCTCTAAATGAGGGATAACATGGTGAATCGGTCTTTGGGAGATTTTTTTATCTAAATACTATACACTATATTTAACGATAATTTGCTATATTCATACACTACAGTAAAGTAACACTCCAAGCCCACGTCAAAAGCAAAGTCGTCATTGTGTGACCTTTCCGAGACTGAAGAACTACTGTTGTTAGGGGGGGGGCACATAACTCACACTTCACTTCAGAAAATGTGCCTTCTTAAGTACTTTTGCAATGTAGGTAGCATTACCCTTCACTGCTCTCATGATGCCATATAATAGCAGGCTTCACCTCCAAACTTGTGGGAGAGCTTGGCCATACCTGATAAGGGAGGTGAAACAGCAGCATGCTTACCCAACATTTTTTCAAAGTTCAGTTACTTTACACAACATAAGAACACTACGTATAGTACTCAATGGCCCTTTATAAGTCACAGCAATGCACAGCAATCACAGAAGTAGTGTATTCAGCAATAACAGCAAAGCACGGAAAACAATGCTCAAACGATGGCAGTAAACAGTACTCGACTTGGGTGGGTAGGTAGTGTAAACAAGTGACAGTAGAATTGCATAATTGGAGCTTAGATTCCCCAGTTTTCCCCCTCTGCAGGGAGTCGAGACATCGCTAAATTAAGTTTTGACCTAACCTTAAACAAGAAACAGCATTAAAAATTTTTTATTGCTAGACTGAATTACAGTAACACTAAAAAGGGATACTTTCATAGTACGTATTGGAATCTCAGTTATATAAAATTTACTACAAATCATATACTTTACTGTTGTTTTTTGTTTTTTTACACTAACTTGCAAAATAAAAATATTGAAAATATGGGCACATAGTTTAGTACTCTAGGTCAGGAACAAACAGATGCTTGGACTTTTGTCATACATACACTGAATTTGAGAGCAGTCTAGATGGTTTGACTGCAAAGGTCACCATCCAGTGACAAATGGAGGATGGGAAAAATTTCCTTGAAGAAAATGTAAATAGCTTATTCTGTACTGTACAGAGATCTTATTATTTCACAGTTCCCATGTTTTGCTCAATATTTATTTAAGCCATTTACATAATTATTCTGTAATATCTTGTTGCTGTAACATGTAAATGAACGAGGCCCTTTAAGAAATTTTGAATTTTTTTTTTTTGTTCACAGCTTGTTTTACCTTTCATTTGTCCTTTTAGGGGAAAGCAGACACCATAGACTTCCTGGAGGACAAAGGGCCTCTGCGTGGTGGTGGAGCCAAGACTAAAACTCAGCTGAAGAAAGGAACAAAACGGTGAGACAAGTAATGTGTAACATTTACCATGCCTTGGTGAGGTTCCGTCCATCAGTCTGGCTCTCTATAAGTGAGGAGGAATTTGGGGAGATACTGGATAGATGACATCCAGAGAGCAACAGTGTGTGTGTGTGTTTGGTGAGAAAAAAGGGTGTGGGTGGCTGATGCTGGGGTGTAATAAGTAATAGTGGAGTGAATGAATCATTGCAAAGTAAACTATAAATGGCAGCTAAGGATCATCTCCACTCCTCCCCTTCTCACCATAATGCGCAAAAATAGAATGCTGGTTACTGTCATAGAATGCCCAGTAGGTTTTCAGTTCTGTAATATAAAATAGCTCATGTTATTCTGATAAAGTAGTTATTAATCTCACTTTATAAATTTTTTTACAGAGTCACAGGGAAGAGAGTGATGAAGGACAAGAAGTACGGGTTTGGGGGCAAGAAGCGCAACATTAAACGCAACACCGCCAAGAGTCACGCCAACGATAGCAACATGCCAGCGATGAAGAGACCCGGAGCAAGCAACAAGAAGAGAGGACAAAAGCCAAAGGGAAATAGAAATAAAAAGAGTAAGAGTAAATCTAAATTCTGATGCTAATGAATAAAGTCAACATAAGAATATTGATGTAATTTAATATATTCATAAAACTTTTCAGTTATCATACTTGAAGGAGCTCTTATTAACTATATCATTTGTTAAAATAAACAAAAGAAGCTTATGTTTAGTTTTATTACATTTTACAGACTTCGCACTAAGGGGGTTACACTTTTACCTAATATATTTATATGAGGAACAAATTCTCTTATTACTGACTACAGAGATGTTGTCAAGACGGAGTTAGAAAAATGACAGAAACTCCAATTTTATTTTTGTGGCGAGCAGATGACCCAGATATGACTTAACTTAATGATCCTTTGGTAGTTTTGGTGAGGAAAGGCTTGACTGATCTAATTTACCAAATAAATAAATGTTTTTGCACTTCTGGTATTAAAACCAAAAATTCCATATCAACGATGTGAGCACAAGGTGAGCCTAATTTGAAAAAATTTCAAATTGCATACTGTACTGTATGTCAAAAATAAAAATAAATTACAATGATAATTAAATTGATACGTTCTGTAGCATATCACAAAACACAATAGTACATATTTTATGTACAAAAAAACAACTTCCCCAAGGGGGAGGTCCTGGGGGTCTGGACTCACCCTTTTCATCAGAAAATTCCAATATTTTTCTCTAGTGCAGTATTGTACTCAGGCATTTTTATATAGTAAAAAGTAATTACTATTGACCTCAGAATATCTCCTATTATCAAATGCACATGTCTTCAAAATGCCCATAATATTGGTCAGATATAAAAAAAATTCTGGAAGGGCTTACAGCGCTTCCCTGCCCCCCCCCCCACAAACCAAAAAAAAAACTCCAGCTGGATGGGCTCTCTATGATCCCCCACCCAAAACTTCTTGACCCCCTTTTTATATTCCTAGATCCACCTGTGCTTCCACACACTGAGTGACGTGACAGTTCAGTCATGCAGTCACACAGCTGACTCGGAGACGTGTGGCTACTGCTGCACTGCACATCATAGTTATATATTGTAGGAGGGGCACGATGCAGTTACTGCTCACAGTCTCCACACATACTCTTCATTTTTCTTATTTTGTAGTTTATTATATTTCTTTATTTCTAAGCCACAGAGTATTGTACAGTATTGTATTGAATTGACCTTTCCCCAACTTTTATAGTTTCATAACAATGAAAACATGTGTAGCCATCTCACAGGTCACCTTATCCCCAGTTTTCCCCTTCCCAGTGGGTCAAGGTATCTCTAAACCAAATTTCGTCCTAACGATAAGCAGGAAAGGACGTCAAAAGTTTTTTATCACTAAAAGAGTACAGGTACTTTTTAAATATTTGTGGCTCAACGCTATATACATTAGTAAGCCCCACTGTAAGTTTGAATTTTATTCTTAATTTGACAGTGAACACAGCATATGTACTGTGGTAACTTTACAAGCAATGGCAGTTCCAGGAGGACCGGGACCCCCCCTTTTAATCAGAAAATTTCACCCACAACTTCTTGAACCCCCTTTTTGATATTCCTGGATCTGCCCCTGTCAAGGGTACTAAATGTACTGTATGTTGGTCATGAAGTTATCAATTAGCACAATATTGCACTTTAAAAGACTTGGCAGCAGAGGACATCATCTTAGGACATCTGTTGGCACACTGGTGTCCCTGTAGCCACACCTGCCTCATGTAGGAGGCTCCTGGTGGGCTCGTTCTTGGCCAGGGCCCCCACAAATGTATTCCTATGGGGAACCAACATGATGTCATTATTCTGATGGATTGAGAGATATTGAGTGATTACAAATGATCTTCCCAAATTTAATCTTAAGATGATTTTACTGAATAAATGTGTGTGCCAGGATGGTCTACAGCATGTACCTGCCCCACTAGTTGTAATGTTTATGACAATTTCCTGAATAATTATCTCTACTTAAAGTGCTACTGTCAGTTTACATACATGAGAAGTTTAACAGCAATAGATCCAATCCAGCCATGGTTTGTGGTGAGGGTGTTGGTGGCCCGACACACACCGGCACGTCCAGTATCTGGCAACACTCGTCCATCACCGACATCAACTAACCACATCTGTAATAAAAGTTTTTTGTCATTGAACTAGATCATATGACTGTATTGTAATTGTTTATGCTGCCCTTCAACTGTGCCTGATGATTTTAACCCCTTGCGTTTAGTGTTGCCTCCGAGTTGAATAAAATCATGTGACGTTAGCCAAGTAAAATATTAAAGTAGTGAACAGTATGTTGTGAACTGTATTAAGCTGGACAGACATGTTTATGTTTGCCTGCTAAGTGATGATGTTTCCAAATATTGATAAGATATTCCTGGTATTGGTTGACTTTCACTTGTGTTATTTATGTTCAGTCCTTTAGTTGTAAAATGTCATACTGTAATTTAACGTGATGGTTTGGCTGGGAGAAAGACCAAACAATTACTTGGGGTGAAAACAACAAGTATTTTCTCGATTTAACGAACTACAGTAATTCGAGCCACCCGTTCATTAAATCAAAATTTCCGTTAAATCGATAAATATGATAAATATTTACAATTTTCTAACATCCTCTCTGAAGTGCCAATGCCTTGAAATCATTTGAATCTTGATTGTCCAGTTATTTAACATTGTTTTAGAGAATAACAGGTTTGCTTACCAATTGTGAACATATTTAATTTGAATAAATGGACAGCTACACGAACATTTTCTATGAACTAATCAGCTATTTTTATAGAAGAAGGGCATGGCTTATGGGCCAGGTTAGCATGGTAAGGGTATACTCTAGTGTATAATGCATCTCCATATGGCCCGATTTATTCACTATCAGTTGTTAAGTGCAGACGTAACCAAATTGAACCATGTATCAATTAATTTTAAAATAGAAATTATTGTATAAAGTAAAATGTTATAAGACAATGGTTTAGTAGTGCTGTTAATGTTGTGTAAGTGTCTTGGCATGTCACCTCACCACCTGACTCATCACCTCACCCTTCGCCTCGTTAAAGCAGCTCAGAGTTACATTGATTTATTGCTGTATTATTTTGCAGTTTTAGTATTGTGTGTACCTTTAAAGAAATATTTATGTTCGCGCAGTAATTATAAATAGACCCAGAGCAGAAAAATCCAGCGTTACCCTAGTGGTTGGTCTTCCCACCCATGCACCAACCATGTGAGGATGTGGCTAAACATGGTGCAATCTTTCATAATGCTGTAAACCTTTGTCTCCAGGTTTAGAGTGTTTTTCTATTATTTGCATTATATTATTATTTATTGTTTTTATATATTTAGTACATTCGCCGTAGGTTGAACTAGGTTTTACTGTATCATGTGTCTGAGGTGTGAGCGTATTAATGGAATTAATCTCGATTTAGCGAACTAGTTCACTAAATCGAGCATAAAATAATGGGAAAAATGCCTTCTGCTAAAGACATTAAATACTACAACATGGCCAGTAGTTTACCTTTAATAAAACTTAACTGGAACATTTAACACTCTATAGATAATAGTTAAGTTTAAACCAATGTAATTATACATTGGTTATAATACAGATAACAGAAAAGTATTAAAATTCATATAAACTAAACGGTAATTAAGACAGAACCAGATGATTGTATTTAAAAATGGAGGCAAGTGTGTGCTACTTACTGCCAGTCGCGGTGCAATTTGTGCAAGGTCATTAAGTAGGCCGGGTCTACTCTCCGAGTTAGTGTTGGGGTCATCAGTCTCGTCAGAGTAGTAGTCACTATTACCTGAGATCACATCTTTATTACTAAATTTTATGTAGTCATAATATAAGTTCTTATTGAATCATTGTTAATACTGTACTGTATATAAAAGGTGTAGGTGTTACAGGAGACCAGTGTTCATTACCTTTGGGGTGGAGGTCTCTGTTTTCTTCATAATTATCATCATTAAGCTCCATCTCATATCTCTTCCTAAATGTATCTTCCTCTTCTCCTTCTTCTTCTTCCATCATTTGTCTCTCTCTTGATGTGTCTTCTCCTCCTCTGTTATCTTCCTCTGACTCTTCACCTCCGTTTGCCATCCACTGTATGCTCTTCAGCACAGGATGGACTATGTTCTCCCTGTCCAGAGGTGAAATTCTATTATGTCTGTCTGTTAGTATTTCTCTGTGTGAAAATTTGAAGACTTTTTAGTATACTGTACATGTATAGAACACTTCTCTGAGATTTTGGTGATAACTGTTAACATCCAGAGTAATATCAATGATGACTACGTACAGTGTTAACAAAAAGAATGTCTAGTGACAGCGACAAAAACTTAGTGATGATGTGAAAATTAAGTTTCATGACTTTTATTTGCTGTGACTGTGGCAGCTACCGCGAGATCTTGCTGCTGTCCATAGCTGGCAAGATTATCGCCCAAATCCTCTTAAACAGACTTCTTCCCGAGGCAGAAAACTTCCTCCCAGAATCTCAATACAGCTTTAGACCATCACATGGCATCACTAACATGATCTTTGCTGCCTGCTAGATACAGGAAAAGTGCAAAGAACAGCATTGTGACCTGTATATGGCTTCATCGACTTTACCAAGACCTATACGTGTGGGCTGTGTTCCTCTGTGCTTAATTACCCAAGGAGAGTATAATTCCCAAATACTTTAGTATAGACCAGACTTATGGTAACTTCCCTTCTGATTATTATTATTATTATTATTATAGATCATTGAACTCTGGTATTGTACAGTACTAAAATTGTAAGCCATAAAAGAACATCTACAGTCGATTCCGTTAAAAAAGCAATAAAATTATGTGAAACTTCCATATACAGTAACTGACTTCTCTCTCCACATAATCTGTATATGGAAGTATCACATCTAATGGACTTTCCTCTCCATATACTGTAGTCCATTAAATAATAGTTTCACTGCACCCTTACTTATATTCCTGAATAAATATGTAGAGAGCAGTTAATTATGAATTACCACAGTCTACTTACCATTGGGCACCACCCAGCAGGTCAGCCAATGGAAAGGTCTGAGAGAGGATAGAGGGCGGGGCTTCACCGATATCATTTCTACGTCTACGTCGCTTACCACCTCCTCCATTGTTGACAAATTCCTCTATGGTGTCCTGTAGGAGAGATAGTGCAGATGAATGGTGAAAATCCTATACTGTACAAGTATTAATGAATGGTTAAGTTTTTTATTTGGATCACCTGAAGATTAACCATCTTCATGCTACCTGGGGAAGGTTAAGTTAGCATCAGGGTAATTATTCTTCACGTGGAATAAGCTGAGGGGACGAATCTTTATAATTGCAGCTGAATAATGAAAGCCCAGATATTTTATTTGGCAGTGACTATTATAATGATAATTATTAACAGTACTGTATTGTCAATAAAACCTTAAAAGGCAGACCTGCAGGTTTGAAAGAAGACCTATGAAGGCGATGAGAGCCACGGCCTGAGCACAGTCAAATGATTCATACCTGAGGAAAGTAGAAATTGACAGATTGTGTACACTCTGGCCTGATGATTATGCCCAAGAGGGAGGTCACAGGTAATGACAACTAAAATGGCATCAATATTGTCATAAAAACTGCACTGCAACTACAGTGTGTTCTGTGTAAATGGAACCAAATGGATTAAGAAAAATAATTTATTAATTCATAGTTTTGAAAATTTCCTTATTTCTTAACCCGAATCATTTCTAACTCCTTGTACTGTACTGTACAATATGATTAAATAATTTATCTTATTTTTAATTCTCACTTGCCTCTAACTTAACCATACCCCATTTGGTTCCTTTTATATGGAACACCCTGTAGCTCTGATCTTTTAATCCTAGTAAAAAGAAAATTGCAAAAATAAGTCTTTGACAATTCAGGAATATAAAAATGCAGGGTAACTCACGAGCCTCTAGCAGTGGCTGACACTGTGTCAGTCTTCATCTTGACCTCAGATAATGTTCCTTCTGAAATCATTAAAAACAATATTTCAACAGATTGGTTATGAACATATGGTATACAGTGATATCCCCAGAAAAATCCCACATCCCTTGAATTTTTCCGGTTTTGGGGAAGGTTCCGAAAATTTTGCATTATTTTATATTTGGAATTTGTTCCCAGATCTAGAAAAAAATGGGGAGAGTTTCCAGAATATTTCTTGAAATTCTTCAGTAAATGCACCTGATTTTCAACCTTGGAAACTCTTTCACAGACCCGGAATGGAGAGAGTTCCCAGAAAAATTTTAAGCCAATTTCAATTCCGGTTATTGGAGAGTTCCGGCTGAAAGGAATTGCAGCGAATGGAGATATTACTATTGAAAAATTGGCCAAAACATAAATTTATATAGAGAAATTCTGATAAATAAATGAAATAAAAGTGAATGTAAATGTGGGTCCCTTAAAGCAAGATGGCCTGTTAAGAGATAGTGTAGACACTTGAGACCTTCGGGACACAAGGAGGCAGAGTGGCCGGCACTGCACTTGACCCAGTTCACTTCTCCAGTTCTAAAGTTAGGTGCCCCATCCTACACCAGAAACGCCTGAGCTAAGGCCTCTGTACCCCTTGAAATAAATGTTATAGAATGTTGTGTTTCTACAACAATGCTGTTACCACAACGTTACCACCACAACACAGTGTTACCACCACAACACAGTGTAACCACCACAACAGTATTACCACCACAACACAGTTACCATCTCAACACCACAACACAATGTTACCACCTCAACGCCACAGTACAGGCTGCCGTCCACCACTACACTGTTGTAACGTTAAGAGACAGACCTGAGTGTGTGTTAAGCCACGCCCCGTCCCCCTCCCCTTCCCCCCTTCCCTCTCTTCCCTTCCATTTCCTTCCTTTCTTTCCCATCCTTCCATTCCTTTCTTCTCTTCCCTCCCTCCCCTCCCATTCGTCCCCTGTCCTCTTTTTCTTCCCCTTCTCTTCTCCCCCCCCCTCCAATATATCTTCCGCCTACGTTTTGGTCGTCATTCGTAAAAGGATTTTACGTTAATTGTTATTGATAAGAGATAAACTTAATGGACATAATTATTTGCGGACGTCGCCGTTATCGGACATCGCCGTTATCGGACGGCATTGTTAACGGACGTCGCCGTTAATAGACGTTACTGTTAAGAAACGTCACCGTTTAATGCAATTTGTGATTATTGGATGCCACTATTAAAGGACGACACTATTAACGGACTTCACCGTTAGTGCACGTCACCTAATAATTAATTAACGTCACCAATTCTGTTGACTGTTGAAGTTTGAACATATGAGGAACGCTGCGTCACGCCTTGTCTGGCTCCCGTTATGCGTCTGTCTGTGTGTGTGTGTGTACCTCAATGTAACCTCAGTCACCAGTCACTGTATGTACCTCACTCACTAGAAACTGTATACCGAGCACGCTTATAAAACAGATGACTAAGTGAACGAGAATAACTTATTTCTAACCCCTGACAGCTTACGGCAGCCAGACTCATACGGAGACTCTCCCGATGCTTCGCTGTCTCAACACCCATAGTACTTGGTGTTGAGTGTGTGAATTACTCTAGCACACACACACTAGGTGGGATCATGGAACTTGGAACATGTACGCATAAAGAAAGAATAATAAAATGAAAGAAAAAATAGCCTGAGATAAACTAATCATTAATTTACTATAAAAGCCTCAATGAGAAATACTTATATACTATTAAATTGACTGGTAAGTGAAAATAGGTAGTTTTCACGCGACAATGACCATCTAAACTACCTTTGGTTCGGCAGTTGGAGCTGTTCACAGTTCCAATGGCACTATTAGAAAGCCTTGGTTCACAACCTGATGATTGTATACACTATTATCACTTATTAACGTCACTAGCTCTCCGCCAGGCCACATGCTTGTTAACAGGACAGCCATCACTGTTCAAGCACAAATGTTAACTGTTAGTCAGCGTTACTTAATACCTAATATTATTCATGAGAACCTCTGGATGCAAATTAATATACTAATGTGATCAAAACTGCTGCATCACACTGGAGACATACCTATTAATTAACGTTGTCGACTGAGCAACACACAGCGGGAACACAACACACTCCCTCACCAGTAGCTGCCGTCTGACTCCTGCCGCCAACACCCACAGGCTCCTCACACACCTCGAACCCAAACCGAAACACCAACTAAAACCAACGAAGCCTCAAAGTTGTTACTCGTCCTGACACCCAAACCTACTGAGACTCTCTATGCTCCTTTCTCAACACCCCAGACCTAAGACGACTCTCTCTATGCTCCTCTCTCAACACCCCAGACCTATGAAGACTCTCTCTATGCTCCTCTCTCAACACCCCAGACCTATGATGACTCTCTCTATGCTCCTCTCTCAACACCCCAGACCTATGAAGACTCTCTCTATGCTCCTCTCTCAACACCCCAGACCTAAGACGACTCTCTATGCTCCTCTCTCAACACCCCAGACCTAAGACGACTCTCTATATGCTCCTCTCAACACCCTGATGACTCTCTATGAACACCCCAGACCTAAGACGACTCTCTATGCTCCTCTCTCAACACCCCAGACCTATGATGACTCTCTCTATGCTCCTCTCTCAACACAGACCTATGATGACTCTCTGCCCTCTCAGACCTACGATGACTCTCTATGCCCTCTCAACACCCCAGACCTAAGACGACTCTCTATGCTCCTCTCTCAACACCCCAGACCTATGAAGACTCTCTCTCTATGCTCCTCTCTCAACACCCCAGACCTATGAAGACTCTCTCTCTATGCTCCTCTCTCAACACCCCAGATCTAAGACGACTCTCTCTATGCTCCTCTCTCAACACCCCAGACCTAAGACGACTCTCTCTATGCTCCCCTCTCAACACCCCAGACCTAAGACGACTCTCTCTGCTCCTCTCTCAACACCCCAGACCTAAGACGACTCTCTCTATGCTCCCCTCTCAACACCCCAGACCTAAGACGACCCTCTCTATGCTCCCCTCTCAACACAGACCTACTGGTTCATTCTCTTGTGTTATTATACAAAAAAAATGCATAGGGTCTTTTTGAAATATGTAAAGGTTAAATGAAAAACAAAGTAATTAGTATAACGTTTAACTGTTTGAGAGACATACACACTGTTGACACCTGAGTGAGCGTGTGTCATTATTTTATTGCAGCATAGATAATATATATATAAGACATTCGTGTTTATAATCAACTATACAAGATAATGTTTTTATACAAGTAAATGATACAGTGTGTGTGTGTGTGTGTGTGTGTGTGTGTGTGGGTGTGGGTGTGGGTGTAATTATCTGGTTATACAGTATAGTCATTTGTACAGGGGTTGTGGAGTGGGGGTAGTGGCGTTGAGGTTGTGATTGGGGGTAGTGGCGTTGAGGTTGTAGTTGGCAGACTCTAGATGACGCGCGTGTTGGAACGTTAGCGCGAGGCAATAGTAACCTCTGACAGCGTCGACGGCGTTGAGGGAAACTCCACACGGCGTCGAAAGTGTTGATTTAGACTCTAGCTAGCATCGATGGCGTTGAGTTCACCACCACGATTACTGTCGGCGGCGGTGACGTTGTGGCAGGTGGGGAAGGCTGCTTCACACAGGTATCCTCGGCGACCCTCTCTAGCCGCCGTCTGCGCCATCCTCAGTAGCTCTTCATCACCACCACTCAAGGCACGACTCGACACCTTGCTGTGATAGGACATGTTACTTGTTATTGTGTATGTACGTTCTTTGTATATATATTACTACTACTACTACTACTTACTACTACTACTACTTACTACTACTACTACTACTACATCATAAGGTTCTATCAGCTATAACTCACGTAAACAGGGTAGCAAAGATCCTGCCCGCCGCCCCATACTCCTTGGCCAGGGCTCGGTTAGCTTCACACACACTCTGTTTTAGACACTCAGCACGACGTTCATCACTCGTTACCTTCTGCCATCCTTCCTGGAATACACCTGAACCTTTAGTCTACTTTACCTACCTGAGTTATATTACGTTAATTTACCTGTATATAAGGTTAATTTACTTGTCTGAGTTATATAAGGTTAATTTTCTGAGTTATTTTAGGACAATACAATTTCCCTTCTGTATTCTAAGTATGGTCGAGTTCCAGCGCAATTTTGGTGATATTTTGTTCTCCATTTTTGTAATGTACTTTCTCGCGATAACAGTTAAAGAAATTAAATACTTTTTCTGTGTTAAAATTATTTACTATGAGTGTTAATCAGTTTGTGTGGGTCTGTCAGCTCACCATAAGCGGAAGAATAATATCAGGCAGAGCGTCGTAGAGATGGTCTGCACCGCCATGGGTGATGAACGTCAGGATGTCTGATTCCGGCTGCCCACTGTATGCCGTCCACCGCCCATCTCCTGCCGCCCACCGTCCACCTCCTACCGCCCACCGCTTCTTTCTTCTCTCGTCGTCTTCCTTTTCCTCAGTGACGTATTCTACTATGTCCTGCACGTCACGGAGATACCATTAATAACTACAACACCACTGCTACTACTAGTATATTGCTAGTATATTGTGACAAGTGTGTATGTGTTCTATCTATCTATCAAGGCTGAGACAGTTCACACTCACCCTCAAGACGTCAACGAAGAGGATGAAGCCAAGTAGGGCGAGAGCTGAGTTGCAGTCTACGTACCGGGACAGCCTGTGTGAGGGAGGAACAACAACTTAGCTGGACAGCCTGTGTGAGGGAGGAACAACAACTTAGCTGGACAGCCTGTGTGAGGGAGGAACAACAACTTAGCTGGACAGCCTGTGTGAGGGAGGAACAACAACTTACAGCCTGTGACAACAACTTAGCTGGACAGCCTGTGTGAGGGAGGAACAACAACTTAGCTGGACAGCCTGTGTGAGGGAGGAACAACAACTTAGCTGGACAGCCTGTGTGAGGGAGGAACAACAACTTAGCTGGACAGCCTGTGTAAGGGAGGAACAACAACTTAGCTGGACAGCCTGTGTGAGGGAGGAACAACAACTTAGCTGGACAGCCTGTGTGAGGGAGGAACAACTTAGCGGAAATGTCGCCAAATCTAGCGACTTTTAAACTTGATTTTTAGTGAATTTAACCAAGTTTGCTTTTAAAATTAGCGATTTTTTTCTAATAAATTTGCGACTTGTGTATTGGGAGTTGGTAACATGGGAGAGAGAGGCACCATGGAGCTACCTACCTCCTTTAGGTGTGTTACTGTTCCGTTATGTTAATTATACCACCATATACAGTACATGTTTCTTACACTAACAAACATCTGCTACTTATATCTCCAATCGTCTGTTATTTAAACCTTCAAACATGTGTTACTTAATTAAACATCTGCTACTTTACCAAAAACTGTTACTTACAACACTACACTTATTATTTAAACTAGTATTCGCTACTTACCCATGGCTGCTGGGAGAGGGAGCTGTGAATGAGAAATATTATTATTATTATTATTATTATTAATATTACGGTACATTTATAACAATAACAGTACAATTAATAGCAAAAACGGTACTTAATAACAACAAAAGCAGTCTAGTATTACAGCTACAGTATAAGGGTACAGTTAATAGCAACACGTTCATTATATATAAGAACAGGAAGACTTGCTATGAAAGCCCTAAGAGCCGTTCACTGGCTACGGGGAGGACATGATCGTAAATGAACGTGTGGTAAAGGGGTGAGTCGGTCACTTGAACGTGTTATAAGTATGTAATTACGTATAGGTACAATTACAGGTACATTACATAAGTAGACAGGTAAATATGGATCACCTGAAGAATCTACACCCCTAGTTAGGTTAGCGTTAGGGTGAAATAAAATGGAGTGGAGATTCTTCAGGTGATCTATTAAAAAACAGTACAGAAAAATTAAAAACCAAATATAAGAACACTTGAATTTAGGTCGGTGCACATTATAATGACCAAGGTATTATAATTTAACACAGTTTGTCTCTGAATAATTACGTTTTCTATGACAGTTATCATCATTCACTGTAAAGGAAACCGTGTGAAGGTCTTATAGTACAAGAATGTTAATTTATAATACAAGTGTGGGTAAAACGTCATCATATTTACCGTAAGTCATTTTATGTGCTCGAAGCAGTGTGATAACTTCACCCAAGTTCACACTCCTCCGTCATGCGTGGAAGCGGGAACTTAAATTAGCCTTTTGGTGATGAGAATGACAGAATGTAGGTAGCAGTGATGCAGAGGAAGGTTGATCGTGACCGCGACGTGATGGTAGCTCTACAATATCAACGCCCAAGTACCGTACAGTGAGCGTCTGCCTCTCGCTGTTGTTACCTGCTGTATGACACCTGCCGTACTCGCTGTTGCCAACACTCACAACCCCATGGTGATTCTTAAAACTTTCTAAACTCCTCCAAAATCAACACAATGTGGATATAATTGAACGCAAAACTCTTTTTAAAGTAGTGATAATTAAGTAGGATTAACCTATCATTTACTGAAAGATACTAATTCACTCAAGATATTCGTTAAATTTAGCAATTAGTTGGCAATACTGAAATTACTGCCTAGGATTCAATCTACGTCTGGCAACCATAAGTTAAGCCATTCCTCACTCGGTAGTTATATATTACTATTGAAGAAAACTATATAATTGCCAGACCATAGATTACATAAGCTAAAACTATATCTAAGTATTTAAGTCGGAAGGCAAAGGAAGAGGAGAAGTTGTTGTACCGTTCACTGAGGCACATGTCCAGTAGCCATGTAGATTGATAGATATTCTCTATAATCGTCAAACAAACCGACTTTGGTTCAACATGTACAGTATACAAGATGAGATTAGGTTAGGATATGTTAGGTTAGGTTAGGTTAGGTTAGGTTAGGTTAGGTTAGGTTAGCATTAAGGTAGTTTATCTTCAGGTGAAATAAGCTGGGGGGATGATTCTTCAGGTGATCCTACGTTTTTTTGCGGTTATTTTGTATATGAATAAGATAATTGTAACAACTCGAGTGAGATAACACCGTAAGTCCGTCTGAATATTGACGAACTTAATGTAGGATCTGATCACGAGTTACAATTATATTTTTTTTCATTTATTGTTGTTCCTTAAATATTTACTATGTGTTAATGAGGATGTGATATTAGTTGACATACTGATAATAACTGTTTTAACACATATAGGAGCGTGAATACGTTGAGAGAGAGAGAGAGAGAGAGAGAGACAGAGAGAGAGAGACAGAGAGAGAGAGAGAGACAGAGAACTTACTACAGTAGTTAGCGAAGTGGATAAGAATTGTGTTTGTTATTTTAAAAGTGATTTGTTGCTTGACTGGCAGATGTAGTTCGAAAATACAGTTAGAAGCACTGCCATAAGTAGAAATGGTAGTAAGTACAGTCGTAAGTAATAGTAGTAGTGGTAGTAAGTAGTTAAGTGCAGTTGTAAGTAATAATTAAAAGTACTTTCTTCATGTGTTCATTTCCGCTGGGACGTTATGAACCACTAACATATACTCACATAACGTACACACACACACACACACACACACACCAGAGGATAGATATACCGTAAAATAGGTCAGTTGAGGCTGCTGAACCGGTTACTTCATCCTTCCGGCTAGTTACGGTTCACACGGCCACCGGTCACGTGTGTCCTAATGGTCTTTAGTGAGAGAGAGAGAGCCAGGAGGCACTAGGGTAGGGTTAACTTGTCCCACCCGCAGCCACTCGTCCCGTTGGGTGAACTGTATCCACAAATACAGACACCCGCAAAAGTCCTGTCGCCTCTCCTCCTGAACCACCAACTCGTGAACCCGAATCATTTATGGACAATAATGCTTCACGGTCTTCGGCTTCGGATTCATGAGTCTGGATCTCGGGATTCGTGGAACAGCTGACTTTTGTGGGTTTTTAAACACGAAAAGTTTCCTACGGTTGCTGTGTTATGAGGATTGCTGTGTCATTAAAATAAGGGTGCTGTGTCATAATCTCACAGCAGAAGGCGGAGGCATAGTTGGTGTAATTTGTCAGTTAACAGGAACCAATGAATCAACAAACAGATGTCAGCTCAACTAACGTGTGTTTGGTTAACTGTTTTACCGCAAAAGTAACGCGAACACGGGTAGATTTTTTTTTTTTACTTTGTTCGTTTTCCTGGCCAGCTGACTTCGTATCTGACGGAGAGATGATATTCCCTGACTACTGACGGAGAGATGATATTCCCTGACTACTGACGGAGAGAGAGAGAGGTTGTAGGTGACACAGTACAGAGCTGGTAAGAGAGTTCCATATAATACCCGTGACTTGACTTTAATTCAAGTGACAATTGACGCTTAACTAACTTTAGTGTTGTAACAGTTTGAGGATGATTATTAAGTTAGGTTAATTAGTTCAAGTAAGGTCTGGTTAGGTTGGGTTAGTTAGGTTAGTTAGATTAGCTGGGTTATGTAAGGTTAGGTTGTTATATTAGGTGAGGTCATGTAAGGTCAGGTCCTTGAACGAAAGGAGAAAGAGTTTCTTGGTGCGATGTTAAGAACGGGACTTTTAGGGTCAGAGGTCAAGGTCACATGGTCAACAAAGACACATGTTTTGGGTTAGGTTAAGTTATGGTGTACAGGTAAAAAAAAATTGATCTAAGAGACAAAATTTTATTGCTGTTTTCATTACATTATTTTATCGATTAATTAACCCCCACAAACACACACAGGTTTAGGTGGCATGTAGCAGGTGCTGTTGGACTAACATGGTCACATTAACGCCCTCAAGAGGTGTATGTTGTGACTTTAGATCCTGACATCCATAAAACGCCTTCCTACAGTTCTCTCCCTTCCTCCCAGCTTCTGCCGCCTTCAACGCCTTCAAATAAGTCTCCTGGTCGCTCGTGAAGGACTTAGCGACCACTTGGCTCAGCAGGGAGGACACCAGGCCTCCTACAGCACCTCCAAGGGCTCCTCCTCCGTTGGTGTAGGATTCCTTTAGAAGAACGCGGTTTGCTTCACACACACTGAGTTGTAGACATTCCTGGGTCTCGAAGCCGTCGTTCACATCTACCGCGCTGTGCTGTGGTGTTAGTTATTATTATTATTATTATTATTATTATTATTATTATTATTATTATTATTACTACTTCTTCTTCTTCTTATTATTATTACCGTTATTACATTCATCATCAACTTACCAACATGGGCAAGACTACAGCAGGCAGTGTGTGTAGGAGACGGCCGGCTCCACCACCGGCTAAGAAGCTCACTAGAGGCAGGCCGGATATATCCTCACCTATGTCTCTCTTTCTTCTCGTTTCGTCTTTGTCATTTTCATCTACCTTTATCACATTTCCTATCACATCCTGCGGCAAGGAAATGGGGAGAGGTGAGAGAGAGAGAGAGAGAGAGAGCACTCACTGTCTCGCCAACCAACTCTTAATCTAAATATAATAACATAACCCTTGTAAAATATTACCCTGACCATAATTATTCATTTAGATATAAGTTAATATATATCTACCAACATGCATAACCCTTCAATATATACCTAAACTATAAATGTTATTATTTAATGTCCGTAACTTGCATATTAAACAACTGATATACAGCACAACCCTCCAATTAACGGACTATATGGGAGAGGACAGTCCGTTATAGAGAAGCTTCACTGTACCGGGTATATGACTCACCCTGAGTAATTCAATGAGTCCAAGTAGACCAATGAGTCCAAGAGCTGAGTTACAGTCGATGGACTTCTCTTTGTACCTGAGAGAGAGAGAGAGAGAGAGAGAGAGAGAGAGAGAGAGAGAGAGAATATAATATAAACATTATTCATATATACACAAATATATAAGGTTAGTTATGGTGACCAAAACCAAGTTGACGAGTATCCCATTAGACAGATATAATCAATTTATTTACACAAAAATACGATAAAATAAAAACAACCTAAAAATTTAAATAATAAATATAACATATTTCTGTAAGTTAAACTCTAAAAAAATATTTAAAACTTATCAATTTCGTATAAAAGTTTAATTGGTAATAATGTTTGTATAATATTAAAATTGATTCACGTACCCTTCTCCACTGTGGCCAGAAGCGGAACCAACTCCTCCAATCAACCTGAAGAAAAAATAAAATTAATTACATTTATTGAAATCTTTACCTTAATTATTCAAGGGGCAATAATATGTTATAAAACCAACGATATATAATTTTCTTATTGTGTATTTGTTGTTAACGGTTGTATTTACGAAAACAGAATATTTTAGTAATTAGTATAATATAACAACAACCTGACACGGACTAATAAAAAAACCCTGAATCGATTAAGTTACCATTTGTCGATACCGTCTGCAGCACCCAGCCCTCCGAAGCCACTAGAAAAAATAAAAGATTTACATTTGTCTTACATTTTGATTGTTGATGACTATTGTTGATGACTATTGTTGACGACTATTGTTGATGACTATTGTTGATGACTATTGTTGATGACTATTGTTGATGACTATTGTTGATGACTATTGTTGAAGTGGTAGCAAAGAAACCAAGTGAGATGACCCCTATACATATCAATTCTCTGTGCATATATATACATTATATACACATGTGGTATAAAAAGGTTAATTTAAGACTATACTGATAAAATACTTGCATAAACTGACTTACCCTCCGCTATAGGCATCAGTCAGTCCTCCGCCAAATGTGTTAGCAAACGCGCCAAAGATACCCGAACTTCCGTAGCCTGTGTGGGAGGTTATGAGTTTGTGAGGCTAGGAGGTTGTGAGGCTAGGAGGTTGTGAGGCTATGAGGTTGTGAGGCTAGGAGGTTGTGGGGCTAGGAGGTTGAGGCTTGTGAGGCTAGGGGTTGTGAGGCTTTTGTGAGGCTAGGGAGGTTGTGTGTGGCTAGGAGGTTGTGGCTAGGAGGTTGTGAGAGGCTAGGAGGGTTGTGAGGCTAGGAGGCTGAGAGGCTGTGGGGCTAGGCTGTAGCTGGGCTGTGAGGCTGGGAGGTTGTGAGGCTGGGAGTGTGAGGCCAGGAGGCTAGGTGGGCTAGGAGGGTTGTGGGAGGGGTGAGGCTGGGGTTGTGAGGCAGGAGGGTTGTGAGGCTAGGGGTTGTGGGCAGGAGGTTGTGAGGCTAGGGGTTGTGAGGCTGAGAGAGAGGGGAGGTTGTGAGCTAGGAGGTTGTGGAGCTAGGGGTTTGTGAGCCCTGGAGGTTTGTGAGGCTAGGGTTGTGAGGCTAGGAGGTTGTGAGGCTAGGAGGGTTGTGAGGCTATAGGAGGTTGTGAGGCTAGGGGAGGAGGCTTGAGGCTGAGCTGAGGCTATGAGCGGGTTGTGAGGCTAGGAGGTTGTGAGGCTAGGAGGTTGTGAGGCTAGGAGGTTGTGAGGCTAGGAGGTTGTGAGGCTATGAGGTTGTGAGGCTATGAGGTTGTGAGGCTAGGAGGTTGTGAGGCTAGGAGGTTGTGAGGCTAGGAGGTTGTGAGGCTAGGAGGTTGTGAGGCTAGGAGGTTGTGAGGCTAGGAGGTTGTGAGGCTATGAGGTTGTAATCGATCTAATGACACTGGAGTATATTGATAATAGATAATTGGATACTAATTAGTCAATCAGTGAATTACCTAAGGATTAACCCTCAACTTATTTCACATTAACATAAACCACTTTAACGCTTCCTTGAGGTTAGGTTATGTTGATCTTCAGGTGAGATAAACTAGGGCCGAATCTACAGGTGATCCAAACGACAGGTACAGTCATTAACAAATACAAATTATAACTTACCTCCCATTCTGCTTCTTTAATGTTTATCACCAACAAAAATATCACATTAAATTCAATATTAATCTTCTCGCTGTCGAAAATAATATTGACACTTGATACTTCAGCGTAATGGATGCTGGCGCCTCGAAGTTCACCAACGCCTGGTCTTCCTGCCTGCTGAGGAGAGATGTACCTGGTGTGTCTGTGGTCAACAGCGAACCCAGTCTATCCTGGTGGAAGTGGGAGGTAACGGTGTGTGTGGGTGTGGGTGTGTGGCAAGGAGGAGGTTCATTTCCTTGTTACCGCTTCGACCGCTCAATAGATGGCGTTGTTTACATTATACACATGGAGCTCTGTATACACCATTCCATCACGCCTCCACACACACACACATACACACGTACACATGTATACATCTATTCCATTACTAGAAAAAAATAATTACTTCCTGTTTAATGATCTTTGAGAGAAAATAAATACCACAGATTATTTAGTTTTACTCATAACCGTAAAAGACTGGAAGGGGTAACTGTGGTATATTGTCTGGCACACCGCTTACCATCTGCCTCGCTCCTCCAAGTTTAAATAAATGTTAAGTGTTAAAATATTCCCTAACAGATGTTGTTCTCTTAATGTTTATACAAGGGAGGTAATTTGTCACGTGTTTATCATGAGCTACAGTACATGACAAATACATAAACGTAAATAAACATGAAGGAAATATTAAATAACAGAATTGAGACAGAGATTCTAAAAGGGAACACGAAGAAATGAAAGAATGGGAGAAGATGGACAGAGTATAATGAGTGATAAAAGAAGGAGAGAAAGAGAAGACGATAAAGAGAATAAAAATGATAATTGTGTAGATAATTGTATGAAAGAGGATGATAGATATAAATAAACAATAATAATCGTATAACGGAATTTATAGTTTATCTATGTTAAAAGTAAACAAAATTTGGTCTTGGTTAGGTTAGGTTTGTAATTTATTAAGTGATGTCGTTGAACTGGTGGTGTTAGGTGATTGGTGGTGGTAGGTGATTGGTGTTTGGTGGTGGGTGGTGATTGGTGGTGGGTGGTAGGTGGGCGGGTAGGGCAGAGCACAGGAGGGTAGTAACCTGCCTAGCCTGTAGCAATAACAGTAATGGTGTTCCTAAGGCAATAAGCTACTTGTAACACTTCCTGACCTAATGGTAGTAGTAGTAGTAGTAGTGGTAGTAGAAGTAGTATTAGTGATGGTAGAGGTAGCAGTTGTGGTGGTATTAGTAATTGTAGCTATGGTGGTAGTAGTAGTGGTGGTGGTGGTGGTGATAGTGGTGATAATGGCGTCAATAGTGGTAGGAATGGTGTTAGTTGTTGTGGTAATACTGGTGGTTCGTGGCGGTGTTACGGGGAGTGGAATGAGAAAGAGTGAGGAATGATGGGAGAGAAGAAGGGAAGGAAGGAAGGAAGGAAGGAAGGAGGAAGAGTAGGAGGAGGAGGAAGAGAGGGTATGACGTCAGAAACAGCAATAAGAACAGCTGTATAAACAGAATAGTTGTTGCCACAGTACAGCTCCATCTGTTCCGTTACCACTACTACCACCACCACCACGTCTACCACCACCACTACCCCAGATAATGCAGGAGGGGACTGGACTGCTCTACTCTACTTGTTGACATAACTTCATAGGTCACTCAACAAATTTTTCAACTCGTTTATATCCTGTTTGACCAGCAACAGTAGGGCAGTTTCCTCACCTCTAGCAGTTAGGTTAGGTTAGATTAGGTTAGGTTAGGCAATTCATACCAGGAAGTCTCATCGTATGAACTTCCTTGATTACAGCCGCAAGATGTTTTGACTTTCACGTTAATATTTAGAATCAGATTGTTATTAAACTTACAACCCCAAGAAATTAATTACAACCCTAATTTATCTGACCTTTTCCGGGGTTGTGTATTGAGGGCGTTAGTGTGTGTGAATTTTTTATGTTATATTGATCGTCGATGTTAACCTCTTAGTGTTATCAGCGGTAGACAGGTGGCAGTACTACAGAATCAAGGAGTATAAAATTTATTGCATTTATTTATTTGTTTCACCTACTTATCAGTTTATTAGCTGTTCGGGTGGTCGGTTAATGTCATTCAAGGGTCAACCATCGTGTTCAAGGGTTAAACCATCGTGTTTAAGGGGTTAAGTCATCGTCCTCACGAGTTTAAGCCATCTTGCTCAGTGGGTTAAGCTGTCAACGTCGTCAAGGGGTTAAGTCATCGTACTCATGGGGTTAAAGGCATTAGCCATTGAAGGACATTTGTAAATAAAAACAACCATAGTTTGTATTTAATTTATTCTACAGTAAAACAATACATTGTCAAGCGTCACTTGAAAGGTTCCTAGTTAACTTGGTATACTGTACTGGTGAATTCATACACACTGTTTATGTCTCATCTGAACCCCTTAACTAACTCTGTGATATACATCTAACATTAATCTGAATATTTTCTTCCTCTTTCTCTTGTCGTTCTTCGTGTTTTACATTTATTTCCCCTTTCTCGTCTTCCTTATTCCATCTAGTTCTCTCCTTTCTCCTCCTCCTTCTCAGCTGGTAACATTCCTCCTCGGGTCACAGGGATAAGCCAGCTGACAGTTGGTACCACTCAGACGTCCCCATCTGGAAGCATCAAGAGCCAGATGGTAACGGGAAGAATCGGCTCCTATGAAACCTTTCGTCACCACGTTAGAGAAGAGAGCTCCCAGGATGCGTCCCAAGGCCCCGTGGCGTCCTGCGAGCGCTGCGTTGGCGTCACACAGGGGCCGCTGGAGGCAGGTGTTCGTAGTCTCTGTGTCTTCTTGAGTCGCTTCGGACATGTGACTCTGTGAGGAAGAGATGACAGGGGGGGGGATTAGTGTTGAGAGAGAGAGAGAGAGAGAGAGAGAGAGAGAGAGAGAGAGAGAGAGACTTATAGAACCCCCAGATATACAGAACCCCAGAGAGTGACTTACCATCAGAGGAACGATCACATGAGGCAGGTCACCCACTAAGGCTTCAACGCCTCCGTCAGATATAAACTGCATTAGAAGGTGTTCCTCCTCCAGTTGGGGATCGAACTGGGCACCTCTGCGACGTCGTCTGTTGCTGTTAGTTAGTTGTTGTACCACGTCCTGGGGGTGAGATATAAGGCGTGAGGGGTATGTATGTATCGTCAGTATTTACACTAATATTACTCTATACAAGAAAGAATATAATACATGATATAAAACTGTATGTATAGTGATTATGGCTTGAAGATATACATAATACATAACATTAATTACCTTTCTTTTTAATGTTGTTAGTGATTCTCTCTCTCTCTCTCTCTCTCTCTCTTATATGAATTCTTAATTTAATTCTAATTTCTCTCTCCGTTCCCATGTTTTCCCTACCTGATATCTTTTCCTCTGATCAGTATCTTTCTCCTATTATTTTACACTTTCTTTCCTCTTTTCATACTTTCCCTACTTTTTTACTTTATACTTTTTTCGTATCTACTTTTTTTTGGATATTTCTGTCTTTTATTTTAATTCTATAATTGTATAACAATAAAAAAGAAACAGTTGTGGTTATTATTATTTTTTTATATTATCTGTGAGAAAATTTAGGGAAAGAACAGTTTAAGTTATTATTATTATTATTTTATTTCGAGAATATAATTACATGGAACACAGAGTATAAAGGTGTCGTATAAGAGGTTTAGAGGGACGCCATGTTGAGTGTGTGTGTGTGTGTTAACTCTGAACCCCTGATATGAACCCTTAAACACACATGGGTTCACTTAGGTGTACCTCATGTGCAAATGTTTGTACAATATATTTATAGACTTAATGACTATAGGAATTATTTGCATATATATATGTGTGTGTTAATGGTGTGATTTTTGTCTATGTATGTATGTATGTATTTATGTATGTATGTATGTAAATAAATAAATAAATTATATATCGAAGACATACGAATTTTTTGAACTAAATTAATAAGACGTGTGTTGTGAGCTAACGACAAGACACAACACAACGGGATGATGCTCTGAACACAGCACACAGTGAACCTGCACCGTGATGGGAAGTGACAGAGGAAAATAACTGTCACGTCTGGATACAATGCCCAGGAAGGATCGTAACAGAGAGGAGGGGAAAGGCTTTGATGTGTATTGTTGAGTCATCATTGATAAGTTGCTGTGGGCCGTCGAGCTACCACTGGGAAGTCTTGTTGTTGATGACGGTATTAGGAGGGTAGGTAGTACTCGACGTGTCTTCAGTCGACGTTGTTGAAGGCTGTAGGTAATCGACGTAAGAAGTCTTCAATTGACGTGGTTGAAGGCTATAGGTAATCGACGTAAGAAGTCTTCAGTCGACGTTGTTGAAGGCTATAGGTAATCGACGTAAGAAGTCTTCGGTCGACGTTGTTGAAGGCTATAGGTAATCGACGTAAGAAGTCTTCAGTCGACGTTGTTGAAGGCTATAGGTAATCGACGTAAGAAGTCTTCAATTGACGTGGTTGAAGGCTATAGGTAATCGACGTAAGAAGTCTTCAGTCGACGTGGTTGTGAGGTAAATCTTCGACGTGTACCTCTGCGTCGTCGTTCACGTGTTGCGAGTGGTGGTGACTGCTGGTGTTGGCCTCTTGGGAGTAGCGGTGTTTAGGGGAACACTTAGGGAACCTCAGGGAACACTGATGACCAGACCGGCCGGCCGAGGCAGCCTCCAGGGCCAAGTGGAAGTTGGGGATATGGTCGCCGGTGAAGGCCTTACTGACCACGTTAGAGAGAAGGGAGGCGACCACACGACCTACCACACCGTACCTCAAGGAGAGCTCGGCGTTGGCCTCACACAGCGGCTTCTGTAGGCAATGAGGGGCCTCTGATCCCTCCATGAGGTCAACCTGAGGCCGGGAGGACAGAAGACTCAGGTATTTGTTTATACTAAGCTGTCAACCATGAACTTCCTGAATAATAATCATGGTAGTAATTATTAGAGCGATTCCTTATATAATCATGATTAATTAAACATCGCCTGAACAAGAACTTAGATGTAAGAGCTGGCGTTTTATCTAATTTTCTCGGCATCACCTGAAGATTCGACCTCCCCCCCCTCCCTCTCCCAACTTCAGGTGAAATAAACTGGCAAGGAAGGAGAGAGAGAGAGAGAGAGAGAGAGAGAGAGAGAGAGAGAGGAGGGGGGAGGGGCGAATCTTCAGGTGATCTATTACTCTATAATTATATATTTCATTAAGAGTTTTCTTCAAGTAGGTCGAGTTCATACCATGAGCGGCAGGACGACTTCAGGAAGACCCTCCTTGAGAGCACTGAGACCTCCGTTGTGCACGAAGGAGAACACGTCGTTTTCATCACCAGCTTCGCGTTTTCTTCTGCCTCCTGTGATCTGCTGTACTACGTCCTAAAGTGGGATTAACGCACGACGGATGAGTTGAGAGAGAGAGAGAGAGAGAGAGAGAGGGTTGGGTTAAGTTAGGTTAGGGTAATGTAGGTTAGGGTAGGGTATGGTATGGTAGGTTAGGTTAGGTTAGGTTAGGTTAGGTTAGGGTAGGGTAGGGTAGGGTAGGTCCAGTCCAGTTCGATTTCAAGCGCTTCCAGTCAACCAAATTTTTTACCCGAAACGAAATTTTTCCGAATTTTAAAAAGAAAAAGAGAAAACATCTCGGGCCAGTATCCACAAGAGGACATCTCAAGGATCAGCACCCACGGCACGGACTGTCACAGTTCAATGACCGAGAGAAAAAAAAAATTGTGATATACTGGAAACCGAGACGAGAATTTTCAGACCACGCCGTCATACCGCCATCTTGTTTGTTTACACTGTGGCCACGACGAGTAAAATACCACAGGAATAGAGATATTAAGTTGGTGTTAACATTATCACAATAAATTGATACGAACGAACAACAGCTTCACACACACACACACACACACCCAGTCTACATTACCCATGACCCATAGCCTACTTCATGCACCCTAGGTACAACACGGCCCTAGACACAACCCTACCCACCACCTACCCTGAGGACGTCAATGAAGAGTATGAGGGAGAGGATGGCCAGGGCGGAGCTGCAGTCAACGTACTTGGTGAGGGAGTAGCTGATGGTCGACGCCAGCGCCAAAATAATGCAGCGATGGTAAGAGTAAACACTAATACTCTATACTACAGGTAAACTAATATACTATACATGTAATGTTATGTGAGATGTAATGGGTGTTATTTCCTGTTATTCTTGTATGTTAATATGTACAGTATATAAAAGATATTTATGGTTATGTTATTAGATTTTCCCATTATAGTACGAAGATCGACGCCAGTGCCACGCAACACTAGCGGTGGTTAGAGTAATTACTACGTTTGGACACTCATGGGAAGCTTATGTATTGGTTTTTTTTGATGTTCCTGAAGTGTAATTTTCAGTAACTGTTGTTTCTAGGTTTTTTATGCATATGTAACCTGTACAGTCACCCAAAAAAGTCCTGTCGCGAACCATGAACCCCGAGATTCAGACTCTTGAATCCGAAGCATTTATGGACAGAATACTGTATCGGTGTCTACTGCTTCGGGTTCACGAGTCTGAATCGTGGTTCGCGACAGGACTTTTTTGGGTGACTGTACAGTACAGTATATACATATATATAATTCCATTTACTGCTTGTGAATAAAATGTTGGAAGGAAATTATGCAATTATTTGTGGCAAGTCGTAAGTAAATCATATTATAAATGAATATGTATTTGTGGATATGAGTAGATGTGTGGTATATGAAAACTCTCTCTCTCTCTCTCTCTCTCTCTCTCTCTCTCTCTCAAATATTGATTAACAGATACAGATACGTGAGATTTGGTTGATTAGGTACTGGTTGAGTAAGGGTTGGTGGACCGATTAGCGGATACGTGCGATTTGGTTGACTAAGTTACGAGTATTGAAGTTTGGTTGATGAATCTCACTTGAAAGGTTTAGTTGACGATTGAGTTGACTGAGTTTTGGTTGACTAGATTCTGATGTCAACTAAACTCGACTGAGAACTGGAAATTAAGGACTAGGAATTGAGGACTGGAAATTGAGAACTGGAAATTGAAGACTGGAAATCAAGGAATGGAAATTAAGGACTGGAAATTAAGGACTGGAAATTAAGGACTGGAAATTAAGGACTGGAAATTGAGGACTGGAAATCAAGGACTTAAACTTGCATTGAAACTTTACTAATATAGAGATACAGAGAAAGTGAAAAGGAATAAGGATGTTGAAATTTTAAATGAATATACAGAGTCATCAAAAAACAAAAAAGGATTTTACTATTCTGTACAGGGTCATCAAAAAGTTTAGTCCGATTTCAGATGTTTATATTTAAAAATGTGAGCATTCTTTTTTGATGACTGTATTAATAGGTAATTTATAACAATATTAAAACATATATATGTTTTCTATAAGAGGAAACAACAACATCAAGAAGAAGAAGAAGAACAACAACAAAAAACAATGGAAGTCTAAATAATGGAAATAAATTAGGAAATAGAATAAATGAAATGAGTAACAAAGGTAATGGCTAATTCATGTGTATCTGAGAAGCTGATTGGTTGGGAAGGTTCTGCTCGTGGCGTTGATTGGTTAATGTTCTATTCGCGGCGCTGGTTGGTCAATGACATTCTGTTCTAAGCAATGATTGGATAAAAGAAGATTCAGTGCAACGATCTCTAACTACAAATAAGTTTCGTTATTGACGTTATTTAAAGACACGAATGCAATGACAACGATGCAATTACGTATGGTAATGTTAACCTATGCTGATGAAGGAACTGGCATCGTCGCAATCACATACAGGACTGTTAACCTTAGATACACATAAGAAGTGGCCGGGTCGCAATCACATACAGGACTGTTAACCTTAGATACACATGAGAAGTGGCCGGGTCGCAATCACGTACTCTTAGCGCTCTATATATATAACAATAACGTACATCACTTAAAGAGCCTCGGCAATCACGTACGGATTAAAATAACCTAAAGAATCACGTACAATATATCTTTGAGAAGTCACGAACGTACGCACACATATAACAGTATAACTTACTTAATCCAACTCGATGTATCTAGATTATCAGGTACAGTTAGCTATCACCTGAGCCAAGTCACGTGGAGGAGGAGGAGGAGAAACACGAGAAGGAGAGATAGAAAGGGAGGAAGGAGGAGGAGAAGGAAGACGATGAAGAGGAAGAAGGGCTCACCTGAACGATGTTGAGAAGGAAGAGGAAGGCGAGAAGGGCGACAGCCGAGGCGTTCACATACCCAGAGGCACACGACAACCTGTGAACGGCGGCAGAGTTAACACCTACACCTGCTCCCACACCTACACCCTCACCTACACCTACACCCTCACCTACACCTACACCTACACCCTCACCCTCACCTACACCCTCACCTACACCTACACCTGCACCTACACCTACACCTGCACCTACACCTACACCCTCACCCACACCTACACCTACACCCTCATCTACACCTACACCTACACACCTTCACCTACACCTACACCTACACCTACACCTACACCTACACCTCACCTACACCTACACACTACACCCTACACCTGCACCTACACCTACACCCCTATCACACCTACACCTACACCCCACCTACACCTACACCTACACCTACACCTACACCCCCACCTACACCTACACCTACACCCTCACCCCTCACCTACACCCTCACCCACACCTACACCTACACCCCTCACCTACACCTACACCTACACCCCTCACCTACACCTACACCTACACCCTCAATCTCACCTACACCCCCACCTACACCTACACCTACACCCTCACCCTCACCTACACCTACACCCCATCTACACCTACACCCTCACCCTCACACCTACACCTACACCCTCACCTACACCCCACACCTACACCCTCACCCCCACCCCCACCTCACCTACACCTACACCTACACCCCACCCTCACCTTCACACCTACACCCTCATCTACACCTACACCCCTCACCCCTCACCTACAAGCACCCCCCTCACCCACCACACCTACACCCCTCACCTACACCTACACCCTCACCCACCTACACCTACACCCTCACCCTCACCTACACCCTCACCTACACCTACACCTGCACCTACACCTGCACCTACACCTACACCTTCCTGCACCTACACCCCCTCACCCACACCTACACCCTCACCTACACCTACACCCAGCAGCACCTCTACCTACACCTACACCTAAGCACCTCCCCACCTACACCTTCACCTACACCCCTACACCCTCACCTACACCTACAACTTCACCCTCACCTACACCTACACCTACACCTACACCCTCACCTACACCTACACCCTGACCTACACCTACACCCTCACCTACACCTACACCTACACCCTCACCTACACCTTATTTACAACAGATGTCCTTAAATTACACTAAATCTCCTTTATTTATTAACTTTTGAGGTTAATGGTTTAATCTTTTGAGGTTAATGGTTTAATCTTTTGAGGTTAATGGTTTAATCTTTTGAGGCTAATGGTTTAAGATGATGATGGTTTAACCCTTTGAGGTTGGCATTTAAACAATTATCCTCAACGGCTTAAACAATAATCTTCAAGGGGTTAAAGTTAAACCAACATCCTCAAAGGGTTAAAAATATCCTACTGCATTTTAATTAAAGGTCTAAAGTCATAAAGTTGTTATTTTGGTAATTAAGTGTAGTAATGATTCTTGGATTAATTACAGGTATAACACTAATTACTAGACACCTGTACTGTAGTTAATCGTGGGTGAATTTTAGTAAATGTGTTGAGAAAAGTTAGATGTTGTTGGAAATATTAATAAAGATCTTCCTAAACTCGTTAATTAAGGAACAGGAATTAATTAAGGTGATTAGTAAGAGCCAGTTCGAAATAATCACCCATAATTATGAGTTATGTCCACAGAAAAACATTACGTGAACATAAGATGAAATAATGATTTCAGAATACAATGACGAGATGTTTAGATGTTTATTATTGACACATCCAGAACATGTTGATGGAATAAACATCAACACATAACTGCTGATGTTAGAGATAGATGTTGATGATGTTCTTATTATGTTGTTATAGAAGCAGTAAATGGAATATATATATATATTTATCTCTGTGTCTCTACCTCTCACTATCTGTATGTGTGTGTGTGTGTGTGTGTGTGTGTGTGTTTGTGTGTGTGTGTGTGTGTGTGTGTGTGTGTGTTTGTGTGTGTAAGCATATATACACAATTGTCTTAGCTATTACACCAAAATATTATTATTGCAACATCACCAACTATGTACAAAATATTTACACACACAACAATGATTTAAAATTCCACCCATGCAGCATCATTAGAAACTTACACCTCAGAATCCAATTTTAGTTACGACATCACGTGTTTATCGCGATCCTGGTAACGTATATCGATTGCCAGGTGTGAATTTATCTAATAATTTTAGTGAATTTAATTTCGTCATGTAGGCTAGGTTAAAACATGCAATCAGGGTACAGGATTTCATAGAGCCAAATTGGATTCTGATGGGTTGAATCTGATCTTTGTTATTTATTTACATATGAATATTCAGTGGTATCCAGCACCCAGACTCAACACAACAAACAATAACACTCACCCATATCCGCTCTCACTGCCGTAGCTCCCGTACCCACCACCACCCCCTGTTGAACCGTAGTCTGGGGGAAGGAGATGGTGAGTAATTGAGAGATAATGCCATTAGTTATGACACACGCGTATACATAAAACACTAACTGCTTTTATACGTCTTGATGAGTCTCGAACAAGTGTCCTCTCGAACTCAGTATCCATCTGTCACCACATACACACACACACACACACACAGACACACACACACAGACACACACACACACACATCACCGTAGACGACCACAGAAGGACGACTGACGAATATTCAAGGTATTAATGATCATGTCCTGTTAAGAGAAGAAAACAGTGTGTGTGTGTGTGTGTGTGTGTGTGTGTGTGTGTGTGTGTGTGTGTGTGTGTAGGGAGTATTGTTCGTGACTGTTGTTGTTTATTTATGTTTTACAGTGAGAAGTGACGATGTTTTATGACCAAACAATATCACATAACTTGCAGCCTGTGTTTATTTTTCCTTCGGTCTTGTTTTGTATTAATTTATTGATTTCTGTTATCGATCTTTTTCCTTTATTTATTATCCTGTAAATTGTATTGATCATAATGACCAAATATTACTTAGTTTCCTGTTTGCTTAAAATTTAAATTTGCCGGCAACATCGATGACATCACAGAGGTAAATAAACCACGTTCCAAGAGATGATCTGTCACCTTAATACACAAAGACGCAGAATATAGTATTAATCAATGTTAGTATTATGATATCCTACAGAGACAATTACAAATAAATATGAGACTTGAGGGAGCGTCGTAGAACCTGAAGGAGTTGCGGGAGGTGAGACTACGGCGGCGGGGGGAGGGTGCTGATGGTTACCGTTGTTCCCTAGGGCGAGAGTCCACGTGTGCTTATAATACCGCGGTAAAAAATCCCCACCAATTATGGACGTTCTGGAGGGTAGATGGACCGTGTCTACTGCCATGTGTTTGTGTGTGTGTGAGAGAGAGAGAGAGTTAAGTCACACACCATCTACACATCGTTGTTAAATCTTAATCTCACTTACGTTGTCAAACACAGGCCAGCACGTACACACACACACACACACACACACCGGACTCACGTCTTCCTGGTTAAGTGCAGGCCCGTGTGTTCGTGATGTTTACCCGAACACACGAGACAAATTACGGATTTTAAAACTTTCGTTCGGTAAATATTCACTAAACCTGAGCGTACTGTTCTTGGTACTCTTTGTAAACTGATCGACGAGTCTTAAAGTATATTACCTAAAAATACATCCCACAGCTTGGTTAGGTTAGGTTAGGTTATAAGTTTCTCAGACACCCTTTATATAGTCTGAGAAAGTCTATCGTCACGACACTATTGTAAACCTTTTCTGCTTGATCACCAAGACATGAAACTTTGAAGGTGTGAGGTACAGTGAACCACAAGTCTGCCGTTAACTTTTGCGCTGAGAACTGAGGTTTACCGAACAGGAACCGGTAGTGGAATTATCGACTCTAATTTATGTGAGTATGATGACTTGAGAATGATGACTTAACTCTTGAGTGCTATAACTTGAGAATGATGACTTAACCCTTGAGTGCTATAACTTGAGAATGATAACTTAACCCTTGAGTGCTATAACTTGAGAATGATGACTTAACCCTTGATTACGATGACTTTAGAATGATGACTTAACCCTTGAGTACGATGACTTTAGAATGATGACTTAACCCTTGTGTACGATGACTTGAGAATTATGACTTAACCCTTGTGTACGATGACTTGAGAATTATGACTTAACCCTTGAGTACGATAACTTAACTCACAACAACAACAACAGCAGAGTTAATGATACTTACAGCCACCACCACCAGACGCTGCCGCTGCGTCACCATAACCAGTACCACCTAACTTGCTGTTACTGGAGGCACTTGTGTCGCTGTATAAGCCGGCACCCACGCGGTTAGCTGTGGATACAAAACCGAGATATAGAGTCACTCAGAAACCTAAAAACTATCTATACCAAAGTGTGTTGAGACAATATGACACAATGGACCAAGGATTTTGACAACCCTACCGAGACAACAGGAGTCACAGTGTTCATACTGAAATTCATCGATCAACCCAAGTACAGATTGTTCTTTGATTGACTGTATAGCATTAAACAGTTGTATTTTGTACTGTAGTCGGAGTAAAAACCTCCATTTAACGGACTTCTCTCCATATATATATTCCATTGGTTGGGAATTTCACATCTAACAATCCCTCCGAATAACAGACTTTTATCTCAATATTATCCGTTAGATGGAGGTTTCACATGTAATATAACCTCGACATTTTTTTTCATCTCCCTGTAATCCGTTAAACAGAGGCTTCGCAATACATGGATAATACAAAGTGATTAACTGAACTATATATTATATTTTCTTTACATTACTTTGTATCTGGTACTTGGCTTATATTGTATAGTCTAACTTGCCTTACTTTACAGAGAGAGAGAGAGAGAGAGAGAGAGCAGAGAGAGAGAGAGAGAGAGAGAGAGAGAGAGAGAGAGACATCACTCACCAGCTAGGGAGTTATAAGCCTCGTTCATGTCATAACCAGAACTATCAGTAGGACTTCTACCTCCTGGCCGTCGCTGTTGCCACCCTTCAGGTTTGGGCAACATCTCGTGGGCCTTCTCTTCCGAGTCAGGGTAGGCCGTTGTCAGCGTCACCGTCAGCACCACTACCCAGCGGAGATCGAACATCTGTGGAAACAACGAGATGGTCGTGATAATGATGATGATGATGATGATGATGATGATGATGATGATGATGATACTATTACTGTTACTAATAGGATAGGATAGTTTAGGTTAGGTTAGGCTGGGTTAGGTTAGATTTGGTTAGGTTATGACATGTTAGCGTAGGTTAGTTATGGTTAGCGTTGGAGGTGACTACTCTTCTATTGAATTAAACTAGGGAGCGAATCTTCAGGATATTCGCGATGTATGACCAAGTGATGCAAACTGTGGTGGTGTGTTGTGGCGCCTGGTTGGTGCTGCTTAACGCCTCAGGAACTTAACGGTGAAGTAGCCGCGTCTTGCAGCCTCACCGGGGAGACTTGACCGTCCTCGTCATCTAACCTAACCTAACCCTCTCAGGTAACGTTAGGATGGTTAATATTCAGGTGAAAATTTGTAATAGTAATAATAATAATAATAATCAACTTATCCTCGCCACTATAAAATAATTACGGGTGTTTAATGATTCTCGTTGTCTGATGAACAAACGTTTTTACGACGATTTTATACATTTTAATTTTATTGATCCTTGGTTGTAAATATTTTGTAATTCTTAGAAGTTGTTTTCTGGTGTATAATGACAAGCCCTTAAGTGCGATGACAAGCCCTTAAGTACGATGACAAGCGCTTGAGCACATTGACTTTAGAAGCTATTACTTCTTTAATATTAACATACAACTCGAGCAATACAACATGTTAGATATTTGTCCCCAACCTCCTGTAGGCTCTGGGGCCATATAGTGGAGGGCGTCACAAATTTGGATCTCCATTCAAGTAAAAAAAAACTCATACCCCCTCTATACTGTACAGTTATTTGCAGTTTTACACGTCTAACTGTTACCATTTACATACTTTTTTACATTTACTCTTGGACAGGACGTGTGTATTTACCCCAGTGAGAAGGCTGGCTCTCTCTCTGGGGTAAATATATCCGTCCTGTACACGACAATTGTATCAAGTTATTACATATTTTCATTAATTTCACTCTTACAAAAAATCCCAAATAATTCAAAATTTTCTAATACACCCTCGTGGGCTCCATGATATAGTTCCGCGGCCGTGAACCACATGTTGAGGACCACAGCTGTAGAGACTACCGGTACCGGGAGATTACAAAGGTTTTTCCCGGGTTTAAACATTTATTACGAAAAAAACAAACAAAGTTAGAGCAAAAGGAAGATACATTGATAACGAAGGACAGGAAAGGTTTTATTTTTAAGCTTTATTAATACAATGTGAGCTGCCTTAAAGGCTCGGCAGACTTCAAAACAATATTGTCAATCGTATTGAACTTTTCCAACAACTTCACGTATCCTTCCCTTTTAATCAACCAAAGGTACTGCCATTGATGGAACAAACACTTAATTTTTAATATTAAACCGGTGGAAAAAAGTCACTTTATTAATATTTTAGAATTAATGTTGAAAATCGGTTAAATACTCCAAACTAGCCTGGGATAATTCACCAGTAACCATACCTTAAAAAAATTAGATATACAAACTTTAATAATATTATATAGGTGTGAGTAATAAATAAATTCCACTATTAATCTTACCTTCATAGTTGAGGGATGAGAATGATAAATACAGGCTGAGTCGCTGTACGTCCGGCTGCTCGATCACCACCACTACACTGTGTCTGCTGGAAGATCTGAACTGGTCGATGTAAACACAAACGTCGTGGGACCCAACCACCAGCCTTATGAACTCCGCCTCTCTGCGTACAGCGTCGCTGAATGAGGACGAGGGGGATGGCGGCTGGAGGTGTGTGTGTGTGTGTGTGTGTGTGTGTGCATGTGTGTGTGTGTAGTGCGAGGAGGGTGACAGCAACAGTAGGGTTGACGAAGCGTGGACGATATCTCACTGCTGGAAGCTCTTGTGTGTGTGTGTGTGTGTGTGTATCTTAGACAGGAAGATCATGTAGAGTTAGTATTCGGTTACATTATCCTCACCCTGGAGATAAACATATATCTCTAACTCTTTAACTATAAAGAGAGGTTCCGTCTCACCGTCTTTTTCTCTCTGTCTGCCTCCTATCCATTTCTGACAGCACCCTTAGTGTCAAGACCTGACTGAATTACTCAGAAAAGGCAAACTGTACTACAAGCTTTGCCAATAAATTTGTCAACCGTTAACTGTGTCTGTCTCTTCTCTCGTCCGTCTCCCACACGCGCGCCTCAGGACACAATCAATAACATTCCCTCGGGCGAGTAAAGAATTATTGCCACATACAAAAATTCCTGTCACAGTTAACACCGTAATACTGCAAACAATAGGGCAGTGGTGGTGGTAGTGATGGTTGGGGTGGTGGTAGTGATGGTAGGGATGGTGGTAGTGATGGTAGGGGTGGTGGTAGTGATGGTTGGGGTGGTGGTAGTGATGGTAGGGATGGTGGTAGTGATGGTAGGAGTGGTGGTAGTGATGGTAGGGATGGTGGTAGTGATGGTGGTAGGGGTAGTGGTAATAATGGTGGTAGGGGGTGGTGGTAATAATGGTGGTGATGGTTGGTGATGGTGGTGACGTACGAGACCTTATTTCAACCCTTTGAGGACGACGGTTTAACCCTTTTGATATCAATGATTTAACCCTTTGACATCAGTGGTTTAACCCTTTGACATCAGTGGTTTAGCCCTTTGACATCAGTGGTTTTACCCTTTGACAATAGTTGTTTAACCTTTGACATCAGTGGTTTAACCCTTTGACATCAATGGTCTAACCCTTTGACATCAGTGGTTTAACCCTTTGACATCAATGGTTTAACCCTTTGACATCAGTGTTTTAACCCTTTGACGTCAGTGATTTAACCCCCTTGTCCTCAAAGGGTCAGAGGGTTACACACAGACGGCTCCTGACCTTCAAGTGTTTGTTGACTCCATCTGATTTATGGTGTTTGTTAATACTTGAGTCGTGAAAAATTGACAAAGTTGAAAAAGAAAGAAAAAAGAAACTTGTAGGTGACCAAAATATAGAAATAATATATAGTGTCCATAAATTATATCAGAACCACACTGTAAACTAAAGGAAACTGTATTATTATTATTATTATTATTATTATTATTATTATTATTATTATTATTATTATTATTATTATTATTATTATTATTATTATCATTATTATTATTATTATTATTATTATTATTATTATTATTCCTTCTTTTCCATCTCTTTTTTCTTCTCCTCCTCTCTGTCACCATCTTATCACTAAATCATCCTCACCAACTGCCGTTACTTAACTGTCAATGACCCAGTTATGCGAATTACCATCATCTAACTGTCTCATATAACTCTGTAAATCACCCAATTGCTCTCTCATGTCACCAATTCGCGCACCATACACGCTCTACTGGTGCTTGTTGACGACGCCCCTTGTGCTAGTGAACAAGGGTGTATGTTAATCTAATTGGAGCACGATTTTGTTAACAGAAGGAGGGGTATGTATGTATGTATGTATGTATGTATGTATGTATGTATGTATGTATGTATGTATGTATGTATGTATGTATGTATGTATGTATGTAAGAGACCAGTTAATCACATAATACACAAGACACACATTGTATAAATATTTAACAGTTTAAAAATACTAAGTCAGTCATTAAACTGTTAACTGTGGTGTCGTTTGATTTTCTGATCGTGGTGATTAAACTAACAGGTGTTGATAATTACGTCAGGTATACACACCTTTATGATCACGTGTACACACCTTTATGATCACGTGTACACACCTGAATGATCACGTGTACACACCTGTATGTCACGTTTGAAGGAGAGTTAATGATGCCTGAATAAGATAGGTGTGTGTGTGTGTGTGTGTGTGTGTGTGTGTGTGTGTGTTGATCCATTAGAGGTATTGTGTGTGTTTATTGGTCAAGGTGTGGCGGCAGAAGTGGGGAATACCGGGAATATTAATTAATCTAATGCTACCTGGTGGGGTTTGGTTAGCGTTAGGTTAGGTTGGGTTAGGTTAGGTTAGGTTTAACACTCGGTAAAAATAAGCATGGGGGAGAGAGACAAATTACTGAGAGATAATAATGATCAGTTTATGTGAATTAAGGTCATTATTAAATCATACAGGTGTGTTCTACCTGCCTTTAATTAATGAGCGTCTAGATTTTTATAAATATATATGAGGAAATTATTTAATACCTGCATTATAAATCTTAACACTGCAAAAACGAGAACATTGGTTACAGTCCAGATAAAACTCATGTTTTTCTCTGTTTTATCATCTTCTAAAAGTGTGTGTATGTGTGTGTGTGTGTGTGTGTGTGTGTGCGTGTGTGTGTGTGTGTGTGTGTGTGTGTGTGTGTGTGTGTGTGTGTGTGTGTGTGCGTGTGTGTGTGTACTATACTGTACGTGTGATCTCCTTTAAGACCAAACTTGACCGACAATGGAACCTGTTCAGTACTGCCAAGAGCCCGATCATCCCTCCCAGCTCCCTGTCAGTAATGTGTTACAACAGACCAACACGTGTGCGACCTATATACTGAGCTGAAGAGGATAAAGTAAATATTCCTTCTCTCTCTGTCTCATGCTTATTCGAGCACACACACACACACACACACACACACACACACACACACTCACACACACACACACACACACACACACACACACACACACACACACACACACACACACACACACACACACACACACACTATATACGTTTCTGAGGTGATGTGAAGGTTGTGTACACAGGTAGCAGGTTAGTACATACAGGGGGTTAGTACACACAGGGGGTTAGTACACACAGGAGGCGTGTTAGTACACACACGGGGGGGGCGTGCTAATACACACAGGAGGGCTTAGCACACAGGTGGGGTGGGAGGAGGTGGTCAGCTGTAAGACATTGACCCGACTGCAGTATGACGCTGCAGGAGCTCGCAACGTTAGTGTAACGGCGCGTGAAAGTCCTTCCCTGAGGATTTTATCTTGATCCACGCCTCTTACCCCTTACCCACGCCCTTACCCACGCCTCTTACCCTTACTCCACGCCATTACCCACGCCTCTCACCCTTTACCCACGCCCTTACCCGCCTCTTACCTTTACCCACGCCTCTTACCCTTTTACCCACGCCCTTACCCACGCCTCTTACCCACGCCCTTACTCTTACACGCCACTCCCCCACGCCCTTACCCACGCCTCTTACCTTTTGCCCACGCCCTTACCCATGCCTCTTACCCTTTACCCACGCCCTTACCCACGCCTCTTACCTTTTACCCAAGCCCCAACCCACGCCTGCACTTTTTATCTGCATCCTTACCCACGCTTCTTGCCCTTCACCCACACCCTTACCCATAAATCACGAATTACCTTACGTGTACCAACATAATAATAATAACAACAACAATAATAATAATAATAATAATAATAATAATAATAATAATAATAATAATAATAATAATAATAATAATAATAATAATAATAATAATAATAATAATAATAATAATAATAATAATAATAATACATATAAGAATCTCCTAACAACATTTACTGTACAATATAAAGAACAGGAAAGCAGGATTAATTTACTTTAGTCAATAATGTAAATGGTTGCGTATTTAACGAATAATTATTTGCCATAGTTAACCCTGGAATATGAAAGAATCCATTTTCTCTCAATTCGTCGGGGCACCTAAAGTAGAAGTTCATTTCTTACATAATGTCCGAATAACTTCTAATTTTACTTTAATTTACTTTAAATAACTCTATTTTACTTTAATTTACTTCGAATAACCATTTATACTTTACTTTATTCAATACTGTATATACTGTAGCTGCATATTTACAGATAATTATTTGCCATAGTTTACCCTGAAAAATTAAAATCCATTTTCTCTCTTTTTTTCGGGGGAGCCTAAAGTAGAAATTCATTTCTTACATAATGTCCGAATACATTTTTATTTTACTTTAATTTACTTCTAATAACTATTTCTACTGTACTTTATTTGTTCTGATAGGCATTTTTACACAATGTCTTTTACTGTTTGTGAATTTATGATTAAGATTCTGTTATAAAAGCAAGTTTTGTATGTGTTAAAGATAATAATCACATTAATATATCTGACTGCGGTGAAACGTAACGCGTGTAAATGGTGCAGACAGTCTACAATTATAGCAAAACATAGAGAGATGTTATGTAAAACTTGCAAACATACCGCAAATGGCGTGTTGTGTTCCTGACGTCAATGTGTGTTGTGTGTGTGTGTGTGTGTGTGTGTGTGTGTGTGTGTGTGTGTGTGTGTAAGGTATAATAAGTATTCAGGATGTGGTGGCTAAGTGGGGTACCTGAGTCGATCTTGGGGCAATCATGGTCTACCCAGTTGTAGATGGGTACCTAAGTCTACAGTTGGGGAAGTGAAGGTGATCAAGTACAGTGTCTGCCTCCTTGTGTACCGAAGGCTTACTGTAAAGTGTACTCTAGCCACAATGTCCTACCACCGAATCAGAGAACAATAAGTTAATCGCTTGATTACTACGAGTGAACCCTTGTGTACGTTGAGTAAACACCTGAGTACAATGAGTTAACATCTGAGTACGATGACTTAATCTCCTTTGAGTACGATGTTATGCCGTCATACATAAACGGTTAAGACATCGTATTGAAAGGGTTTAAGTCATCGTACTCATGGTATTAAGACACCATACTTTAGAGGTTAGAAAAGTGTACTCAATGTGTTAAGACAGCATACTCAAGGGATTAGAAAACCATACTCAAAGTATTCAATTATCGTACTCGTAAAGATGAGATCGTACTCAAGAATTTCATTATGATTAATGACGTCACTTTGTATAGTTTTAATTACAGTTTATGAACAATAATTTCATTTATTTCTAATGATAAAAATAATGACTTACGTCTAATTAACAAATATAAGTTCATAAGTGCAGAGGCAACTATTTATAAGGTGTTGAATCTCTCTCTACCCATCTCCTCCTCCCCCGCCTCCCATACTCACATCTATCCTCTATCTCCCAGTCTCTCTCATCTCTCACCCCCCCGCCTCCCATACTCACATCTATCCCTCTATCTCCCAGTCTCTCTCTATCTCTCCCCCCCCCACCACCCCTGGTAGCGCTACTCACCAGTCCTTCACTTACAGTACAGTATAATGAGATAAAAACAGAAGAGCATCAGTGTGTTAGTGACGTCAATCGAGAAGTGAAGGACTTGGCCTCTCGGAAGCTAAGTTTTTCATACCCGGAGACGTCAATCAATTAATCATGATATATCTGATCAGTAAACTCCAAGCCTCTAGTCTTGTTATCATTCTCTTTATTCTATAATTATTAATGAGAAAATTGGAGCTGGTTCTGAGTACTGATTTATAGACTATTGGATTACGTATATAGTTGTAGGGTCTAAGATTGTTGGTTCAAGTCGTTTATTTCGTTTATATTACAGATTAGATTCCATTCGTTTATATATATATTTTTATTTATTGGTGTGTGTAAATTCCTTCAGTCAACTGGTGTTAGGTTAGGTTAGGGTATGTTAGGTTAGAATAGGTTAGGGTATGTTAGGTAATGTTACAGTAGGTTAGGGATAAGTTAGGTTAGGATAGGTTAGGAATAGGTTAAGTTAGGATAGGGTCGAATAGGTTAGGTTAGGTTAGGTTAGGTTAGTTTAAGGTTAACTTTTAATTAGGTTACGTTACGTGTATAAAGAACATAAGAGAGAGAGAGAGAGAGAGAGAGAGAGAGAGAGAGAGACCCCCACGCAGTATCTCAAAGGGTCAGGTAGAGAACGTGTTATCTCTTTGAGGTATATGAGAACTAAAAGGGTGTGTTGCGATAACTCTATTTATCTCTCATCTCCCGTCACTCATGTATTACCCCTGAGTTTAAGGGTTCCGTCTGAAGCCCTACAGTGCGACCTGATTGAAACTAGGGTTCCTATTGATTTTTCGGCAGGTGTCTTAGAGCTCGCCCACCTACCTCTCTCTCTCTCTCTCTCTCTCTCTCTCTCTCTCTCTCTCTCTGTATATACATTTGTCTGTCTGTGAATTTATCTTTGTCTCTCTCTCTCTGTATATACATTTGTCTGTCTGTGAATTCATGTCTGTTTGTCTGTATCCTCGTGTCGTGCTTAACGAGATATCACCCGTGATAACCATAACTAGAGGTTAGGTTAAGGTTAGGTTAGATTAGGTTAGGTTAAGGTTAACTTAAGAATGTTACGTTGCGTGTACAAAGAACATGAGAGAGAGAGAAGAATGCGTATGTGTCTGAGTATTTCCAGATATAAACTGAAAACAATTTAAACAGAGTAGAAAAGAGCAATGTTTAGTGGTAGTAGTGGTGGTGGTAGTGGTGGTGGTGGTAGTGGTGGCAGTGGTGGTGGTGGTGGTGGTGGTGGTGGTGTGGTGGCGGTGGTGGTGGTGGTGGTGGTGGTGGTAGTGGTGGCAGTGGTGGTGGTGGTGGTGGAGTGGTGGCGGTGGTGGTGTGGTGGTGGTGGTGGTGTGGTGGGTGGTGGTGGTGGTGGGTGGTGGTGGTGGTGGTGGTGGTGTGGTGGTGGTGGTGGTGGCGGTGGTGGTGGTGGTGGTGGTGGTGGTGGTGGTGGTGGTGGTGGTGGTGGTGGTGGTGGTGTGGGTGGGGTGGTGGTGGTGGTGGTGGTGGTGGTGGTGGTGGTGGTGGTGGTGGTGGTGGTGGTGGTGGTGGTGGTGGTGGTGGTGGTGGTGGTGGTGGTGGTGGTGGTGGTGGTGGTGGGTGGTGGTGGTGGTGGTGGTGGTGGTTGGTGGTGGGTGGTGGTGGTGGTGGTGGTGGTGGTGATGGTGGTGGTGGTGGTGGTGGTGGTGGTGGTGGTGGTGGTGGTGGTGGTGGTGGTGGTGGTGGTGGTGGTGGCGGTGGTGGTGAGGTGGTGGTCCAGGTCGAGGGAGAAGGTGACTCGATATTGACATTCTTCCAATCAATCAATTTCTTCAATTTAGTTTCTCTCTCTCTCTCTCTCTCTCTCTCTCTCTCTCTCTCTCTCTCTCTCTCTTCCTTGTGTGGGTTCTCGACTAATATAACTGTTTACCATGGAACGTTTTCTGAGACTGGTTAACCTCAGATATCGGTGAAGAGAAACCAACAAGTATAATAACTTAAGTAATATAAACTATTTGCAAGGCACACAAGAAACAATAATGACAAAAAAAATAAATAGGAAGTTTGCTCAGTTGGAGAATTTATCCAGTGACAAAACACCACAGAACTTAACCTAACCTACCAGGAACACTTACAACACAATACAAATAACAATGTACTCACCACTATGGAGGAGAAGGAGGTGAGATCCACAACCATATACTGTCCACAACCTAACTGACTGGTTAACCCAACACCAAACCTCTAATGAATGAGTCGAAACATTAACAAAAGCTTCAACTCTTCCAATAAGTTGTGGTGACTCTTGGCAGTCCTCACCACACCTTTAAACTTAACCAATAGATGGCGACTGTCGTAACACTCTGTCTGTCTCTCTGTCTGTATTTCCCACTTCTTCTTCTCTCTTCATTTATTTGTCTTGTGTTCATCCTACTTAAAACTTTGGTTAACAAAGTTTTAGTCGTAACTTTTATTAATAACCCGAGTAATTTATATCCTGTTCAGTATCACACACACACACACACACACACACACACTCCCTGTTTGATGTTTATACCAAATGTTTTCCGGGTCTTTCATTGACTAATGCTAAATAAACAAACACACACACACAACAATTTCAGCTGGTTGTGTTCTCCCTACAGTAGCACTAGACTGTTGGTACACAAGGTCACTGCAAGGTCACTGTGTGGGTCGACCGACTTCACATCTCCAATTGTAATTGTACCACTGCTGGCGTCCACACCGAGCCTGCCCCGTGCCCGGCTGCCCCCGTCCACCCACAGCGCGCTCATGGACATGAGGACACCATCCCCGGCCCCCACCGGCATGCCGGCACCTGGGGCCCATCCACTCCAGTTCTCCACATCAATTGACCACCCTGCTGATATGCAAGTGGACTACGTATCTACGCCAAGAAGGACGTCCCCTACCAGCCTCTCGACGTCCCCCTTGAAGCCGACACTACCGACGTACACGCCATCACAATCACACTTTAAAGTATGTCCTTCAATATTGTCAATGCCTATGGCCTGGCACTTGACATTATTAGGGACCTGCCACGCTTTGACATAAACAGATGAAATGTACCGGGAATTTTCCCCCCATACACTCATCATTCTGTCACTTTATGTAAATTGCTGACAAAGCCCATGACCCTTCAGGCTTTTACGCCCTTAATGCAGGAGTCATAAAGGCAAGCATGAACTCCCCATGTTTCCCAGATGGGCGCTGTAAACGCTTCTGCTCTTCACCTTGCACAGGATGTAAGGGGGTGCCCAATAAATTAGCCCCCTCGGGGGCAATCTAAAAAAAATCTAAAAAAAAAATGTTAGTTATTATTATTATTATTATTATTATTATTATCATTATTATTATTATTATTATTATTATTATTATTATTGTTATTATTATTATTGTTGTTGTTGTTGTCACTGTTGTTACAAGAATTATTAGTATTGTAAATATAATTTTCATTATCACATTAAATGGATAATAAAAGACATTTATTGTTTAATTTGTATCACAATTACATTTTGTAATTAAAAGAATTTCACTTGGCCAACAGAAAACGATCATAATTATCAGGCATGTGTGTGTGTGTGTGTGGAGTTTACACTCATTGTGGATCATATAACAAACATTGTCGTCACCTGTGTAAACAAAGATGGTCATTAGATTAATTAATAATATTAGGTAAGTTGAAGGAAAATTAGGCAGTTAAATATTCACATTTCTGATTCTTTAATTAAGGTCAGGAGTTATGATCATTTAACCTGTACCATACACTCTACAGGTAATGTGTACTGATGAGCCTCAGGTGATGGTGTTGGTCTTCCTTACCTGTGAAGAATGTTGCGTCACTACCAGGTGTGTATATTACCTGTACAAGTTAGTATAAAAAATGATTACAACTTCAGTAAAATGACACAATATTATGAGGTTCTTATATGGAAATTATGGAAATACACTTAGCAATAATTGGCGTCTCTCCTTTCTCTCATCTTCTTGGTTTATTTATGTTTCTATTTCCTTTTCCGTGTTTTTCTTTCGTCTCTTTTCTCTGGCTTGCACTCCCCACTTTCCACATAAATGTTGTTATTTTATCTCACATGGTTCAGACACTCAAGAAACAGGTAACGTGTCGAGGCGGTGATCTGCAGTCCTTGACCCCCAGGATGATAAGGAACCCATACTTGACCTGAAGGAGGAGGAGGAGGAGAGGAAAGAGGAGTTGTATCTTTCTTGGTGAGGGACAGTACAGGTAGTAGTGGTGGTGGTGGTGGTGGTGACGGTGTTTGTTGGAGGACCGTCACCAGTACCACCACCAGTCACCAGCATCACCACCAACATCATCATGGGAGAGTGTGATGCCTTTGTCCCGTGGCCACTGCTAAGGATGGGGAGAGCTAAGACGGTCATGGTGTGAAAAGGAATGACTTTCAGCATCAATTGAGAGATTTCGGGTTTATAGACTTCCTTCCTTTTTCTCCTCTTACACCACAGCATCGAGATCTTGGTGCTCATGATGCTAAAAAACTGCTTACAAGCCTTCCTGAAACGTGGGTTGACGGCGGCGTAGACGAAAAAATTGACGCCGTACTGTACCCAATACAACATGTAGATGGCGATGTTGAGGGGGATGTTTATCTGCCCCGTCAGGAGGGTCTCGACGTTGTGGACGCAGATGGGGATCACGCAGAAGAGAAAGAGCAGCAACAGCGCCAGGAGGAGAGCTGTGGACCTCATCATTGCCCTGCAGCGCCGTGTTACCAGGTCCTTGTGCCTTTCAAAGTGATCGGCAATAAGGAAAACATTAAAATATTACAATCATTACTACTACTACTATTATTGTTACTATTGCTGTTACTACTATTACTTTAATAATAATAATAATAATAATAATAATAATAATAATAATAATAATAATAATAATAATAATAATAATAATAATAATAATAATAATAATAATAATAATGCTATATTACCGTATACTCTTGGAACAGTACATAAGTTCACAAACATTTGCTGTGGAGTCAAGACATAACACAGCTCTCCCTTATTCAGACTAGTGACTATTAGAACTAGTGACTATTAGGACCAGTGGCTATTAGGACTAGGGTATGAAGACTGGAACCTATTAAATCTTAGAGTAGGCCTATCCATTAATACTGAAAGCAAAATATTGTGTCGTGCAAGCCTCATACTCACATGCCAGCAGCTAGGAGTTTGGTTGTGTTGCGTCGGACTTGACAGATGATGCTACAACAGCCCGTGAGCATGAGGATACACGGCAGCAGTGACTGTAGGCAGTAGAAGTAGACGCGGGCGGAGGTGTTGCTCAGATCACACTTGAAGGAGGAGCGATCGTAGGCGAAATGACCCTGTGTATGTGTGTGTGTAGTGAGTAATACTTCCAGGTGTGTGTGTGTGTGTGTGTGTGTGTGTGTGTGTGTAGTGATTAATAATTCCAGGTGTGTGTGTGTGTGTGTGTGTGTGTGTGTAGTGAGTAATACTTCCAGGTGTGTGTGTGTGTGTGGCAACTAACCTAACCTAACCTAACCTAATCTTACCTAACCTAACCTACCTCTTAGTATATCGAAAAATAAATTCTTCAATAAGATTAGCGACCTAATTAATGAGCATTGCAGAAGGTAACAAACTATCCCTGCCTCTTAATTAATGGATTAGTAGCCGTATTAAAAGTAAAGGCTGGGTTAGATTAAGCTTGGAAAGGATCATACCGACTTATTGTTTGTGTAACTGACATTAATTACTTCTGGGACAAACACACACACACACACACACACACACACACACACACACACACACACACACACACCAGGTCACAGCCATCGTCCGCCAACAGACAGATCCGATTTCTATGGAATGGGATTAATGAGAACAGCAATTAAGCGTTAGGGTGAGAGAGAGGCCGTGACCTTGCTGCGTGGCGCTCACACACACACACACACACACATTGAGAGTATCTAGAATGTTTACAGTATAGTTAAGGGAGCCACCATAAGTATCACCCACTGTGGCAGAGTTCTTTAAGCCATGAGAGGACAGACTTGTTTATAAAGGTTAACACAATAAAACAGCTAGTAAGTGTTGTTCTCTTGTTTCTTTCCGACACACTGACAGCAACACGTGGCACACATCACCAGCAGGAAGGACAACACTTGTTGGTGCATCGGGGGAAAAAATATATGACATTTATAAAATGATGATTTATGATGTTTGGGTCCGTGGATATGTTCATTGTTCATTGTTTCTTATGACTGTTCATCGTTCATTGTTCTTTATGATTTTTCATTGTTCATTGTTCCTTTTAGTGTTCATTGTTCCTGTTGATGCCTGAGTCACTGTTTAGTATGAAAATGTGTTGTTCACAAGGTCAATATACCTTGGAACAAAATTCGAATCTCGATAAGACAAAATCCCAGAAGAACAATACTGGAATGTTTACAGGACGGTAAACTGAGGCTGACAGAGGTATATCTTTGGTAAACAACCTGTGTAAACTCACCTGTAATATAAATAGGTGTTGAGTTTAACCACTTAAGACAGGTGTCACACATACAGTACAGTACACCATTTAATGACACATCGATAAAGGTGATGTTTGGGTGGTTGGCTGATGTGTGTGACAAACATTAACGTAATATATTAAAGCATTAAGCTGCGGTGGTTACATCATGACCTCCTGTATCGTTGTTTCCATGGTGAGGGTCGACCGCCTGGAGGAGGGAGTTCCATCACTTGATATTGAGCTGTAGTGGAAGTGACGCCTGATGGTAGGTAATGAACTCTTGTCATCAAGGTGCTGTAGAGGATGTCCTTCCAAGTGACTGTCCTTAAGTGTGTGGAAGTTGATGAGATGGAAGCTAGATGGACACACCTCTGTCCCGTGTGGCGAAACAAGATCTGTCGAACAAACATCAGGAACTTGTGTAATGTTTGATGAGAGACGTGATCCTCTGAGGGTGGATGTTTCCCCACGTCGCGTTCTTGCCTTGAAGAAGTTCCTGGCGTTCTCTGCCACCGACCTGAAGAAATATTTATAAGCCTTCCTGTAGTTGGTGTTACTGGCAGCGTAAATCATGAAGTTGACGGCGTACTGGAGCCAGTAGAACATGAAGATGCCGATTCCTAGAGAGACTTGATTGCGGCCAGTTACCAGCATCATAATGTTGTACACACAGATAGGGATGATGCAGGCCAGGAAGAGGAGAAGCAGAGCCAGCAGCAGCGCCGTCGACTTCAGCATCTTGCGGAACCTCTGGTGTACAAGATCCCTCGGCCTGGGGGGTGAGAGAACCTCGTCTGAGTGTCTGTACATCCCACACCCTTCATCTTTATCTTAAATTTTAAGTTCTTGAAGTAACAGCCATATTTATGCTTCAACTCTCTCAGTTAAATGACCTTATGTTAAGTTTCGAATGTTTGAACTTATGATATCTTATTTACGCCAGGTTTTAGATCTTTGAACTAAAGGTGACTTGTATATGAAGGTGACACACATATCTCCATGTTGCATTATGTTGCAAAAATCACAATATTGTGGTTTTATTATAATGCAAAGTGTTGACTGTAATACAATTATGATCATAGGCAGAAGACCTTACACACACACACACACACACACACACACACTCAGGTGAATTTAAGCATCATCGTAGTGTTGAAAGAATTAATCTGTGACAACAATAAGAGCAAATATTAATAACCAGAGAAGGAAGAAGCCTCAGTGCTGACGTTCCAGCAGTTCCAGAGCTCCTGGACGTTTTCCAGGCCTGGAAAATGGCATGAGGAAAGAATTCTCAATGTTCACATTCCTGCAGTTTCAATTATCAAGTTTCCCTCCAAATGTGGAATATTAAATATAGACGAAAGGAGTCTCAATGCTCACATTCCAGCAGCTCGAAGCTTCCTTGTGTTCCTCCAGATTTGGAAGATGATGCTGAGGCAACCAGTCAGCATCAAGCCACACGGCAAGAGAGATTCCAAGCTGTAGAAGAAGATGCGAGCCTCCGGCTTCGTCATGTCGCACTTGTAGGTCTCCTCGTCGTAGTTGAAATGTCCCTGCAAGGTGCAACCATGCTAATCTTCCATAAATAGAGGGGCACGTCGTTCTTATAAACTCAACCATGCTCGTCATACATAAATAGAGGGTCACGTCCCTCTTATAAACTCAACCATGCTAGTCATACATACTGTAGACTTGTACTCTGTAGGAGTATTTCCATGCACTAAATCCAGCCATGGGAATCCGACATGCACAGGGACCTAACAATGGTACTTCTCACCTAAAAATGCACCGCTATAATTGACAGAATAGCTCTATAAGTAAATTCTTTAGTAAGCAGGGTTAAGTAAGTTAATAAGTGAGCAGGGATAAGAAAGTGTCTAAGTAAGCAGGGATAATTAAAATCCCAAGTAAGTAAGTAATCAATACACAGAAATAATCAAGATCATAATCAAGCCAGTACTGACCTCAGTGAGAGCACCCATCTGGAGGAGGACGCTGCCCACCCAAATGGCCACGATGAAGAAGATGGTTGGTCGTGGTCTGAAGAATCTTGCTCCCCTAAAGCGTCCCAAGTCCACACACCGCTGCACAGTCAGTAGTCCCAGCGTCGTCCACTCCGCCAGGGCGTTGACGTAGCGGAAGAGAGCGGCGCCAGTACAGAAGACCTTACTAGGATCTCCCTTCTTGGGGTCGATGGCATAGCCGTAGGTGACGATGGTGAGGGGAAGGTTGATGGTGCAGTAGAGGAAGTCGCAGAAACTGAGGTGCAGCAGCAGGAGTGTGTCGCCCTCTAGGGACACTACAGGTCGCTTGCCATGTTGGTAGCGGCCGCGTCTCCACATTCTGTCCAGATATAGTTGGTGAGCGATGGTGGACAGTGTGACAAGGTTGCCCACACCCCCTACACATGCCACCGTCAGCGCCCACGCCTGCGCCGCGATAATCCATCCCTCAGGTAATGGGGCGTCACCGGGAGATACAGTACTAGTGTTCATTGTCAGATTACCAACACACACACACACACACACACACCGAGGGGGAAGGTGAACACTTATCTAAAGCCAATCTGTCGTATATCACTGTCGCTCATATTGACCGGAGGTATTATGAGTTCACCGCTGAGGCGGACACAGGTTCGCGTCCAATTCTTAGCCACCAAGTGTAGGACCTCCCGTCGATCCAGCTGAGATGGGTACCTGAGTTTAGAGTTAGGGTGTAATAGGCGGTGGAGAACAGTGTCGTCCAGGCTATGTCTTCAGTATGCTGCGTCCGAAATTATTTATCATTTCACCACTTATCAGTTTACTAGCCGTTTGGGCAGTTGGTCTATCCCGTGTTAGTACAGGAGGAAACCAGAGTCCGGAAAACCTGTGATGTTTGGTAGTATTAAGCTTAGTAGTAACCTTAAATGTTGTTAATCCTACAGACAAATCACTATATAGTGTACTTACTATAAATGTTCTCTATAATATTCAAATTGTTCTTACAAAACCTTAAATATTTTCCATAAAGTTTCCTGATCTAAGTTTAGTTAATTATTTGGACATATTTGTAAGGCTTTTTCTTTTTCTCAGTATTGGGACACAAGAAGATGTAGGTGTGAATGGTTCGGCTGTCTACTGTAACACAACAATGAGGTCTGGAGAAAGTCCTCACCTGGGGTATTGATAGGTTATATGCATAATCAACAGAGAGTCCTTTGATTATTATTATTATCTTTGGTTTTTACCCCAAGATAAGAATTCCTGGTGGTTTAGCCTTTACATCTTGTCATAAGTTAAGTATATTTATCTGGGTACTCGGCAACTCCCCCTCCTGCTACTCTCCTTCTCTCCCAACTCTCCTCACACCTACCCCTCCCACTCTCCTTCTCTCCCAACTCTCCTCACACCTACCCCTCCCTCTCTCCTTCTCTCCTCACACCTACCCCTCCCTCTCTCCTTCTCTCCCTATCCCTTCCCACCCTCTCCTCTGCCGCCATCATCACCAGAACTAAAATAGCCAGACCCTCGTAACTAAGAACCTGTAATGATAACTCCTTTAGTTAGTAACTCCATGAACACAGAGCATGAACAAGTAAATACAGTTCTCTTGGTTATCATGGTAGGCAAAAGGTGTTATCATAGGCATCTCCGTTATCTTCAACTACGACCATCTTGCCGGGGGCTATGAGAGGGTATTGTTATTGCTGTGTGGGGTTGTTCTTTACTTTATTTTACTATTACAACAAAAACAACAGCAACTACTACTACTACTACTACTACTCCTACTACTACTACTACCTGTAGGTTGCTCATGTCATTGTTACTTAGTCAAGTCTGTATTGAGTACGGCAATGATTTAACCCGTTGAGTACGATGACTTAACCCCTTGAATACGACGATGACTTAACCCACTGAGTACAATGACTTAACCGCTTGAGTACGATGACTTAACCCCTTGAATTCGATGACTTAACCCACTGAATACAATGACTTAACCCTTTGAATACGATGACTTAACCCACTGAGTACAATGACTTAACCCCTTGAGTACGATGACTTAACCCCTGAGTACGTAAGGAAGAGTTTGTGATTTTGGTAGCTAGTTGAACATCAAAGTTTGCAGTGAATGTGTTTCTTATGTGTCTTGACCTGTCCTAACTGTCGAGACACCTAATCCAACAACAACAACCACAACCACAACCAAATAAATCAAAAATTATATTACTCAAACCATAAACCAGATTGTGAAAGGATCTTAAGATGAATTTTCTTGGTAACTAAAGAGAGCTACTCGGAACTGCTTGACTTAAAACGAACAGCTCATCATGCACGTATGAAACCAACTATTTCCTGACCTTCGACCACCCATAATCTCTTCCGAGCGATCTCTGAGTCCTCACATCTAACGTACTGTAACGTAATGTAACATAACGTAACCTAACCTAACTTAAACTAACGTAACATAAACCAGGGTGTCTAATCCTCAGATAATTTATTAGTTAAACAGATCCAGTTCGATACAGTCATTTCAAGTACAGCTACGAGGAAACTTTGAGCTCATCTACCTCCGTGTTCAAGACCAGAGCCAGCAACCGACACACACACACACACACACACACACACACACACACACACACACACACACCACACACACACACACACACACACACACACACCACACACACACACACACACACACACACACACACACACACACACCACACACACACACACACACACACACACACACACATAGACACAGAAAAATAAGAGAGATTCTTGTGAGTTTTATAGTGACTCAAAGGGGAAGAAACCCTATGACTGCTACAGTATATAACACCCAGGGGAGGAAACTGTAGTCTCTTACACTTTATGACGCGGGAACTTTCCTTCCTCTACACACACACACACACACGACTGCTCTATGTTTTTTCGTTATTGATGATACTACTACTACTACTACTACTACTACTACTACTACTACTACTACTACTACTACTACTACTACTACTACTAATAATAATAATAATAATAATAATAATAATAATAATAATAATAATAATAATAATAATAATGATAGTATCAACAACAAAAATAATAAAAATAATTATAATACTGACAATAACAACAATACGAACATTATACGCTATAACTATAAACAGAAATATAACAATTATATTACTCGACAACAACCAATAAGAACCCAATATTATGGCCCACCAATAAGAACCCAGTATTATAACCCACCAATAAGAACCCAATATTATAACCCACCAATAAGAACCCAGTGTTATAACCCACCAATAAGAACCCAGTATTATAACCCAAATAGAACAATATTGACCAATAAGAATATTATCAAATAAGACATGTTTAACCCACAATAAGAACCCAGTATTATAACCCACCAATAAGAACCGTATTATGACAATAAGAACCAGTATTATCATCCACCAATAGAACCGTGTTATAACCAATAGACCAGTATTTGACCAATGCAGTATTATGACCCACCAATAAGAACCCAGTATTATCATCCACCAATAAGAACCCAGTGTTATAACCCACCAATAAGAACCCAGTATTATGACCCACAAAGGTAAATATCATTCTTACTTCAGCTAAGAGTTATTAATTAAGATCACCTGCCGAGTGATTTATTGTCTCAAGTAGGAGCCACTGTACCTGCGTCTGTGTCGTTATTATACCTGTAGCTACACATACCTGTAGCTATACCTGTAGTTGTACCTGTAGCTATACCTGTAGTTGTACCTGTAGCATACCTGTAGCTATACCTGTAGTTGTACCTGTAGTTATACCTGTAGCTATACCTGTAGTTGTACCTGTAGCTATACCTGTAGTTGTACCTACCTTCTGTAGATACCTGTACCATACCTGTAGCACTGTATACCTGTAGCTATACCTGTAGTTGTACCTGTAGCTATACCTGTAGTTGTACCAGCTAACCTGTAGTTGTACCTGTAGCAACCATCTGTAGCTACTGTACCTGTAGCTATACCTGTAGTTGTACCTGTAGCTATACCTGTAGTTGTACCTGTAGCTTACCTGTAGCTATACCTGTCATACCTGTAGTTGTACCTGTAGTTGACCTGTAGCTATCCTGTTGTACCTGTAGCTACCTGTTATACCTGTAGTTGTACCTGTAGCTATACCTGTAGCTATACCTGTAGTTGTACCTGTAGCTATACCTGTAGTTGTACCTGTAGCTATACCTGTAGCTGTAGCTATACCTGTCCCTCCTGTTATACCTGTAGTTGTACCTGTAGCTATACCTGTAGTTGTACCTGTAGCTATACCTGTACCTATACCTGTAGCTACTGTATACCGTAGCTATCCTGTAGTCGTAGCTATACCTGTAGTTGTACCTGTAGCTATACCTGTAGCTTGTACTATACCTGTGGTATATCCTGTGCAGTTAGCTATACCTAGTTGTCCGTATATTTTCTGGTTGAGCTCCTGTGTTGTTCTGCTATATTTATAGTCGTATATATTTCTAAATAAATTTTCGAAATCCATTACAACTGAAATATCTACAGTCATTTCTTAATTTCGTTTCTTGTCTTAATATTATTTCCCGCCTTCGTGTGGAGATTCTGCCCGCCAGAAATGACTAACTCTTTATATTTCTCATGAGCGGATTTTTTTTCCTGATGTGGGTGGGATGTTCTTTTCCTAGGATGAAATAACTCGTTATTTTCCTTGACTTGAGAATGTGTTTTTTTCTACAATAAATTAACTGTTCTTTACCTTAATTTAAGATGTATTTTTGTTCTTTTTTTCCCTTAGGGCGACTTAACCGATGATTAGTTGCAGTTCATCCTGGGATTAAACGGCTCTTACAAACAACAATTACGTCTCCCAACTCCAGGCCATCACGCTACCTGTGTTGTCTTAACCAACACACCCTTCACCGGGAGAGAGAGAGAGAGAGAGAGAATTAACGAGATAACCTTTTCCTTCGAAGTTACTTTGTCTTGTGTCACCTGTATTAAAGTTGTAAATCAATATATTCATCCTTTATGAATTCTAATCTACATCCTTTTTTGTCTCATCATTTACAGAAGTTTGATTTACATGTGTATTGTAATTTACATAGTTTATATAAGTAAATTAGTGTGCTGTATATGTGCCTATGTTAATTAGTTTTATTATATATATATAGTATAATACTCACTTTGGGTATTTTAATCTTCTTTTGTTATTAAGTTCGTTGGTAATATAACTTGGGTAACTTCTTCATTTGGCATGGCTACGTGACGCAACACTCCCTCAGTTACCTATCCCAGCTCAGGAAGGGACAGACGGTGTTTAAAAGAGACAACATACACACACATCAAGGTGGTTCTCTGAAATAAATCTTTTCAGGAACTTCTTCAAACATTATGATCGTAATTATTTTTGCATGAAGGTAATTTTACAAAACACTTTTTTTTTTAAATTCGTGAGTAACATTTGTTTTTCTTTCTTTCTGATAATCGTTCTGGGGAAGGATATTGAAGGAGAGAAATATGGATTATGTTCAATTAGCACAGTTGATGGACGGATAAGTTGTTAATATAGGTTGGGTGGTGATACAAGGTATGACGCTGGTTGATCTTCACAAGCAACACGGCCACTACACACCACACCCAGAGCAGCCGGTCTACTGGCTCTCTGCCCTCCTGCACCAACACCACCACATCTCTCTCTCTCAGTTCTCTCACGCTTTCTAGTTTTCTCTCTCGATTTATCTCTCTAGTTGTCTCTCTTTCTCTTTTTTCTCTCTCTCTGTGACTGTTTCTTGTACTCGCTCTCTTTCACTGCCACTTTCTCTCTTTCTATTTTTGGCGTTTGACTTTCTTTTCTTTCTCTCTCTCCTCTCTTTAATGACCAAATCTGTCCATTTATTTATCTATCTCTCGATCTATTAATTATATTTTTCTGTTTTCCTTACTTAAGACCTGTCTATCTGTGTGTCTTCGTCTCTATCTCTCTCATTCTCTCTCCTATCTCTCTCATTCTCCTTCTGTCTTCTCTGTATCCATACCATTTTCCCCAACAACTCGCCATTCATTTCTCCCTCACCTTATTTCCACCATTTCTCCCTCACCATTTCCCTAGGTACACACACACACAGGTCCGGGCTACCCAAGACACCACAAGGGCGGCCTCCTCTACCTACTTACGTCTCTCACAATAAACAGATACACACTCAACAAAATCTCTCTCAGTCTCTACTTACTTACCATTCTTATCTCTGTCTATCTCTCATATTTTATCTATCTATCGATTCGTTCTTATGTCTTGAGTGTCTGTCTATCTGTCTGTCTGTCTATATGAAGATAAGGGAAAGTTTCCGTTTGCTGCATTAATTTCAGGGGTGGTGGTAGTTGTGGTAGAGGTGGTGGTAGTAGTGGTAGTGGTGGTGGTAGTGGTGGTGGTAGTAGTGGTAGAGGGTGGTAGTTTGTGGTGGTAGTGGTGGAGGTAGTGGAGGTGGTAGTAGTGGTAGAGGGTGGTGGTTTGTGGTGGTAGTGGTGGCGGTAGTTTGTGGGCGAATCAATGAATGACGTCGTTGTCTGCAGTAGGAAAGCGGGCTGCTTGTGTTTGCTTGACTCTGCGTACCCGATGAAGGATGTGTGTGTGTGTGTGTGTGTGATTACCATCGAAAAATTTCAGGTTGGAACATCCATCATCCATCAATATCATCCATCAGCATCACCCATAACATACACACACCATACAAGGGTATTGTGTCTTAGTTCTCAAGTACAGTATATCTGAACACGGAACACACCTCCTACTGCTCCTAACGCTACCTTGCACCAGGAACACTCACCAACTTTTACATCGGCTAGAAACTTTGGTAAGAAACTTTTGGGGTTCATCTTATCACACTGACTAAGAGAGAGAGAGAGGAGAGAGAGAGAGAGAGAGAGAGAGAGAGAGAGAGAGAGAGAAGTAGATCAAGGCCTGTTTGTTTATCCTTTCGGCTCCCCATCCGTTACCAACACCTCTTCCCTCCCTGACCACATATCCCTCCGCCTAGATGTATTTCTTTGTGTACTAACCTCTGTCCTGCATGGCAGTGAATAGTGACATCACCCACATGAATCTGATCTATGTATATATGTGTAGGTATGTGTATGTGTATGCATATGTATGTGTATGTGTGTGTATGTATATATGTATGTATCTATGTATATATGTATGTATGTATGTGAGTATATATGTATATGTGATATGTAACCGGTCGGAATTCTACCTATTGGGGTTTTGAGTTATAGTGGTTGGTAATGCAGTGGAAGCGCCCCTCAGAGGATACCGAACCAGCGCAAACACAATTCAATAAAATTATTCTCCGTGACCCTGGAATAGCTAGTACCTGCGATTGGGGTTAATGAGACGCACTGGTAAAAGATAACACTTCTATTTGCATCCTGCCCTGAATTAATCTGCCACCCAGATGCACGTGGGCTACTTATCTACGCCAAGAAGGACGTCCCTACAACCTCTCGACGTCCCCCTTGAAGCCGACACTACCGACATACACGCCATCACAATCACACTAAAATGTACGTCCTTCAATATTGTCAATGGCTACAGTATGTGCCTCCCTCCGCCTCTACTGCACCTGTCCTACCACAATATATCACCTCCACCCCCCCTCCTTGTGGGGGACCTCAATGCCCGACACCCCAGTCTCTGCTCCCAGGGGGCCCTACCCAAACTCCCGGGGTAACTCCTGACTTTCTTACCTACAAACCAATGATGACCCTGTTACCAACACCTCTCCCCTCCCTGACCAGATATCCCTCCTCCTAGAGACAGCCTCTCCCCTCCCTGACCAGATATCCCTCCTCCTAGAGACAGGCCTGGCACTTGACATTATTAGGGACCTGCCACGCTTTGCCATAAACAGATGAAATGTACCGGGAATTTTCCCCCCACACACTCATCATTCTGTCACTTTATGTAACTTACTGACAAAACCCATGACCCTTCAGGCTTTTACGCCCTTAATGCATGAGTCATAAAGGCAAGCATGAACTATGCATGCTTCCCAGATGGGCGCTGTAAACGCTTCTGCGCTACACCTTGCACAGGATGACAAGGGAGCAAATATAAACTAAGTAAATATATAGGTATCTATCTATTTATCTATCAACTCGCAGCGACTGTCATGTCACATCATTACTCCGTGTATGAACAATGTTGAAGGATGTGAGACCATTCTCCGTTCCCTGTCGTTGTCTTTCCCCGTCGTTCTCCCCCTGGCAGTATATTCCTTTTGAGAATGATACTAATGTTGCACCATACTCCCTCGTTCTATTATCTGAAGCTTAATATTAAGCTTACTTCTTTGGTGTTGGAGCCCTGTCAACCTCCTCTACCAACGGTGTTCCTGGAGCGACTGACTGATTGACGATTCATCATGGCACTGACAGTACAGACCTTGAGTAAGAAACCCCATCCCCTCTTCCAGTTCTTCGCAGCTCAATGGCTAATATATAATGTTCGATTAATATTCACATATCGCAAGTAGATCCATATATAACTGTTAAGGATACTCAGTTCTGGTTTACTTTAATGCTCAATATAATATATGTAAAGACATAACTGCTTGAAAACATTAACTTCAAGATATGAGCGGAGAAAACGTTTGAATTAAAGAATATCTACAGTCGAAGTCACAAACAAATTCACGCTTTCGGAGAACACATTTACCACTATTTATCTTTTCACTAATTATTATATATATTAAGACAAATGACACCAAACATATAGAACAACAGATAGGAGAGAATGACGTAAAATTCCGAATTCTTTACCCAAATTCAATTGTTTTCCTTATTAGCAGACGAAATTTCTTAAACTGGCATAACTGTACTGGACTGGAGACGGGCACACACACACACACCCACCGCGCAGGACGTTCGCCTGGCCCTGGATGAACGTAGTCACAGGTGATCCAAGTTGATGTCTCAGTAGAGGTCGCGCGCTCAACTCGCTCCCACCTGGCGGCACATGGCAAACACCCTACACCCCAAAACAAACATTTCTCGTGATTCATCAACAAACTGAATAGTGAGTGTTGTGAGTGACTATAAGAGCTGTTTCAAACACTGGATACATTTATTCTAAGACATTCGTGGTATTAGAACATTTCGAGTTACTGATAAAATGGTCTTTGTTTTAGTGAACAAATTGGAATAAGACTGTTAGAAAAAGTTTATTGTTATTTGTTGTGGTAATAAAACGTCGACAAGAGATCTCGATGAAAATGTTTCGTAATAAGATTATTGGTTATGACTGTTTAGTGAATTATAGTGTTAGAACGTTTTTTTATGAAGTGATGTGACCGTTTGTGTGTTAGAACGTTTTTAGAAGTGTTGTTTTGTGTTAGAACGTTTTTTTATGAAGTATTGTGACCGTTTGTGTGTTAGAACGTTTTTTTAGAAGTATTGTGACCGTTTGTGCGTTAGTCGTGTCTGGTGTCCCTCTTATGTGGGAAAATAAACCTTGAATATTGAAATGTTTCTTAAGTACATGATGAGTTAAAGTGTTCATTAATCAGTTCATTGACATAGTGCCAATCCAGAGTACTCATTAGCATATTATTAAAAATTGAGAATAATTCTATAACCTAACCTAACCTAGCTTAATGTAACCTAACCTAACCTAGCTTAATGTAACCTAACCTAACCTAACCTAGCTTAATGTAACCTAACCTAACCTAAACAATACAGCTCTGAGCCTCGACCCCTCCTGATACTAACCCCGGCGGTTATGATGCAACACAGAGCATTAGCAAGCAGTGACGTAATGGCTATCTTCATATAGTTACTGAAAATTATATAACGAATGACGTAATAGTAATATAAGTCCTATAATGGTATTTCGTTATTATTGTAAAAATATCGGTTGAATAAATTAGTAAAAAAAAAAAGATAATTAAAGGTAACTTCGTGTTTGTTAGTGTTTTATGAAGGTTAACTTAGAACTACAAAGATTTTGAACGAGCGTTGGGATTAGCTGATGATTAGACATACCAGCTTAATTCACCTTAAAATTAATCATCCTAAAGTTAATCTAATCTAACCAAACCTAACCTAACCTAACCTCTTAAAATATTGACATCATTCCCAGTAATTCGTCGCTTTTATTTATGTAGTGATTTTTAAATAACTTGAAGAAAAACAAAGATATGCCTAAAGAAATCAAGAAAAACGAAGAAAATAAAAACAAAAATATCCAAGAAAACAAAGAAAAACAAGATATATGAAATTTTCCCATTAAGACAACCAAGAAAATTCCTACCACCAACAAAAAAAAAGTGAACGTATCTGACCGCACAAAGTTTACCTGCCCGCAAGTTTCCCAGCAACCAGGTGAGGTGTGTTGTTGTGTTACCCAGCAAGACCGCACCTGTATGATGCAGCATGATTATGAGTGATATTAGGATACGCCTAGGATAAGTTATGACAGTCCTAGGATATGATACCTTTAGTACACACTATTCGACGCCCCTGGCACACTATTCGACGCCCCTAGCACACTGTTCGACGCCCCTAGCACACTGCTCGACGCACTTAGCACACTAGGCCTAGCACACTATTCGACGCCCCTAGCACACTATTCGACGCCCCTAGCACACTAT